ATGATCCGAACATCAGAGCCTGCAACACCGTCGTGATGATGGTCTTACTGTATGCACAAGGCTAACATTCTCAAAGTTCTACACCTGACCCAACTTCGTGGTCAACTGGTAAGCTGGCACCTGTAACACTACGGTCTAAACCTTCAACAGTCTCATGCTGGAACCGCCTTTCAAGAATATAACTATTAGCGATCATTCATTCCTAGGTTGACTCGCATCTGAACTTGTTCGCTCAACGGGATGATACATGGGAGATCAGGTCAACCGATCATATCAAGGCTCTGGCACACAATTGGCTACTGGCTCCTCCTGTTCCTTACAAGACTGTTACTTAGATTTAAATAAAGTTTATTCGTAACGATGCATATAATAAGTTCCTGAAATAAATGGGTCTAGGGTCAAGTTTCAGATGAGCTAAGGTAGGATAACGGCTCTTGCTTGCAGTTTTACTAGCTTCTTTTAATTGACAGCCCTAATGAACCCAAGTCTTGGGTATATATAAAAAAAAGGGGGGAGGGAGGGGGAATTTGCACGCAAGCACCAACACGTTTCCTTCTTGTGAGGTAAACAACGAAAGGCAATAACTAATCGGGCCTTTTACATTAGCAAAATTACAAATTGTGGAATTTATTGGGCGCCACAGTCTACATTTAGCATACATGTCACAGTGACCATATAAACTATCATTTCTGGAGGATTATTACTTTTCCAGCTATACTTCAAAAGTATAACAATGTTGGAGGATAAGCTGAAAAACATCCAAGCAAGGCCAGGCCGTTTTTCTTCTGCTGTTTCTTTTAAGGCAACGCCAAGCACAGATTATCCTCCTGTGCATACCGCTGCTTCATCTAAATCTAGTTCACTAGATAATTCCCAGCAAGTTGGTTGTAAATATAAAATGTGTTTCCGAACAGTGCTGGCCAAATCTGATCAAGGCCAGCATATCATCAGGGCTTGCTCACTTGTCACAATTGACACTAAACCCGCCTTGCGTAGCCTAGTTGGGCACTATTTTTGACCAAAATTCCTCCAAACACGTCTGGAGTTCTGCTTATATGAACTGGTGCACACCTGTACATGGACGTACCTGCACCTGTGCATACCTAGACCTGTGCGTATCTGAGCTTGCGCATACCCGGTCCTGTGCATACCAGGATGTGGACCCGAGTGACAAGACACTTGCGCCAATTGGAGGCTTGCCCAGGGGTCTCCCTCACCCCTGACACACAGTCACACACTTGGCATCGGCTGGCAGTCAGTTCATTCTCCGCATTAAAAACACAAGAAAAAACATTTGGGCACTTGGTTCACTCTTTTCTCCTTGCCCGTGTCCCCTCCCTTGTCGCTTCTCGAAAGTATTTTGTACATCTTTATCATGTCTTAAACGTTTCTCGCCTACATTTACGAATTTAATTCCATTAGTGTGTTATCTTGACTCGCACCTTTCAGCACTGGGACCAGTCCTGTGGCATACCTCTCAAGTTTTGTTACCATAGTTTTTGTTCCCTCAAAAGCCCTCGCCTTTGACAAGGCGAGGGTTCCATGCCTGTACTGAATATTCCAAAATTGTCTAACATATGCAGTTTATAGTGCCCAGAAAGATACTTCTCCAACCCATGAGCCAAGCCTACTATTTCTCAACCTCCCGAACCCATATATTTGAGTAACATTTACATTTGAATTTGTATATATAGCTTATTGTCACTTCTAGCGTGTTCCCGCTGGCTATCTTCACTTAAAAACTCTCTCTTATGTATCTCTCAATCATCCTCGTCCTCAGCCTGTGTTCCCTTGTGCTAGCCACAATCCTCTCTAACAGTTTGTCTTACATGAGTTAATTCAGTTAAACTACCCTACAAGTAACTTTTGTAGATCAATATGAGCCTAAAACCACACCGAATCCCTTGTTTTAGGTAACACGGATGTAATTTATAATTCAATGACAATGGAGGGGGGGCCCTTTGATACGCCGCCGGCTTCCTGTCCTCATCGTGGTCCACTAGAGTTTTCGGGTGGCTCTCAGGTAAATTCAGGTATTTATACAAGGGAAATGTAGTACAACATGCTACATTGCACTACATTCCTGTTACTGTAGTTCCACTTACTACAGTGCATAACTAAAAGTGGGCAGCTTAACTAAGGCGGGCTAGAATGTTACAATAATGACAGGTGTATAAACTCCTTGGCCAAGTCTCCGACTTGCTTCAGACAAGCACTCTCCAGCGAGCAGTAACCTTATTAACCATAAATAACACAATTACTAATTAGTTACCAATTAAGTAATAGAAGCCTCATATATTGGCCTCGTTTTTGAGTTAGGTTTAAAAAAGCTGCGTGTCAAAATGGAAGGTTGGCTCTGTTTCAGCAGGACCTCACGCCTTTACCGGCTTGGTGCCTTCTTTTGAGTATTACTTATGCCATTACAAAAGCCTTGAGTCCTGTACTTTAGACAATAGAGCCGTAACACACCACAATCTACCTTCTTCTGGAAAGATGTTCGTAACCCCCCACCTCCCCCCTCTCAACTCTAACTACAGTACTACACCAAGAAAAATAATTTATATAAAATAAATACTTGTGTATGTATGAGATATACAAAATATTATATTATTTATTATTAATTATTATAATATATACATATATACATACATAAATAAATATATATAATATATATATATATATATATATATATATATATATATATATATATATATATATATATATATATATTATTAAATATGACCGAAAAAGTAAGATTAATAATTCTAACACGAATTTTCTCAATCTTTCGTACATTACGCTTCACTGTTGGAGGTAAATCAAAAATTAATTCTCCAAAATTCATTTTAATTTTGGAGAATTAATTTTTGATTTACCTCCAACAGTGAAGCGTAATGTACGAAAGATTGAGAAAATTCGTGTTAGAATTATTAATCTTACTTTTTCGGTCATATTTAATAATATATGTCTACAGGAAAGACTGCTACCAAAATATACTAATATATATACTAATATATATATATATATATATATATATATATATATATATATATATATATATATATATATATATATATATATATATATATATATATATATATATATATATATATATATATATATATATATATATATATATATATATATATATATATATATATATATATATATATATATATATATATATATATATATATATATATACACATACATACATACACATATATACATACATATATAAAAATTTGTTGCTTTAGTATTGTTTTAACATGTCAATTAATGAGCCTTTGTGTAGTGAGTGATGGTTTGGTAGGGCGCGCACCGGGGCCACAGAGAACGTCTTCACAGTTGCAACACAAGTCACCAAAGTATGAATATAACCAAGGTCTTAACTGATTACAACCTAAAGAGAATCAAGACCCGTGAGAATATCATAGATAAGTTGGCATTTTTAATGTGATCATCATACTGCGTATTCTACTTTAACGTAATGAATGCTGATAATTTGTGTTATAACAAACAAGCATTGCCTTCTATTAAAAAAAAATTATTCCAAATTTACTAAAGAGGGAGTTATCACCCAGCCCCAACTCCTGCAGTAGATTAACCGTAAAATACTACGACACTAATAATGTAGACCCACTTGGATTTCAAATTACATGGTGTGTGTCAAGGTCTAACACATCATCCAATCCAAGCTTGACCACATCCAAGCTTGAGACCGTGCACATCGAAGCTTGTGCATGGCAGGCATTAATGCACAAGCCAATGTGGGGCCTCTTGTGAAATCTTAGATCTGGTATTATCTGGAAGGGCGGAGCCCATATCCTTACTACACACAACCCTTTTACCATCTTCACTACATATAATCTTCATCAATAAACTACATAGGGCGCGCGCGCACACAAAATACTCTTATCCCTGGAAAACAGAAGAGAAGGAGAAGACATGATAACCAATTACAAAATTCTTAGGAGAATTGACAGGGTTGACAAAGACAAACTCTAGCACGGGTGGAACACGAACAAGGGGACACAGGTGGAATCTTAGTAACCAAATGAGCCACAAACACTGAAAAAATTCTTTCTAGTGTCAGTAGTTGACAAATGGAATGCATTAGGAAGCGAGGTGGTGGAGGTAGACTCCATACAGTTTCAAATGTAGATTTGATAGAGCCCAATAAGCTCAGGAACCTGTACACCAGTTGAGAGGCGGGACCAAAGAGCCAGAGCTCAACCCCCGCAAGCACAACTAGGTGAGTACACACACACACCCCTGGTTATATTCCTTGGTTATAGTCATATTTTGGTTACCTTGGATATATTTATGCCTTGGTTATATTCATACTCTGGTAACTGTGTTGTAACTGAAGACGTTCTCTGTGGCCCCGGTGCGCGCCCTACCACACCATCACCCACTGGGGGTGGGCAGACTGCATCTAGTAGGATTGCCAGAAAGCCTTTGACACAGTACCACACAAGAGCCTAGTGCAAAAGTTGATGATGCAGACAGAAGTGAAAGGGATTAAACTTGCTTATTTGCCTACTTAATCTCCACCTCCCCCCCTCCTCCTCACATGCCCCCTTAGTCGTGTCTGTCAAGTAGTCTCGTTCTGGTCTACCGTGTAAATTACCCTGTTTTTCTAATCCTCACTACATCTCTTCCCCCCTCGAACTGATGAGAGGTTCATTTCTTGACGTTAACGATAATAGATTAGACCTATTTAGTCTGCATGAACTATATATAGTACTATTCACACAAGATATACCAGTCTGGTGGTATACATCGGAATATTAAAGAACTTTTTTAACTTTCATTCAGACCTCTAAACCACGTGTGTAAATATGCGAGTATGTGTAGGTAAGGAAACGGGAGATACCTACTGTCACTTTACACCCGTAGTCCCTTACACAACAATATGCAGTTTTTTTTTTAATTTTATGTCTAAGCCCTAGCAGGGAACCCCACGACTCTGTCACAAGGAAGTCACAGGTACTTACTCCATCTCGCGCTTCTCTGCCGTCTCTGAGCTGATGTCCTCTTCCACCGAGTAGTCCAAGATGGATTTGACGCCGAATGAGCGAAGTCTCTCTAGGGTGGGTTGGATTTTGATCTGGTCCTCGCCAGCGACGAAATGGCCGTAGAAGGTGGCCTTCATGAGGGAAGCGAAGAGACGCTTACCCAACACCTTCTGCCCCATCTTCATCAGCTGTTGGGAGAGAGACCTAATAAGCATATGCACTACTATAAGCCTTCGCGCCCCCCCCCCATACACGTACTCCAATTCGACTTTCAATCAACACCTTGTTTTTTCACGCTTATTCTCAAGTCTACTAAAACACACCATTATGATAGAATAATCCCGTTTATGGGCCAAACGTGGACAATAGCGATGACCAAACCACACCAAAAAATGAAAAGAAGACGTTTCGGTCAATCCTGGACCATTATCAAGTCGACTATGCACAATCATTATCAAGAATCCACCATCAAGTCGATTGTGCACAATCTACTTGATAATGATCCAGGACAGACCAAAACGTCGTCGTCTCATCTTCTGGTGTGTGATTTGGTCATCATATCTTCAGTCACGTTACTATGACTCATCTTCTGCATGTGGATAATGGTGACATGTATCAACATGATAATATACGAAAAGCCCCACACCACGTGTCGGGCAAACCATGACAAAACCAACCATGAAAATCATCTACACAGTAAGGTGGTAATAGGCTATAAACTTAAAAAAAAAAAAAAATACGATAGGCTCAATAATAATAAAATGCAGAGAAATCACGAGTTTATCAGAATATATTAAACTACAAAAGTTATAATTTGAGAATATTCTTTATTTAGAACAAAAATTCACTTATTAGTTTACAAGTAGACTAATACTGGAACCGTAATATGCTTCTAAACCATCACAAATATCTAGATAATTATGTTGTGTTGGGGATAGGGAGGGGGGGGTTGTCTGACAGGTTGTCTGTCAGTAATCACTTAACCCCTGGGGCTGTAAAATTTATACAACAAATTCTGAACATATTTTGGTAAATTTTATCATGGAATAAAATCACTTCTACACATTTTTATCTTACTCTGCCTGCAAAGTACCTGGAAAATATCATTTTTGACTTGAGAAGTCTAAATCGCATCATTGGATTGGTAATGGATCGAGCAGGTGATGAGCCAAAAAGTTACACAAGTCATCACTTAGCATACTAACACGTCCTCAGGCCAGGTTCGGTAGAGCGGCGGCTGTCCTCCCCAGACGCATTCCTCATTTTTAAGTCTTACAAATTTGTTCTCGTATATAAGTTAATATTAATAAATTTCTATATAAAGTTACGCATAGGTTAGGTTAGGCGTAGGTTAGATTAGGCGTTCAGATTCTGTTTGCGATTATCTGTATTTATTTATTTATTTATTTATTTATTTATTTATGCATATACAAGAATGTACATAAGGAATGTGAGGATACAAATATGGTAATTACAGTCTTGTAAAGCCACTAGCACGCGCAGCATTTCGGGCAGGTCCTTAATCTAAGAAAATTTTAAGGAGGTAAATACTTGCAAAAATTATAGACAAAAAAATGAGGGGCATTCAGGGTGAAAGAAACTTTGCCCATTTGTTTCTGAAATGCGGGAATCGAAACAGAATTACGAGTCCTGCGCGCTATCCACCAGCTACAAGGCCCCTAGGTAGCTAAGATTGATTGCAATGACAGCTTGAATGGTATTGACAAAAAATTGGTAGGCACATACAGCAGAAACAATATAAGATTGATTGCAATGACAGCTTGAATGGTAGTTGACAAAAATTGGTAGTCACAATACAGCATATGGCTAGCACATAAAAGAAGACAGCAATGAACACAATGATAAGGTTGTTTGATATTACATAAAAAATTAGGAGATTGGGTAACACTAGGTACAGAGCAAATTTAAAGCTCAGTGTAGGAAACTAAGAAGATGAAGTTAGGTACTTTTTGGTTTTGCTTTTAAATAAGGCAAAAGTTTTACAGTTTTTCAATTCACTAGGGAGTGAGTTCCATAGACTAGGTCCCTTAATTTCCATAGAGTGTTTACACAGATTAAGTTTGACCCTGGGGATATCAAAGAGATATTTATTTCTGGTGTGGTGATAATGGGTCCTATTACATCTGTCCAGGGATAGTTTCAGAGCATGGTTTGCATTTAAGAACAGGGTTTTGTAAATGTAGTTGACACAAGAGAATGTGTGGAGGGAGTTAATATTTAGCAAGTTTAGGGATTTAAACAAGGGAGCTGAGTGTTGTCTGAAAGCAGAGTTGGTTATTATTCTGATAGCAGATTTTTGCTGTGTGATGATGGGCTTAAGGTGGTTTGCAGTGGTAGACCCCCATGCACAGATACCATAGTTAAGATAGGGGTAGATTAGTGCATAATATAGTGAGAGGAGAGCAGAGTTAGGAACATAATATCTGATTTTGGAGAGTATACCAACTGTCTTAGAGACTTTCTTAGTTATGTGTTGAATGTGGGTGCTGAAGTTGAGTCTCTTGTCTAGGAATAGGCCAAGAAACTTGCCATCATTTTTATTACTGATGTTAATGTTGTCTATCTGTAGCTGAATTGCATTTGATGATTTGCTTCCAAATAAGATGTAGTAAGTCTTTTCGATGTTTAATGTTAGTTTGTTCGTTGACATCCATAAGTGGACTTTTTTTAATTCATTATTCACAACATTATTTAGTGTATGTGGGTTGAGGTTTGAATAGATAAGAGTAGTATCGTCAGCAAACAATATAGGTTTGAGAATATTAGAGACATTAGGCAGATCGTTTATATATATAAGAAATAGAAGAGGTCCTAAGATGCTGCCCTGTGGCACTCCAACGGTAATTGGTAGAGTGGAAGAAGTTGTATCATTGATGGTTACATATTGGTGTCTGTCACTAAGATAGGATCGGATGTAGTCAAGGGCAAGGCCTCGGATTCCATAATGCTGGAGTTTAAGTAAGAGGTAGTTGTGATTAACAGTATCAAAGGCTTTACTTAGGTCAATGAAGAGTCCAATCGGAAACTCATTTTTGTCAAGGGCTGAGTAGATAACGTCTATTGTATTTGAATTTGAAGTATTTTCGTCTCGTGTATTTGAAGTACGTAGATTTACAGCGTTGTGGTTCGAACAGACGAACAGAAGTCATCAGCAAAGCAGTTTGAGAAACGTCATCAGTTATGAGAGGCGAGTCAGCCGCTTTTCCTTTCATAAACAGGGCGGTCTGGCAGCTAGATTAACGAGCATTTGGGCTTTGTTTATGAGGACGGGTTCTCTCCTCCACTTAAATGACTGAAGCACAACTTATAACTATAACTTGAGGTTATTCAGCTGGCGCGCCACTAGTTTTTAGTGACCAGGAAAAAGTACAATCCCATGTGCGTAACTTTGGACTGAGACAGTATGACTGGACTGATATGCACACTAAGCTGATGACGACCCTATAAAATACCAATACGGTTGTACGTCACTAATTTAGATTATAAAACTACTTTCATAATGGTTTACATGTGAAGGTCAAGCCACAAATACGTCTAATAAAAAGCATTATTATTCCCAAGCAAACTTACACAGGATATATGTACAAGTTTATTTCGTCTAGACTAGTGGGAGTAGACGAGTCACGAGCTAGGGGGGGGGGAGGGGGGAATTACTTCCGACCTTGGGGATGTAGGTCACATGCTTATTGCTACAGGCTCCCATCCTGTGAGTGGGAGTGGACCCCCATACCCATCCTGGGTGTGGTAGTGGACCCCCACACCCATCCTGGGTGTGGTAGTGGACCCCCACACCCATCCTGCGAGTGGAAGTGGACCCCATAACCATCCCCCCCCCCCCAAAAAAAAATCATTTCTTGAACACGAGTGATAAAAGTTGCTGGGAATTTGCACCACGTGGGGATGATGTGGATGTTGGGGCAGCTTAGGCGCCATGCTGAAGCAACCGCAGCAAAATCCGTGGCTAATTTTGGCTACAAGTCCAGCAACACCCACACCTCAATCTTTATATAATAAATGTACCCAAACTCTCACCTACTTACCCATAATACACCACCGGTGACGCCACCTTCGTTACATCCGATCACCCAACACTTCCCTCACTCCATTCACTCAACGTTTCACTTCTCCCTTCCTCTTGCCTCTCCTTTTCACGTGTTTATTTATCCCTTCTCCCACGGCCCACCTTCCCTAATACCACTTCTACCAGACTCTCCGCCAACCTTCATCCACTTCACCAGCAGAACTTGCAAATTAATCCACTCCTCTGTAAACAACTTCATAACGGAACTTCCCAGAAACCTTGCAGTTTTAAATCTTAAGTTCTAAACGCTCGTGATTCATCGAAGGTACTAAAGGTGATGAATGGGTTCTGAAATAGTTTTTACTTCTAAGATATATTTCATGTCGTCCAAGGAGCTCAGGAATTTTTAACGTGATTCAGGGTTTTCATCTGCCAGAACAAAACTGCACACACAGGTTAAGAAACCATATTTTAGCACGTAAAATGGGAATACATATAATAAGGAAAATGGTAATAGAGAACACGCTATGCAACTAGCTCATCAAACACAAATCCCACTAATGTGATATACATCAATGAGAAAATCTACTGGGTCTGTGAGGTGACAAGTCACGCAGCCTCACAACCCCATTGGATTTTCTCATAGTTCATCAAGTCTGTAACTTACTTAAATTAAGTTGAGGGTTCAATTTATGACCCAGCTATTATGTACCTTCGTGATATAAAGGAGACGACTAGCTCAATGAAATAAAGTTCAGGACAAGAAAAGGAAACCGTTTGTTTTGTTAACCATTCTTGATATGCCCAGTAACTGAATGGGGCGACTTAAGTGGAAAAACATATCCTTGGTTTCTGAAAAACCAGGATAAGCCTAACAATGACCCCGTCCCCAACAACGGTATAGTCAAAAAATAGGTCAAGTGTTGCTGCTCTCAGAGATTCACTCTCGGTAATCAACTTTGCAAACTAATATAACCTCAATAAAATAACTTAATTTGATATACCACCATAACTCCGAATCTTTTCTCTGAAAAAATATTTTACTGAATTAAATTTTACTACTGCCCAGAAAGTGAACGCTTTTATAATTTTTTTTAAAGATGTGAATGGAGTAGAGAGTAAAGGAAATATAGGTAATGGTAATTATCAAGAGAAAGTTACTCCATTACTACTATATAAATGAGAGTTGATAGAATGCAGGTTGTCCGCCTTGCTGACAGTATTTGTATGTTTAACAGCCAAGCTAAACTTGCTCTGTGTGTACTTCACGCCAAGACACCCCAGGAGGTGAAGGGAGGAAAGCAGCTCAACCCCACGACACCCCAAGGGAGGGGGCTGAAGCATCACTCCACGACACCCTCAAGTGGTAGCAGCAGTCCCACCCCATGACACACCAAGGGACGGGCACAGTAACTTCGCGATCAGCAGTTTTCAACACCCCCAAGGGGAAACAGCAGCTCCACCCCACTACAACTCAGTGGGTGGGGGGGGACTCCATCTACCCCCTCCCTTCCCCCACCAATGGGGATGCTGCAGCTTCAAGCCACTATGCAAGTGTGCGCATGCGGCACGCGCCATACATAACGATACACAAGTATTCAAGTATTCTACAATACATAATGCATACTGACGAAACCAATTAACAAGTAGAAAACTGAAGTATTTACTGAATATTCTTGTCAAATCTAGGATTACACCTTTCAAGAGAATTAAGCTCTCCCTGCTGCGATCGCCTGAATAACTTCTCAAGGTCTTCCTCCTTCCAACATAAGCCATGCTGGAAGCTGCTTCACCATATTTTGCACAATTGCTCACAGCTCAAATATTTAATTCCAGACTCAGAACTGAAGATATACAACACAGTCTACCCACCTATGCATGTCATTATATGTTGATTATAGAATTTTAACTAGTAGCAATTTTTCTGTCTTTATCGTACTTAAATTTTCTGATTAAACCTTTCTTCGTAAATGTAGTGCCCTACACCCGTTTACAGGTACAAAATAATATTCTCTCACCTGCAGGTTCGTCTCTACAGGTTGCCAGTCTATTCTGCCCAAAAACGTAAAGTTCATTCATTAAGCACCCCATACCCATCCTGTAAGTAGCAGTGGTAAATGTAAAGAGGCATATATGGGCTCAGGAACTAAACCCCAAGTTCGCTTAGCTAAGAAAGTTGCATCCTTTATAATCCAGTTACATACTCTGACATACATACTTTAGGTCTATTCAGTCTTTATCAAACTAACGTAACTGATCAAACTACGTATGCGTGAGACATTATAACTTACATCTTTAACATATTACAGGGCCTGATGAAAAAAAAATGGCAAAGAATAATTGTGCCAATTGTTTAATTTTATCCAGCAGGTGGGAAACTAAGCACTCGAGCCACAGGAATATAACATTTCAAGTAATACAACAAGTGGCTATAGCCGAGCCCAAGGGTTTGGGAACCTGCGAGCCAAGGGAATGAAGGCTGCAGGACAGGACGAAAACAAGCACAAGATGAGCATAGAAGCATCCAAGGACTTCCGCAGGAGCTCCAGTCATGAATTCTGCCACTCACCAGAGTTATGCAAGTCTATTTAGCAAGAATTGCATACAATGTATTAGTGTTTTTTATGCACAACGCACTTATCTATTTTAGAATTCTGTATATTATCTTAAAAACCAAGGTCTAACGTTCATCACATTCTAATATTTCAACGTGTGGGTCTGTACACAAAAGAAAGAGATACATATAATCTTCATGTATATGCATACTAGTATACTGTACAACGTAAGCGACAGTCTCGTCTACCCAAAATTGAGCAGGGATAAGCTTGTGCAAATATCACGTGCTTTGCTTATGTTCACCTTGATAACCCTGAACTAATTGCATGACAAACTCTATACAATGCAAAGAATAACAAACGGCTACCTTGGAGCGGTTTAGTATCTTTTACAAGAGTTGCAACACCGAGTAAGGCTTCCCTTTTTTTTTAACCACGTTCTGTGGAAGCTGGTTATGGTGACTTCACAGTTCACAAGGTTATACAGTGTAAATACAATCAATTCAGTTTTTAAAACACTGCGATTCAACAAAACTTTTCTAATTTTAACAAAATTTTAGAGACTATTTTGCACCTCTAACAGGAACAAGAGATTAGGGATTAGGTTAAACTTTTTTTATATCTAAAACGGAAATGATACGTTTAAGGATTTAGCTTTGAAAATAATAAATCTACCCTGAGAGTGCAACTAAATATTTTATTATAGGATGCTTTTAGCAACATATCCGAGATACTTCCCTATCTACGGTCGTAAAAAGCATTAGATCTGCGATTGTAATTAACAAACTTTATTTTGAAATAAACAGGAAAAAAAATAAACTATCGCGTACATTAATACAACAGTACAAATAACCTGAACTGAGAGTATGAGCTACGAGGAGAGTACGGGAATTATACCTCACATCGCTGGAAGACTAGTTGAGTAGTCAACTATTTGTCAGTAGTTGACAAATGGAATGCATTAGGATGTGGTGGAGGCAGATCCCATAGAGCCCAATGGGCTCAGGAACCTGTACATCAGTTGATTGACAGTCGAGAGGCGGGACCAAAGAGCCAAAGCTCAACCCCCGCAAGTACAACAAGGTGAGTACAGTCAAGGCAGAGTCAAAGCACGTACACTTATACAGCCACACTGGCAATTATCTACTCTATCTTGTTCGCTACACTGATATATAATTCATTCAATTTGTTAATGCGTAGTCACAAATAACTAATAACAGAGGTATTTATCATTGGCAATAAATCACAAATTATATGGTTACCAAGGTTGGCGAGTTTGCGAATGTCTTTATAAAAACCTTGAGTGTGAGAGTACTGTATTATGCAGCAGAAACTGACGCAGATATCTACAATACATGTGTAGATATATGCAGCAGAGACTGACGCAGATATCTACAAAACCTGTGTAGCTTATCGAGGTCCTACATCTTGCGCAATATTAAATTAATAAGCTGCAGAAACTATGTTTTTGATTGTCTTATAATTAAACTGAGAAATAATACTCTTTAAAAACGACTTTCAAAGCATTTGTGAATAATGTAAACAACTAAGCTGGAAGCACAGAAAGAATAGAAAGAACCGTGTTAATTGTACCACCTTGACCTAGATTCAACCCAGATATTCTAGCGCCTAGCCAACAATTCTAAAGTTAATTCTTCATCCACAAAGCTTCACAAACCGACGTTTATTTAAACACCCTTAAGAGGAATGGTAGCAGCACTTCTCAAATACTGCCTCGTAACCGCTCAGACAAACATGACAACTTAAGGGACAAAATAAACCCTTCATTTCATTGATCTTTAACCTTACTCGATTGTGGCTTTGTCAGTAACGTGATTCCGCAAGGACACCGATAGGTATCATTATTTCACGGTGTCTAGATGTTACCAGGCTAGCAGCCTGACACGACAGGCAGCGCCACACACCAGCAGCCTGACACGACAGGCAGAGGGGCCACACACCAGCAGCCAGACACGACAGGCGCCACACACCAGCAGCCAGACACGACAGGCAGCGTCGCCACACACCAGCAGCCAGACACGACAGGCAGCGTCGCCACACACCAGCAGCCAGACACGACAGGCAGCGTCGCCACACACCAGCAGCCAGACACGACAGCAGCGTCGCCACACACGACAGACACGACAGGCGTCGCCACACACCAGCAGCCTGACACGACAGGCAGCGTCGCCACATACCAGCAGCCAGACACGACAGGCAGCGTCGCCACACACCAGCAGCCTGACACGACAGGCAGCGTCGCCACACACCAGCAGCCAGACACGACAGGCAGCGTCGCCACACACCAGCAGCCTGACACGACAGGCAGCGTCGCCACACACCAGCAGCCTGACACGACAGGCAGCGTCGCCACACACCAGCAGCCTGACACGACAGGCCTAGAGTCGCCACACACCTGCAGCCAGACACGACAGGCCTAGCGTCGCCACACACCAGCAGCCTGACACGACAGGCAGCGTCGCCACACACCAGCAGCCTGACACGACAGGCAGCGTCGCCACACACCAGCAGCCTGACACGACAGGCAGCGTCGCCACACACCAGCAGCCTGACACGACAGGCAGCGTCGCCACACACCAGCAGCCTGACACGACAGGCAGCGTCGCCACACACCAGCAGCCTGACACGACAGGCAGCGTCGCCACACACCAGCAGCCTGACACGACAGGCAGCGTCGCCACACACCAGCAGTCGCCACACACCAGCAGCCTGACACGACAGGCAGCGTCGCCACACACCAGCAGCCTGACACGACAGGCCTAGAGTCGCCACACACCAGCAGCCTGACACGACAGGCCTAGAGTCGCCACACACCAGCAGCCTGACACGACAGGCCTAGAGTCGCCACACACCAGCAGCCTGACACGACAGGTCCCACCGGGCGAGCGCTGCATGTGCCGTCAGTCAGGTGGCCACGAACCTTGTCGTTGTTGTCGACGAGCGTCTTGATGCCACACATATGGAAGACGAGCAGCGCCCGCAGCACCTCCCAGGTCGTCTTGCTCTTGAAGGCGGCTTCATGGTCACAGAAGGTCAGGTCAAGTGGGTCTTTTTCCTCGTTATTGCGGGAGGCAGCGTCCAGTGCATTGTTCTCCCCGACCAAAGAGGCAGCCGCTGGTGTCGACTTGAGTCGAACACTCGACCCAACGACTGATCTGCTCTTCAAATTCAGACATATTTGAGTGTGATTAACACCATATCTAACACAAGCGGCGAGAGAGCGAGGCAGCGCAGCGGTCAACACGGGAGCCATTACTAAACTGACGCACTGCTGCTCTTCGTTGACTCACGTGAGAACCACTGTGACATCACGCCAGCCCAGCCCTCTCATTGGCTGGAGGAGGAGGCGTGCCAGTATCTGGACCAACACCAGAAAACGAGACGGTTTCGAAGCCTGAGACTTGCCGAGGGGAAACTGTCCCTATCGACACGTATCCCAAGGATGAGTGTCCCGTGTGGCCAAGCAATATGAACGAAGCAAGTATTGATCGTAACGTTCGGCTAGACCGCCGGCAGCCCCAGAGCATCCTTCGGCGCCCACCCTCTCCGTGATGTAAGGACCCACATACAATAAATATTTGATAACGTGATATGCATGACAACAAATATCTCAACAACAAGAAAACAATATATTATATATATATATATATATATATATATATATATATATATATATATATATATATATATATATATATATATATATATATATATATATATATATGTCGTACCTAATAGCCAGAACGCACTTCTCAGCCAACTATTCAAGGCCCGATTTGCCTAATAAGCCAAGTTTTCATGAATTAATATTTTTCGTCTACCTAACCTACCTAACCTAACCTAACCTAGCTTTTTTTGGCTACCTAACCTAACCTTACCTATATGTATAGGTTAGGTTAGGTTAGGTAGGGTTGGTTAGGTTCGGTCATATATCTACGTTAATTTAACTCCGAAAAAAAAATTGACCTCATACATAGATCTTTAAAGGGTTGCTTTATCATTTTATAAGAAAAAATTATAGTAAAAATATTAATTCAGGAAAACTTGGCTTATTAGGCAAATCGGGCCTTGAATAGTAGGCTGAAAAGTGAGTTCTGGCTACTAGGTACGACATATATATATATATATATATATATATATATATATATATATATATATATGTATATATATATATATATATATATATATATATATATATACTGTATATATATTTTATATTCATTACCCTTCAGTGGTGAAGGGTAGGGAGGGTGGTGAAGGGTAGGGATGGTGTTGAAGAGTAGGGAAGGTGGTGAAAGGTAGTGACAGGGAATAGTGAAGGGATAGGAAAGGTGGTGAAGGGATAGAGAAGGTGGTAAAATGTAAGTTAAAGAGTATGACATGTGGTGAAGGGTATGGGAAATGTAAAGGAAACCCAAGATGATAAAGGAGAGTGAAATTAAGAAAAGGTAAGGCATTTGTTTTATTTTTTATTAACATATTTAGGTACATCTATATTTATGCAGCTACCCTAAACAATATGAAGAGTCACAATGTGCGGCAAGAATCATGCTAAAAAAAATCCTCCATATCACATCATATTTTTTAACACATTTAGGTACATCTGCATTTGTGCAGCTACCCTAGATTATATGAAGGGGAGTACAGAGTGTCACAAAGGAGAGTGAAGGCTAATACGTGATGCTAAAAATCCCCTTCACACAGGATGGTTAGTTATACAAAGGCATTTGATATGTAGTCTGCACTGGCAGACTCCGGGTGCATTATGAGGATATCATCAACACAAGAGTGAATAAGGCAGCAGTGATACTAAAAGTCCCCATCTCACAGGATGGTTAGTCATACAGGGCCATATATGTTTTGTAGCCTGCACTAGCAAATTTTGGGTGCAATATGAGGATATTTTCAAGAACACGAGTGAATCAAGTAATTGGAAAGCTCCAGGTACCTCATGCCAACGGGTCTGAAAGGTCTAATAACTGGGCATTCGGTGATGTAATGTGGGAGATCATGCCGTAGTTCCTGCTCACAGAGTTTGCACCTGGAGTGCTCAGGCTTTTTTTTTTTTTTTAGGATTGGGAGATCTTTCACATCTAAATAACTCTAAGGATGTCGTATACCGCGTTTCATATTTATTTTTACATAAATTAATTATAATACTGTATATTCACCTAGTTGTGCTTGCGGGGGTTGAGCTCTGCTCTTTCGGCCCGCCTTTCAACTGTCAATCAATACCCCCCAACACCCCCCAGGAAGCAGCCCGTAACAGCTGTCTAACTCCTAAGTGCCCATTTACTGCTAGGTAAAAGGGGCATCAGGGTGAAAAAAACTCTGCCCATTTGTTTTCCGCCATTGCCGGGGATCGAACCTGAACCCTAGGATTACGAGTCCCAAGTGCTGTCCACTCGGCCACAGGCACCCCCCTGTAGCTGTGTAATGTGTATTGTGTATGGAGTTCACAGAAAATTCGTAAATTCTAAATAACCAATAAAAGAATTGAAATTGTAGTCACTATTAATTCATTCTTGTGTATGTAATACATTAAACTGTATCTTCCAAATTAATCAATGTTCATCCAAAAGAATGTGTGTACAAAGAACATATGAGTAATGTACAATTATAGGGACAGGAGTTACAGAAACTAATGAAGCCCCTATTATGCAAAGCGTTTCGTGCAAATGTTCAAGAAATGTCTCATTCATTAAAATTGTTTATTTATATATATACAAGAAGGTATATTGGATTTGAGAGAGTACATAACATTGGTGTTCTCGCATTCTTGCAAACCCACTTAACTAGCACGTCAACCCGTCCTCCTAATAGAGCGTCGCATTTTGACGTATACTCTACCTAAGGTCAAAAATTGTTGTATTAGAAAATGGTAGTGGCTCGCGAAATTGGCACACTGTCCCGTTTTCTGTTTTGGGTCCTCTGGTAGGTTAGGATGGGGGACTTTAGTACTACAGTTTCTTGACGTTAGGAAATCTTAGTAGGGCGGGCTGAGCTCTCATCGAGTTTAGGGCAGATCTGTTCTAAATGATAATAATAATCCAAGGGACAGGCAGCCAGTTTAATAAATATTATATATTGTGTATGTATGTTAGGGGGGACCTCAATATATGCCTAAGGTAGAACTACTGATACTAGAAGGATACAACCCTACTAGAAGCTGAATAACTCTTGGATACCTATTTACTGCTAGGTGAACAGGGAAATTAGGTGATGCTCTTGTTCACCTAGTAAATGCGCCCAACCATTTGTCTTGCCCGAGATTCGAACCCGGAATTCTCGCTTGTGAGACGAAAACGAACCAGACTGCACAACTAGGACCCAACCACAAATATTAGCTAAGTATCCCCAAGTTGCTAACTGTAGGTAGCGCACGTAGGTGATTGTAAACTTTCCACCCGATATGAATGATAAAATAAAATTTATGTAAACTTCCAATTTCACGCGTTTACATTACAGAGTTGACCAAGATTAAGTTGGGGGAGAGAAGAGTACAAAACTGGGGAAGGTTAGTAAGCAATTAATTATCAAAAGAAAGCATTAGCCCGGAAGGCCCACATAGCACCGCCAGGTCACAAGATATTCAAAGGGTCATAGATGCCATTTAGGATGCCAACTGGGGAGGGTTATGGAGCAGGGACGGGATGAGGAAGATGGAAGAGAATATTAAGCAGTAAGGGAAGGGAAGACATTGTGCCATTATTAGCGATTATCAACAAATGGCAGTGCTTCAGACACTTTCTTGCGAGATGTCCTTTTATTTTGGATTTGAATACAACTTAGTTCTTACTCGTATTGTATGAGAGGTTCTTAAGAAATTGTGGCAAGTTACCCCTCAGGACAAATACATGTAACTATATTAAAACATTATATTTCCATAGTGTTATACATATTCTCAAGGTCAAAGAGAAATGCGACTATTGATTTACCAAGTCTTCCTAATCTAAACGTCGGAGGTTCACCTGTACATCTTGTGCTACCATATCATAAAACATTTTCCACACGAAAGGCTGGTGTATAAGATAGAGAAGCAAGATTGAAAAACGCTAAACTTGATGAGGGAGTACCGGATGGACAGAAAAAAAAGGTCACAGTTAGAGGAGAGTTTCGAGCTGGAGGAATGTAATATGTGAGGTCCCCCAAAGGCTCGGTCCTTGGACCACTACCGTTCCTAATTTATGTGAATGACCTACCAGAGTTCATGCATATTTGTTTGTAGATGATGCAAATGTTAAAGAAAGATTTTGACAAACTCAAGAAGTGTACGGGAATGATGATGGGAAAAGGAGAAAGGCGGCCAGAAAATAAATACACTATAAGATAGACCAACTACAGGAATCAGAGACATATTTGGGAGTGGATGCAATTCCAGCACTAACACCTAAGGTACACACTAATAGGGTAACATCGACAAACATTAGAACATCGTTTAGAAACCACAACAGAGAGACTTTCGATTAAACAATTATCAAACGAAAGGATTCTTTGAAGGCAATCAACAGCCGTTTTTAGACCCATACTGGAAAATACACCGGCCTGAAATCCGTATCTTGTGAAGCATGAAACCAAAATACAAAAGTAGAGGTTTGCAACAATACAAGTGCCAGAGCCAAGAGGGTTAAACAATGAAGATAAATAGGTTAAGGGAACTGAACTAAACAACCCAGGAGGAAAAGAAACACAGGGAATATGAAAGTAGCATCTAGTGAGCGAGAAATAGAAGGACTATTGCCCGAGCAAATTTGTCAAAAGTGGCGCATTTTCATTTTTTTTATCTCTTTAGTTTACTTTTGTGATAAGTCGACACTTATTATTTATCAAATGGCCTTTGAAGAAATTTCTGGACTCATTAGTTTATTCAACCAGTCTCCTAGCGTTTTAAACTGTCTGCTCCATCTCTTGTGATACATTGGTGGCCACTGACATCTGGGGAAATAATACAAACCATGATGTTGCTACCTCCTTTCTGACGCTAGACGATCCTGTGGAGTTTCATCTTTCTCACGTCGTCACAACCCCAGTAATTATAATTTTGCTTCCAATGACTATTATCGAAACATGAAATTAATGAATGTAGAGTACAATTATGTACATTATATATAATACAAATACATATTGCAAAGAAAATTTTAAGCTGCTTTTGCTAGTCTCCCTGGCTTGGCACCTTTTGATAATCACTTATTTACCGTACTTAAGTGTTTTTTGTTTTATTATGAGGGTGTTATATCATTTGTATTCTTGTGACTGCATGGAAAAACAATCATAGATTTTTCTCCGATAAGAAATGCCATGGAGATTAAGAAAAAATTACGACGATACTATCTGGGTGAGACAAAGATGAAAGAATTTGCAAATCGAGAAAAAGGATTGTCAAAATGTCAAAGTGGACTCCTACTTTTCAATTGGAAGCACATGACGTCTGCTGCACTAGATGTAGAATCATCTGAAGACTTGCTACCTACCTTCAGCCAAAGAGATAAGAGATGATATCCAGGCCACAGTGGTTGCTCTCGAGGTGGAACCCTCTAGACTTGCTAGTAACCAATTTTTTCCAAAGGGGCTGGTGAGAGCACCCTGGCTGCTAGAGCAGCGTGGGTGGTGGAAGTGGAGCCCCCCAAAAGACGTGACCACTTCAGCAGACTGTCATCGTTTTCTGAACGATAAAGTAAAACTGTGTGTGATCATTGATACACACAAGGAATACCCAACAGATCCCAACCCATCCTCCGACCAAGTCCATTAAATCCAGCGGTCGGCCACAAAGATGCATTCATCAATGTTAGCATGCTGTTCATTCAAGTGGAATGTTCTCAAATATAAATTAATAGTTATATGTTAGCATACTGTGCATATTTAGGCATTGGTTAGATTAGGAATTTAGGTTCTGTTGGCGATTATTTCTATTTGTAGTACGTGGGTGAAGCATTTACAGCGTTGTGGTTCGAACAAAAGTCATCAGCGAAGCACTTGTTTCGGAAGTGTTCGGAAGTCATCAGTTGCGAGCGAGTCGTGTGTAAACCGTTTTTCATTTATAAACAGGGTTTGGCGGGTGCATGGAATGGACTTTTGCCTTTGCTTATGAGGACAGGCACACAACTCCACACCTGTAACACCTGATCTCATACATACTCTTCTTGAGATAGGGCCTTGTCAGCCAAGTCTTAAAAGAAAATTTTGACAGTTTCCAAAGATGAAGCTATACATTATTTCAGTGCAACTTGGAACAAGAAACAAGCTAAAAGTGATTGTGAAATGGATAGGCACTGGTTGGTTTTCTCACAAAGGGGCAAACACTATACTTTGTTTTGGTCACTGGCTTTTTACAAATTTATTTGATGGTTGCTAAAATGGTCCAAAAACTGGTTGCAAGACTGTTGTTAAAGGTACATACAAAATTGAAAACAATAAAAAAAAAAGACAAAAAATCAAAGAAAGATCTTTTTCTTACCAAATTTTATTTGTTCAATAACAGAAGTGCCTTGGGTGGCCCTGTAACTGCAGAAAAGAATGATAAAGAAAAACAGGATGATTCTTATCTGTATTATAGATGCATTTCTCTATTGGGGAAAAACAGGGATTAGCATTCTCCAGTCATTGCGAGTATCAAAGTTTAGGTTCCCTAAGTACGAATGATGGCAATTTTTTTTAATTTATTAAGGTGTTTGCCTTAATATTATTGGAAACATTACTGGAACAACTAAACAAATCCACAATGGCCGTGACGAGGGTTTGAACCTACCCACGGGATGTTTAGGTAAGTTGCTCCAAATCAACTCTTTTTTACACACTGTTGTGCACATAATTTAAATTTATTTCTTTTTGATGCAATAAGCTCCAATATTCAAATCAAGTTGTATGGAGTTTATAGTTTTGAAATGTTTTGAAATGCTAGAAAATATGTCTATACCTTTTTCTGGCAGGTTACCTCTCCTTTCAGTACTAAAAGAACAATGCAATCGGATCAAATCTTTCACACTGACACTAAAGAACTTTGTAATACTAGATGGGGGGTCCAGAATGTCAGCAGTAGAGGCAATCTTGCAGAATTTACCAGCACTAATAGTTGCTCTACAAAGAATTCTGGATGGCAAGATTAAAAACTGTACTCCTGAGCAGCTCACCGAGGTAAATTGTACTGTATATGTACAGTATCGGAAACACTCAGTACTGTACTTATGAATTCTTAGTTATTCTTAGATTCTGGAATACAAGTGCCAGAAAAGGTTTTAAATTTATCCACATATTTACAGAAAAGTAGTATAGATCTGATAATGGCTTTTCGTTTGATTTAACTTTTAGAAAAACATCTGAAATGAGTGTGAACCACAATTCAAATGAATTGAAAATGAAGCAACTGAGTTGGGTCAAAAATGTGATATTAATATGGAACACAAGCAGCACAGAGAACACAAAAAAGAAAATCCATAATGATTAAGGAATATTTGATGCTCGAAAAAATGATTGAATCCTACTGTGTGTTCTTAGACTCTACTGTAGCAGACACATACTCAGACGTCACCGACAGTCAAACTTAAATCGTACAAGTGCCTTTCATTCAAAGACATATACAAGGCACTTGCAGGAAACTGTCTAATTTTCTTTTGAAGAAGTCCACTTTTTTTCCATCATATGCAATTCTTAATTCTTACAATTCGTTCTCCCCAGCAATCAATTCTTATGCTTACTGGAAGATTGCTGAACAGCCATAAACCTCTCATCTTCATATGAGTTTTATCTAAGTGAAGGGTGCCACAGCAGTGGTGGAGTATGCCTCATCCTTGGGATGGCAACACGTGTATTTATATCATTGCTGTCTGTATTCCTTTTACTGGAGACCTGGGCATAATTCTCAAGATCTGAATAATTCTTGATACTTTCCTCATTAGATGCAAAAAGTTCATCCTAAATTTCTTCATCAGTCAGCATATGTTTGGAGTGAGCCATTGCGGCATTGCGAGCTGTTCAGTCACCCGAGGTGGTCCTCTTCGCATCTTTGTAAAACTAGAGGCTTTCCTCTTGCATGGATTTATGTCCAGATTGTAGAGCTTTTGTGGTTGATTCCTTTCAGCTGGATTGGTCAGGGTAGGGGTTCCTCTATTTCTTCACCCCAATTCAGTGGTTACTCAGGGTGTTGTCCAGGTTGGTGATGAAATTGGGAAAGATGAGCCTTTTGGCTCCTTGTTGGCTGACTTGCCCTTGGTTTCCCGCTCTTCTGACCCAGTATCTGAGCCCAGGTGTTTTTCTGTGGCTCCACCACCTCTGCAGATTGACCCAGTGCTGTACTCTGCTAGTGCATTCTTCTCTTCTGATCTACATGTCTGGTTTCTGACGCAAGTCTTCTGCCCTCTGTACTGTGCATTGGCAGCTGAACTGTTAGTGTTCCTCATGCATCTTTTGTCATTGCAACAACATGAAGTTTCCTGGCACTCTTGTTTATATTCAGTGTCAATACTTTCTTGGCACCATTCTGCACGGTGCCTCATACTTTCTTTCACCTCCTGGAGGTTCATGTGGCTCCTGAGCTATCTTGGTCTCTTAATACAATGTTGTGTTTCTTTCCTCTATTTGGTTCATAGTTGCCCCTTCATTCTGGGGTACCTTTCCCAGGGTTACCTGGGCTCTGTTTTTGTAGGCTTTCATGTCGTCAGGTTGGGAAGCCTCATGCTCCACTCCAGAGGCATAGGTACTGCTTGTCTGGCCCTGGTGGGCAGTTTCTTCATTTGCAGCCTTCTCTTCCTTTTCTGGCAAAAACTGAGACAGTTAGCTTCTGGAGGGGTCCCTTGGTGTCTAATGTTTGGTTTGTCCTCCTGAGGGTGAATCATCTGATGTGTCTAGTGGCAGCAGTTCATTGTTACCTGCCTGCCACCCAATCTGCTTTGGTGGATGGCCTGTTTGTAGACATAGTTTCCTTGGTTTCCATGGCCCATTTGTCCCTAGGTTGTCCTTGTTGTCATTATATCTAGCAAGGGAGCCGGTTGGCCTAGCGGACAGCACGCTGGACTTGTGATCCTGTGGTCCTGGGTTCGATCCCGGGCGCCGGCGAGAAACAATGGGCAGAGTTTCTTTCACCATGCCCCTGCTACCTAGCAGTAAAATAGGTCCCAAGGTGTTAGTCAGCTGTCACGTGCTGCTTCCTGGGGGTGGAGGCCTGGTCGAGGACCGGGCCGCGGGGACACTAAAGCCCCAAAATCATCTCAAGATAACCTCAAGATAGCCTGTGGTCTATCCTCAGGTGCATGATGTTAACAAGTTCGCAGCTATGGCCGGTGTGTTCACACCGGCCATAGCTCGTCATGGGTTAATGTTTGGGCTCTGGGGTTTTGGAGGATTATCTGGGGTCCTGGCAGTTCTGGCAACCCTAGTCCCAGAAAAGCTGGTGCTGCCCTGGGTCAGGTTTCTTGGCCCAGCATCTTGTCTTTGTGAATATGATTGCTGCTCTCCTCCTCGCTGGCAAGGAGGAGTTTTCAATGTTTTCAATGTGACAATGTTTTCTGTCTTCTCTGTTATTAGATAGTTTCAGGATGCCACCAAGAGGCTCCTCCAGAAAACGAGAATTGAACATAATGAAATGCCTCTTTCTGGCAGGGCCTCAGTGGCTCCCTGATCCTCTTTCCCCCATCCATACTGTCTGTCGGTTTGTAGTCTATCAGCTCCAGACTGATTCACTGCTTGCATGGGAGCCAGGAGCTCCCAGGGTGTTGGTCACCTGTTGGAAGCCATACAAAACTAGGGAGTTCAAGCTAGTTTTAAGTGAATCATTTTTAGAGTCCTTTGATTGTTTTGGTGTTTCGCTTTCTGTGAATCTTGCAGTTGTCTGTATTGCTTTGTTTACTTTCTGGATGTTTTCTTGCAGAGGGTGATTGCAATAATTCTGTTTCCCGTGCCTCTGTGAGGGTAGGCCAAGGTTCTGGCTCTAGTCCCCAGTAGGTCATACAGGATTCCTATGACTGATGTGACTCAGTAGTGGGAAGCCACATCAGCAAGATAACCTTGGGGAGCCAAGGCCCTGCTAGAAAGAGGCATAAATAAAATAACCAGAAATAAATAAAAATTGAGTTTAATGTAATAAAATATACTTTTCTGGTAGAGCCCTCAGAGCTTAGTGCTGTTTCAGCCAAACCGTAGGGAGACGCATCAGATCTCTGAGACCCATCCTTGCCTACTGGAAGTCAGGAACAGAAACCGACTCTCTAAGAGGTGAGCAGGGAGCATGGAAATCGGAGATTAACCCAAAATAAAAATAAAAATACCAGAAAGTATAAGTGAAACAAAACAAGCCATTGTCAGAAATTAAGGTATTCTTAGGAAGCAAGGCAAACAATCATTGCTGTGATGTAAACAACCTCATTGAGAGATGACCTGGGCCACCACTAAGTGGTAGCCCAGGTCACCCCAGAGCCCCAGCCAGGGTCCCAGCCAGGGTCCCAGCCAGGGTCCCAGCCAGGGTCCCAGTCCAGCCAGCTCATCCACAAGTTGCTAAAACCAAGCCCTTTACCGTCACTGGGTAGAAGGAAACACGATGGAGACAGGGAGCTACTGAGGGCCCCACCCACATTCAATACATAATTTCTGAGAAGGCTCCACTCAATAGCTCCCAGAACTAACAATGATGTGCCTGCAGAGGAGACCAGCATTTCTGAGAATATAGCAATAAACAGAAAAATATTACCAGGGCTTACACATAGAAGACAGGAGAGGATAGAAGAAAAATACAAGGGTTCAGGGCAGAGGGGGTTTCCATAGTGCATCAGATGCAGCAGTACAATACATGCATCGTAAGGCCAAGGGAATCCCAAGCTGAGCCAAGGTTAACACCAAGATAGACCATCCAAGACAAGCCCCAGGCCCAAATAGCAGCTAAGCAGTAAGTGAGCGAAGATGCTAACAACTGGCTGAAACCAAAAAGCCCAGAGGGATACCAGGAGCCAATGAGCAGCAGACTGGGCCACAGGGACTCTATACCAAATGCCCATAGCCCTGGGAACTAGTCACTATGCCCCAGAGGAACTCTGGATCACTGGCGTCACAGGCAAGTCAATGTCTCCACAACAGCCAGATCACCAAGACAGCTGCCAACACCCAGGAAGTCAAGGCAAACCAACTCAGCAACAGACAGACACTCTGCCCAAGAACCAATGAACACCTTACCAAAAAAGCCCTCAGCAACCAACTCGAGAACAACCTGGAACACAGCCAGACAGCCTGGCCCGAAGAGCTGGAGCATCAACATGTGCTTGGGAACAACCGGGAACAACCAGGAACCCAGCCATACACATAGCTCAGGCAAAGACATGTCTACCACTCAGGAATGACAGGGTACAAAGCCCTCAAATGTCTGGACACAGTCAGGAAAGCAGCAGGTTCATAGCCCAGTGCCAAGGATTGGTGCTTCTGGACTCTAGGTCCAGAAGCACATCAGCATTCACAGAAAATCCAAAACTGGGGAGTCAATAGGCAAGTCACAATCAATGGCACATCAGAAAAAACTAATATAGCAACAAAACTGATGCAAGACCAAGGTTTTGGAGGAGGATCCAAAGCAGGCACCACTGACTGAAATGCAGCAGGTAGCAAAAACTGCCACAGGGTTAAATCAAAACAACAAACTTCTAAAGGCCTTGAGAACCAATCCCTGCCAATGGTGAAGAGGGTCGGAGCCAAGTTTATATACCTCCTAGGGCTCAAAACTGGGAGGGGGAATGGAAAAGGAACACCAGACAAGATAGTCCCATATCTCCTTCTAACTGAAGATGAGCATCCCTGTAATACACCACCAAATCCATGGTCTGCTAGTTATGCAGACTTGGGTGCTGCTGTCAAAATACTGAAAAGAACATCAAACCGTTACTTCCAGCAACACACCCAGTGATGTAACCAGGAGGAACACAAGCCAAAGCACGGTAGAACCATCACCAGAGGTGATAATCTAAGAATCAGAAAAAACCCACGAACCCCAGCCTGAGCTAGCTGCACAAAATAGTGGGTCCCACAGTGAACACCCAAGAGAAAGGACAAAATCCCCTTCAACAGTAGGGATGGCAATGCTTGAATTAATGAGGTAAAGGCCTGGGTAATCTGTGTTGGGTTTATTTTTAATTTATTTTTACAATATATGTAAACAGTGCATGAAGACTGTACCAGTATACTGAGGCGACAAGTTAATTCTGTCCAACATTTGGACAGAATACGCGGAGCTAAAGCCACCACCACAAAAATATCAAATGACACTCATCCATTGGAGGCTTCCCCCACTTCTCGAATGCTGAGGCTAGCATGAGCCACCAAGGTGGGAAGGAGGCGACCCTGCCTCCTCTGTGGAAAGCTGCAAGGTATGGAAATGGTTGTGAAGCAGAAACAGCCTGCCTGAGAACACTGACAAAAGATGATGTGTGAGGGAAATCAGCTACTCAGACATGCAGGTATGCCAGTTATGAAAGAAGCATATCAGCTGAACAAACCCTGAACCCCAGCCATATACATCTGGCAGGAAATGGCATAGGCACCCCGCAGACATGAACACCTCCCAACTACAGTGATAGTGCAAAGTCCCAACATACACCAGGAGCAGGGTTAGACATGAAAACAAACGTTAAACAACACACAGCTAATTAGTACAGTTCTCATCAACAGACATTGCAGTAGAGATCAAGTCCTGTATGCTACCTACAAGTGAGGCAACTCTTCCCGAGTCAGCTCATTAAGGAGAAAACCCAAACCTCTTCGAGGAAGTAATCTCTGGTGGGGCAGGGGAAACACAAGCCAAATACCAAGGAAGGAATACCTGGTCCATAGTTTGGAGTGAAATAATATAGCCAGAGGCACATTCAATATGTGCAAAACTGAAAACAATGCACAAAGAAATCACATTAATGTGATGTATCAATGAGAAAATCAGTAGGTTTCAGTGGAAGCCTCAGGACCCCTAGAGGATTCAGTTGAATCCCAGGTTGCATTACTGTTAGCATATTATGGCCAAGTGGTTTAGTGTGCGCGTGGTTGCGAGTACCCAGTGTGCATGTTCGAAGCCTCCTCATGGATCCTAGAGATTTTATCATAGAAAACAATTGTGAAAGAGAAGAGTAACAATAACAAAGCAATGTGCCCCAGCAGAGCTAATGTTCCAGGGATAGCCAACACAACATATCTAAAGTGTGAAGCTAAGAATGAACCCTGTCAGAGTTATCAGGCCCCCTGAGACTTTGATCTGGCTGGATGGCCTGCACTGTCACCTGGTATCAGTCAGACACATCATGGTTAGGATGCTTAACTGGCAGCAATAACTGTTTGCCTTACCCAAGGGTCCCTAATTTTCTTCCCTGCTTGTTTAGGTTTTTTCTTTGGATTGATCCCCAATTCCCAAGTTTCTCTTGTCTCGCAAAGTGAGGCAGATTCTGATCCTGGCTCTCAGTAGGCAATTGTGGGTCACAAAGGCCTAGTGCATCTCCTAAGGGCTTAGCTGGATCCACACTTTTTTTCAGAGAGCTACTGGGGATCTCACCAGATATGCTCTTCAAGTTTCAATTTTTTTTAATAGAGGACAAACTCATTATTATTAAATACTTTTGATATTAGAGCATCTTTTATATTCTGTACAAGCAATACCCATGATCATCACTAATTGCTTAATTTACCAGCTGTTTTTTGTAGTAACTCCAAGTGTATATTCAGATAATAGCTTTACACGTGATACAACTTTTCAGTCTAAAATAATGATTTCATCTGATGATCCACTTTGACCCTGACTAGGCTTGCTCTGGACTGACTTGGATGGTGACTGCCTAATTTGGGGATGTCTAGGTTGTTGCTGGAGTCTTTGGGAAGAGTTGGCCAGCGGTCTTTGAGATCCGTATGGTTGTGGCCGAAGAGGTGGCTGTAGTCGTTGAGATCCTGAAGGCTGTGGATGCTGGGATCCTGAAGGAGATGGCCTTTGATTAGCTACAACTTGTGTACGTTTAGGCACAGATGTCTGTGACTGATGAGATGTGGATTGCCCCCTAACAGGTTGTTGTGGCTTGGCATACTGATTCAATAGTCCTGATATATTTCTTGAAGGTCTATCATCGTATGCTTGCTGCATTAGTTGTGCGGCACTTAACTGTACAACTTGTTTACTGGACTTGGATGCTGGACTTCGTACCTCCGTGCCAGTTACTGTTCTGGTACCACAAGGACTTGTAGATTCTGCCGTCCTTCCAGACGAAGTTTTGTTTCCTGCCAACCCAAGTGAAGCCTCAAAAGCTCTTGAAAATGATGATGCTGATGGCGCTGGCTTATTGACAGCCATATGTGGCTTTAGATGGCTCTTGATTCGTGGTGCTGGGGTTATACCTTTTGGTAAGGAAGGCTTACTGACTTGTCCTGATGCTGCATGCTTTGTGCTGCTGACAGTTGTGCTAGCTCGGGTTACAGAAATTCCACTGCTGCTGATAATCTCAGGCGATGTATTTTTTGCAGAGCTTGTCAAGTCCTTTTCAACAGAATCAGATGCTGGGAGTTTAGGAGGAAAAGCTTGAGTCTGTGGTTGTGATCGAGGGGCAGAGCTTCTGCTTAAAGGTAAGTCACCAGGGCGGATGATTGTGGTCCCAGCGGGTAATTTGGGTACAGAGCTCCCACCTGCAGAATCATTTGCCCAGGAAGTGTTTACATTAACAGTAGAGGTTTCATTGACAGTTGACTTGGGTAATGCTATGCTGGATGCTCTTGTGGGTGTTGGCCTATGTACTATACCTGCAGGAGATTCTGTTGTGGTGGTTGCTGTTTTAAATGTGGTGAGGGTTGCTGGTTTAGATGGTGTGATGGTTGCTGGTTTAGATGTGGTGACGGTTGCTGGTTTAGATGGTGTGATGGTTGCGGGTTTAGATGGTGTGATGGTTGCTGGTTTAGATGGTGTGATGGTTGCTGGTTTAGATGGTGTGATGGTTGCTGGTTTAGATGTTGCAATGATCGCTGGTTTAGATGTTATGGTGGTCGTTGTAGGTCTACTGGACACAGAAGGACGAGACACAGACAAAACAGAAATTTCACTACAATCCTGTAGAGATGGAAGGCATGAGGTTTTAACAGGACTGACAGTGACTGACATTTTAGGTTTCAGAGTCTGACTTGTTGTGAGGGTGGATGGCTTTGTACCAGAGACGGTGGTAATGGATATGCCGTGAGTTTCAGACCTGGCTGCTAAGGAACTTATTGCAGGCCTTAATTGACCAGACTGTGTTGAATGAGCTGGTCGATTTAAATTTGTGGTAGGCAATATTTGTGTTGTGGTGTTGACACTTTGGTGACCAAAAGTGTTTCTAGCAGACATTGCAGCAGTAGTAGGAGTGCCTATAAACCCGGGTGGAGGGGGCAATTTAGCTGTTGTTGTTCCCATAATTTGAGACTGTTCCTTGAAGTACTGAGAAATATAAGGATATTTTAAATACTTCACCAGTTCTGACTTAGCATATTCAAGTTCCTTTTGATGAGTATATCTAGAATGCCGATCAAGGTCTTTCATATTCAGCAGAGTCTGTGTATCATACATTTTGGAATATACTCTGTAGGCCTCGTGTAAAGCCACAACACGGTCTACTTGAACAGAATACACGGAACCTCGTCCTCGTCCACGACCTCGCCCTGTTCCTGGAGGTCGTCCTCTGCGTGAAAATTGTGGAGATCCACTAATATTGCTACTCATATTAACTTGGTTACTAGTAACAATTGGTGCAATGCGGGGCTGTAGGTGCTGATTTCTACTACAGAAAGCATCTGCTTCCCTTAATAAAGTTGAACGGTTATCTGCTTTCATACCACTATATGAAGAATAGGCTTCAGTAAGCATCTTGGCTAATTGAGGCTCAGAACCTGGCAAGTGTCTGCTTATTTGTTTGTATGATCGATGTATATCCAGGAGGAAGGAAAGGCAACGATTCCTATGCACTGGGGAAGTTCCCTTGAATAGACATCTGTATTTGTCTCTCATAGCTTGTAAGCCAACTTGAGTAGCATGCTCTGACAGTAATTCCCGCTCATTGTCCCGCAGGTACTTTTTGTCTTTTTCAGGTGAATTTTTAAGAGCAAGAGCAATTTGCAAAACTGTAAAAAAATCCTTCATCTGAGGCAAGACATCCAAGGTTAAGGACACACACCGATACATGTGAGCAGCAAAGCTTCCTGGGCGATCAACTTCATCATTTGGTATTCTCCAGACACCATGGAAAAAGTTAGAATTTTTGGGCTGTTGAATCCATACTTTACGCTCATTAAAGAGTCCATTAACTGGCATGTATGTCACTCTCTGCCAGAAATCACACCCTAGTAAATAGTTTCTGGAGCGGCTGCAATCCTTATGAAATTTAGAAGTGTTATAATAATATGCCAAGCGATAGAGTGCTTTGTAATTTTCTGAAAACCTCGATAAACAAAGTTTAAGAGCTGTGATACACCTTGCAATAACATTCATGTGATCCTTTTTCTCTATTACCTTTTCTTCCACTACCTGAATCTCATCATCACTTTCTCGTTTATCCTTTTCTGGAGTTGACTTTATAATCATGGGATTTGTTTCTGTTCCCAAATTGGTATTTTCCCCACAAACTTTTGCACCACCACCTTTGTCAGTGTTGTTATCTTCTATACTGAGGTTGGATTTTGAAAAAGCATCACTAACAATATCTTTAACAACTTCTTTCACAGCACCAGTGACATCACTGGGATCTTTGTTACCCGCTAGTTTCTTAGATGGAGATTCCTTTTCATTTTCTAGGCTATCTAGTGGTCTCTTACCAAGTGATGTATCTTTGTTTGGCACTTGTCTTACCAGTGAAATGTTTTCTATTTTTCCACTGATATTATCACCAACTTTCTTCTTTTCTTGACAAGTGGCAAAGGGTCCAGTAGCTAACTCATCAAGGATTTGTATAAAGAGTTTAATAGTATCTTGTTCAACACTTTTGCCTTCTCTTTGCTGTAAGTATTTCAGAATATATGCATGGACACGATAGTACATTTCTAATGCTTCTACTGAATACTCCTGAGGACTATTATAATTAATTTTGACAGGATATTTAGCCTGTAGCTCGTGCAAATATTTACCAGCTTTAATATAATATTGCAATATTTTGTCTGATGGCTGGCCTTTCTTCTCTGCAACTTTTCCTAACATGTAGCAATAAAGCCATCTCTCATCTGGCAAATTTTCATCATCCCAACCTTCCTCTCGAATTTTTAGAGCCTTTGTGAAGCATTTTTCAGCCTGATCAAGCATTTCTCCTTTCAGCTCCTCAAGCATTTGGAATGTTTCAAGGCTGATATCAGGATTGAGATCTTGCTTAAGAAGTCTTGAAGCATGGGAATGCACCATATAAACTAAACCCCCAAATTCAACCCAGAGATTAGTGTGGTATTCATCAAGCTTCAGAGCCTGCTTGAGACATCTTACAGCTGACTTAGCAAGTGAGAAGAAATATTCTTCATCTTGGATGATTTCACATGAGTTGAGCTGTGTTTCCAACATTGCCTTCATAGCTAAACCAAGCGGAGCCCATGAGTCTAATCTGTCAGGATTCATGGTAACATCTAGCTTGTAATACTTGATTGCATTTGTCCACTCCTTGCTCTTAAAATAATAATCACCCAAAAGATAAAAACAATCACGTATTATATCCGTGGGTGGAGTAAAGCGAGTATAATTACAGTCTGTCTGCTCTCCACTGATATATGCCTCCACACCACAGATGTGGTTCTCTGCTCTGTTCTCTGCAGGAAGCAAAGCAATGATTCTGAAACGAAACAAAACAAAACAATGAGTAAAAGCTAAATCCTATGATACTGCAGGAAGCATCACTCAGCATCACACTTCAGACCATGCACTCATTGTACATCATTAGAGAATGGGGAAGTAAAGGACAAAGGGGAAGGGAACATTGTTTCTGAAAATCATATATTCAAACATTGATGGAGTGGGATAAAAAATATTGGTGCTAAATGATATAATAAAGATTAAGATGCCAGATACTGTTGCATTGACGGAGATGAAACTAGATGATATTTTGCATGAGATTGTATTCACAATGGGCTACTCAATTTGGAGACAGAAAAATTAGGAAAGGTGGAGGCGTTGTTGTGCTGGTGAAAGAACACTTAAAGGTAAACAGATTTATGATTGACAACTCATGAGAAGTAGGCATAATGGCATTGGAAATTTGAAACCAGGATGATAAACTGATAATCATAAATGCCTACCGTTCACTGGCATGTAACACAAGGACAAAGGAGGAGTTAGACGACAAATGAGAGGGCCTCATAACGATCATGAGAGAGAGTATAGTAAGAGCGGATAAAGATAGATCACGACTGATAGTACTCGGTAATTTTATCTTGAAATCCATAGACTGGGAGTCCTATGAAGCAAGAATGGAGGACTTTTGGACTGGTATATTTGTAAAACTCACCCTGGAGACATTCATGTACAGTATCAACATGGTAAATAAGCTTCAAGAATGAGGGAAGGGGGATGTTCCTTTAATGCTGGATTTGATATTAACCAGGAAAGAAGGAAGAGATATTTGACAATCATTTAGTATCTTAACCCATTGTGTAAAAGTGACCATGTCCTTTGGGAAATAAAGTATGCAATGTGTTGTAATCTAAGAGAATGTCGAAAATGAAGCAGGTGAAAAACTATTTCAGGAGAGGACACTTTAGGGAACATAGAAAGTTCTTTAATGAATTTGATTGAAAAGCCTTGTTGTTAAGCAAAGAATTAAATAAGATGTATGTCAAGCTTTGTGAAATATAAGATAAAGGCACACACAAAAATTTATACCAAAACAGAGATGCAAAACTAGAAAATAGGACTGGTTCAACAGAAATTGTGAGAGGGCCATAGACCAAAGGACACAAAATTGGAATCAATATAAGAAGAGGCTAAATCCTCAAACATACCAGTAATACAAAGAAGAAACAACTAATGATAGTGAGAAGATAGGCAGAAAGACATTTTTAGAAAGGGATAGTAGACAAATGTAAAACAGAACCAGGCCAATTCTATCAATTCATTAAAAGCAAATTGCACGTAAAAGATAAAATTCAGAGGTTGAAAACGGGAAACAGATTCACAGAGAAAAAAGGAAATGTGTGAAATGAGGAACTACTATGGCTGTGGGATCAGATAAGATATTACCAAAGAACTGGTTCTCCTCATTTTACTGAACCGAACTCAACATCAGCCACATGCTGCTGTTACAATTTCTATGAACTATTGACCAAAACCCACCAGAATACAAATGCTTGGTGGGTTTTGGTCAATAGTTCAGAGAAACTGTAACAGCAGCATGTATATTTGCAATTCCTTTTCTTAAGTGACTGAAAAATGTCAATCTCTAGTAGTTTCAAATATTAGATTACAAAGGTAAATCCATGCCTCAACTTTTCACACATATTTAATGCTTATATTCTATTTTATAACTATGATTCTCCTAAATATCCTTTTCATCTTTTCAAACATTGGAAATCTGAGCTCACTACATCACTATCCTACATAGTAAAATTTCACACCCAACACTTTAAATCTTATTTAATTTTTTACATTCATTCTTAAGTCTCACTCACCCTATTAATAGAATTGCAGTGCTCTATTTACAAGATTATGTATACTTGTATTTTAATATATTTCACAATTTATGTTGTATTATTTATTAGCTCAAATTATTTTCACTCACCAATATTGTTTCAAGCCATTAGCACAACAAGCTATTTATGCTTTAAAAATTAAAACAGTACAGCACTTCAATGACAAAATTCTACATGATTTATCCTAGGGATGCACACAGATGCAGGTAGTAGCAAACCTCTTATGGAAAGTGGCCACATCATCGGTGATAGATGGTATCTGTGAAGACTGGAAATCAGGTAGTCGGTTTGGACAGTAGTACTGGTATAGCTGGAGTGCCCGATCCCAGCACAACGCTATCTGAGGCACTCCATGATCACGCAGGTGTTTATGCTGTTGACATTAACATTGATATTAAAATCCTATACAAATTCAAAGAAATATGATTTACAGTTTTATGACAGCAGATTAAACAAACTCAGTGTCTGGCATATTTAAATACTACACAGGTGGTACAGTAGACCATGAGAAACAACAAACAGGATCTGCAGTCAACATATTAAATTCTGTAGTTTGCTTAAGACTATGAAATGGGTGCTTCACTTTACAAAGAGAAATGAGTGCCATTCAAAATGTTTTAAAACATGCTTCTGCTCATCACTAAAATGTACCTGGATTGTACTGGATGAGGTTCTGGGAGTTCTACTCCCCAAGTTCGGCCTGAGGCCAGGTTTAACTTGTGAGAGCTTGGTTCAACAGGCTGTTGCTTGGAGCAGCCTGCAGGCGCACATATTCACTACAGCCCAGTTGATCTGGTGCGTCTTGCAGATAACTGTCCAGTTTCTTGAAAACTTCTACTTTTGTTCCAGCAATATTTCTTATACTTGGGAGGATATTGAACAATCATAGACCTCTGATGTTTATCCAGTGTTCTCTGATTGTGCTTATGGTACCTCTACTCTTCACTGCTTCTATTCTGCATTTCCTTCCATGTCATTCACTCTGGTATGTTGTTATTTTACTGTGTAAATTTGAGACCTAGCCCTCCAATATTTTCCCTGTACATATTATTTTATACCTCTCTCGTCTCCTTTCTAGGGAGTACGTTTTGAGAGCTTTGAGAGGATCCTAATAATTTAGGCGTTTTATCATGTTTATGCATGTCGTATCTGTACTCTGTATTCCCACTATTTTGGTAATCTCCCATGCTCTCCTGCTCTGAAATCTTGCAACAGAAGTACCTACATGACAACAGCTATCTAACCACAAAAGCTATAGCATTAATGCAAATGCTAAAATGTCAAAGTTGTCAAATACTTATCAACTGAGTGCCAAGTAATATGGACAAATAAGGGAAATGACATTGCAGACGAGGCTGCAAACTTTGCAACTGAAGGGATATTGTGTACAATTCTTTAAATTTTGTTTAGTTGTTTGGCATTTCCAAAACATTTCCAAAGAGGCCAGTGCTTTGTCACCTAATTTTAACTTCAGGGCAGTTCATCTCGATAGTGTATTGAGCTACAATCTCCCTGTGCTCTCCACTCATAAATATATAAATTCAGGAAAACTTGACTTATTAGGCAAATTGGGCCTTGCATAGTAGGCCAAGTATGACATTCTGGCTACTAGGTACAACATATTATATTATACTTGGGAGGAGATATATATATATATATATATATATATATATATATATATATATATATATATATATATATATATATATATATATATATATATATATATATATATATATATATATATATATATATATATATATATATATATAAAACTAGCTCTTCTGTAACTTTTAAACATTCTGTACTGTAATTAAATTGATTTGGGATGCTATAAAAAATGCATATAAATTTTGAGTATTAGCACAAACCTTTGATTTTTTGGATGGATGTGAGTAGAGACAGAAAGACACCTGTTCCAGTGTTTGGTGTAATAACTGCCGATGTTGCTCATCCAAACTTCTTCGCAACTCAACTAACAGAACGTCCAGACAGTAGAGTAAAAATACTCCATCATCATAACAACAGAAGGAGTGTCTGAAAAAACATAATTCCTTTATTAAGTCAGATTTTTCTGGGAGAGCCCCATGGTGGCTCCATATAGTTATCGTGCTGAGTTGCTCCATACTACAAGTCATATCTGTTGCAGGAGTTCCATTTGGTCTACCAGGAGCCAGAGCCAGAACCTGGCCTACCCTACAGAGGCATAGAGAACAAAAATGACATTCTGACCTTTCACCAGGAAAGTATCCAGAAAGTCAGTGAAGCTTTACAGACAACTGCTGGGTTCACCAGAGTTCACAAGACTTGAAGCCTCAACACTGCCAAACAATTCAATACATACAAAATAATTTACTGGAAACTAGCTAGAGCCCATTGGTACCGATTGCTACCACCTGGCAGCCCGGAGCTTGGTCCTCTGTCAGCTTGCACCTAAGTTCTGTTGCTGATGCATATTCTTCTATAAAGCAGTAGTGTTCCTTGGTTGCTATCTCATTTCACACAGCAGGTCCCAGTGCTTCCAAGCTAAAAGCCAGCCATCCTAGGACTTATCCTTTTTTATGCAAGTGTATCTTGCATAAAAGGTGAGTGCAGGTCACAACCCCCATCCCATGGCTGAGGAGGCAGTGTAAAGGTCAAGCGCAGGAGGATGGAGGCACCACAGCACAGAATCCTGAAAAGTCCGAAGAGGAAAGTGGTGAACCAGAAATGTCAAAGGGCCTATTGGACTTGCGCCCTAAGGTTTTGGTGGCTGTAAAAGGGGCAGAGCTGGAAAAAATAGTACAATGCCTGGACCCAAACACAGCCAAGAAGATAAACCATGCAGGCAAAGTTTAGACTTCGGCAGAGCCACTTGAGCAAATGATGCGAGACCTGGGAACAATCCATCATCAACCGAAGAGGAGTTTTCAAGCACAGCAGGGATGCAAGCAGAAGGGAGATGGAAGTTGACCTAGAATCCCAAATTAAACCCAACCAGGTTTGAACTCATGATGGAACCAACTGTGACTTTTACCAATTCACCAGAGGCCCAAACCTGGTGAGCTAGAGAAGAACGAGATCCTGGCTTGCAAACGCATGGACTGGTTTGGAGCCCACACCAGCCAACCATTGAGGAAGGCTAAGATGCAAATCATTAACACCCCATAATGACAGACGTGGGGTGGACTGCTCATCCTGGACGAAAGGAAGTATTAAGGACCACCTCCACTGAAGACCCTAGGGCAGTACCCAGAAGGCCTGCATATCATGGGACCAAAAGTTGGTAAAACGGGCCAGATTTCTCCCCATGGCTCAATCAAAGGGGTGAACTGCAAAAGAGGTTGGTATGAAGAAACCTTGAGCCGACCCACCCTTCCATGATGCCTACCTATAGAAGTGAAAGCTGAGGCAGGTGTAACAGCCTGAGAATATGATCCCTCCAGAAGACTATCCTGACCAACAACAGGCAAGGGATCTGCCTCAAAACCTCATTTCCTGCATAGTGGGCACAGAACCCTGTACAAAAACCATACTGTACTATAGTCACCACTGCAACGAAAAGAACCAAAGACACAGCATCCTCAGGAAACAAGAGGCAAAATGGAGGACAACAGTAGCGACAAAGACCAAGCCAAAGCTAAGCAGTACAACACACTTGCACGACATGAGTGGAACAGAAGCCTGTCATTATCTTCTGAAGGAGAGGAGCAAGCAACTTGGGCAATACCTCTGAGGCCCGAGTTGCAACAAGGATGCAACTGAAGATAAACAGCCAAGGTATTTAAGCTGCCATGGAACTAACCAGAGAACAGCTGCATGACTGCCCAAACATGCAAAACTGCATCCAAGTGCAAATAAGCCCTGTAATCTTCAGTGACCACAGGCTCCCAAAGCCAAAGCAGCTGCCACACATCTGCAGCCCAGGGCAAAGATAGTGAAAACAGGCAAGTCTAAAGTAGTTCAAAATCAGCACCATCCCCAAAAAACCAGCATTGAATGTAATGAATCGCCATTTTCTGGGTGAGTCCCGGAGGCTTCCTGGAGCATTACAGACTGATATGCTAATGTCAGACTTTGGCATCAGTCATTTGGCATCAGTCAATCAGACTGCACCCAACCACAAGGCCTCACAGAGTCCTGGGATTTTCTAGGTTGACCTGATTCCCAAGCTCCCATCACTGTTTAGAACACCATACTCTGGTCCTGGCTCCCAGGAGGTCAGCGTAGTCTCTGAGACATGTTGCACTTCTGAAAGCTTGGTTACAATGGTGTGTATGTTATGGAAAGCTACCAAGTAACAATGTACAGTACTTTATAATTAGTGCATCAACTGGTTAAAATACTGCTGCATATGCCTTGCTAGAACTTGGCAAATATGTAACTGTTTCTTGTAAAGATTATAGAGCAAGGAAGTTAATATGAGAAACATGATTCAGATTTTCAAATATTAGATTTAGCATTCAGTAACAGATTGATGCAGACTAGAAAAATTTAATCTTTTGTAAAAATTTCCTCCTAAATACATTTTACACTTCTGTGACTTTTATTTCTTCAGCACTAATCACATATTTCAAATAGAAACAATACTGTATTTAATAGAACAAGAGATGCTTCCCTGAATGTGACTTACTTGCCAAGCTCTTCATGAGCTGTTATGAGGAAGAGAGTAGATGGGTAGGGAACTCCAGAGCTTTTGTTCTCAGCGGGCACATCCTCTTCTACATTACTTCTCTCTAGGCTTTTGCCTGGTGGAACTTTGCTGCCATCAATTGCTGCAAATCCTGAACTGTTGACAATCTGCGTTAGATTCTGGTGCATCTTGCCGAGTTCACCTGGTGGATGGTTAGTATTATTTTACACGAATTGGTTTTAGTATTATTTTCTATTTCTGGAAATGCTGGGAAAACTTTTTTGCATATACTCGGTCAAGACGTATGCATTTCACTCTCATTGAATTCCTCATTTAAAAGAAAGTGATTCTCGCAGTAGCAGTTTTGTCTTTCATATTTAGCAACTTACCTGTAGTTGACAGTGTTACTTGTTCCTCATTATTGTCTTGCATGTCTATCTTTGTTGTATCTCTCTGTTTTTGAAGGCCCTCCTCATAAGCCAAAAGGCGATGAAGAAGTGTCCACGGAGTAAGAGTTTCAAATGGCAGGACCTGAGCACTTTGCGCTCTTTCCAGCTGTGTCACCAACATCTGGATCAATGTTGAAACTAGTTCAACCATTCGTTCATATTCTACATTATGCACTGAAAAAGAGTAAACAAATACTGTGGTAGTAATAATAATGATTAATTAATTAATAATAATAGTACACAGAGAAATCACACTAACGTGATGTATCAATGAGAAAATCTGTAGAAGCCGTGATGAGGATTCGAAGCAGACATGGTAAAAGGATTACAACCTGGGATTTAACTGTCCACAAGGGTTCCCGAGGCTTCCACCGAAGCAGAACCAGAGTTTCACACAATCCCCAAATGCACTCTGGCTCTGTCATTCAAGAGTTCTACAAGAAGAATGTATTCTTCTATCATGAAACATGGTTCACAACCACTAATCTTGAGCTCCACTTACAATGTTTCCAAAACAGGAATAATTATATTGCGAATTATAAAATTAAAAAAAATTTCAATACATCCTCCAAAATGAAAGTACACAACATTTTGGAGGATGCAACACCATGCCAAACACCTAGAGAAGTCAACTCTAGATGCATGCAGCTTGAGGTGAACAGTTGTTTTTGTTCCCAGTAGGCTTCCAATAATTCACAAGGGTCTGGTGTGATTCTATATCCAGGTTGCTAGCAACAGGAAGCCTCCATAGGAGCCCTCCCAGACAACATACTATTAGAAATGTCATTCATCCACTCATTATATCACTTGCCATACAGTACAATATAATGTATATCACCACAAAAATTAAGCTCTGGGAATGGGAAGGAGGTGTTGTATTTAGATTTAAAACAAATAATATGAAATGGGTACATTCTAGTTACACTTTGCATTATTAAGCAAAAATTAAAACAAATCGACTAACATATATTTTAGGTGGTAGCAATATGAGAAGAGGGAAAGAATATTTGACATACTTGTACTGTGTAGACAACACAAGAGGAGGACTATACACATACTGTACTTGTATATAGTGATGGGTATTGTTATGAATGATTATTTAAGTGGAGTAGTGGTGGTTCTGTGTTGTTGTGTAGCATGTCAAATATGGTGGCTGATGGTTCCCAACCCTATTTTGTGGGAAATTAGTTAATAACAACAACAATAATAATAATAGTAACAATATAAATCTTTTTTCTATGGGTACAAACATTAAGAAAACCTAAGCGTGCATATACATAATTAAAATACTATCAACACTTACTGATTTGAAGATTTTTCTCTAATGTTGTGTCCATAGTGTCACAGATTTTCATTAAGGTCTTCGCCCATCTGTTTTTCTCTTCCTCTGCCTCTGCTCGGTTATAGCGTTTCAAGGCCTCTGTCAAGGACTGGGCTCCCCAAATAATGACTCCCTGAAAGAATCAAGCATTTTATGTAATTTAACACCCTTTTACAGTGGGGTCTTTATTTGCTCCCTGAGCTAAGCTCTGGCCCAGCTAAACCTTAAGAACATACAACAGGCCTTCGAGACTCCCCTTCCAACTGGGAGCCAAGGCCAGAATATGACTCTCTCTTCGAGGCAATGGAAACATGCTCATCAAAAGTTGATCTAAACCTGGGAGAAAGCCGACCAGAAAACATAAGCACAGCAAAACAAGCAGCTGCTTGATGAACTTGGGTACCATAAGATAACAAGGCACTCAATCATTGCTGCAGACTACAGAGCCACTGCCACAAAGGCAGAAGCCTTGGCCACAAAAGGAGCAAACCACCAGTGCCACAGAGCACAGGCACATTTGCATGAACAGGCAGAAAGAGGTGAAAGGTGAAACCACAATCAATCACAGAAATGGTACAGAAGCAAAAACTATGTGCCTGAGAATGCAAAGAAGGCAGGGACAAAGAGAAACCAGCCATCCAGACTGTCATACAGACAAGCATGCCAGGCATGAGATATGGCTCTCAGGTGAACAAACCTTGAAATTTACCAATAAACACTCAGCAGGGAAAGGATAGGCAGCCCTGTACTAAAACAATCATATATTCAGCTAAAGCATAAAGCCCTAACGTGTACAAAGAGTCAGGCCAAGCACAATCGAAGCAAGTCAGACAACACACAGCCATTACAACACTCCCCATCAGCAGCCATGCAGTGGTGAACAAGTCTCTTGTACTACCCAGAAATGAGGTGATTTAGAAAGAGTCGGCTTGTAGTTGAGGAACCCAAACCTCTCAGATCAGGTGAAAGGCAAGCTGACTACCAAGAAAGAAAACCCAGGTCCACAGTCAGAGTGAAATACAAAGCTAGGGCACATGCAATGTGGATGACATACATAAAACACAATTGTTAGGGAGAAAGGAAATAATGACAAAGCAAAGGTCCTGACAGAACCAGCATTCCAGGAAAAGAAAACAGCACTTAGTTCAAGTGTGAAGCAGAGAATTAGCCTCCATCAGGGGTTCTGCGCATCTGATGATGTGACCAGGCAAGAGAATGAGGAGGCTGGCTAGCTGGACCTCGCATGATCTGGGCTGCTGTTTTGTGGCAGCAAAACACACCATAGTTAAAATGTTTATCCTGCAGCAGTGATTGTTTGACTTGTTACCTTAATGTAACTAAATTTCTTCAAGCAACTGCTTGTTTTGTTGCATTTATGCTTTTTGGTAGCTTTTTTTAGTTCTGTGATGGTTTCCAATCCCTAAGCTCCTCTTGGCTCAAAGAGAGCACCAGTTTTTGGTTCTTGCTTCCAGTAGGCACCTGCGGGTCTTAGAGGCTTGTTGCATCTTCCTCAGGCTTGGCTGGGTCAGTACTTAGCTCAGAGAGTTACTGAGGGGGTCCTACTAGAACATTTGTTTTATAAAAGTCTATTACAATTCTACAAACTCAAACCTGAAGACACAGCAATCAATAGATTCCAAACTGGCATTTTCCTATTTTAAAGTTGTGGTCTTACATACAGTATACATGCTAGTAGGGAGGAATAGATCTTGGACTATCATTTTTGTGAATCTAGTGCAACACTACTACAAATTCTGCATGACATTGTTGCATCTACTTTTAAGGCTGTGATAGATCAATTAGCTTGATCTATCCTTTCCTTCAGTTTTGTCTGTGGTCCCTACTCATTCAATAGAAACGTAATGCTAAACATCCCTTTGATTCTTTTGTTTTTCAGTTTCCACCTGTGTTCTCTACTTCAATTTGACCTTATTTGCCCCATAATATAAAAGTTCTTGAACAGGAATTAATACTTTGTCTGTAACAATTTGTATAAATTAAAAGAATTCTTGCTGTACGGAACAAGTGTACTGCTGTAAAACTTATATACAGTGCAACCTCAATTTGATGAATTTTTGCTGAACAAGCATTTGAAGATTTAGCAAAGTGGAGAATGTGTGGATTTGTTTATGAAGCAGGGTCACACATGTGGAAAAGTTGTCCATTATATGATAGATTGAAATTAAAATTTTGCTCAATGAAATTAGCCCACAGAGCATTAGAAATATTGGGTATGAATTGTACCTCTCTAAATATGGCTCTTAATCACATTTTTATTGATTTTTGGAGATGTATTCAACGTAAGAAGTTTTAGGACCTCAGAAAAGCCAATGAGTAAATTTAAAGTATCTGTCCATGCCTAAGGAAGTTCCATCATGCAAGCACATCTCACAACATGAGCATGTGCTGAGAGATCATTCTCTCATACCAACCAGGTTGAGACAGACTACTATCGACACATTGCTGGAGTGGATATAAATAAGACTCTTGGAAGAAAGATGCATTTGAGTATAATTCAAACTGCTGCCATTTTCTGAACATTGATGCAATCCTCCACCAACATAAGAAGTCAATGCCTTTGACTACCATGGTGGATACCATAAGTTAAGCCTCAACTCTTGCAAAGTGTCAATAAATGGCTCAAGAGTTGGAACCAGAGGTATCCAAGGACTATACCCAAACTCCAGTATTAACTGTTAAAGAAGATGTCTCAAGACCAAGGGAACTAGCCACCACGTGATGATCTAGTAACCTGTGATAAGCACAAAAGTATGCAACTCATTTAAATCTTCCATCATAGTGCACTTGGCCTGAAGTGGGAGGAGAGTTCCTGTTACACAAGAACTTCACCACATCTGACAAGTGAATGTATAATTGAGGTGCAGCTAAATAGTAGCAATACTTGGTAATTCTTATAGTGCCAAGGACTGGATCAAGTGTCTCGATTCCTTATTGGGATTATGTCCTGACAGAAATCGTCTAAAATGTTTATTATTGTGCACATGAAAAATGTAACCCTGCTTGAATATCATGATACATTCCTTTGCGACCAGAATGGAACTTGGCTTTGGGAGTATCCAAATTAAATGGCTAAGACATGTCACAAAATTAATATTTAAAAAATGTGCATTTATACCTTGTGGTCATGAAGCTTGCACAAGGAGTCAACAAGGATGGCTAACTGTGTCTGTCTGGTAGGCAATGTAACACCTGGTCGAGGCTTAGGAGGAGATTCATGGAATATGGTTGTCAGCAGCTCTGCTACTACTTGGTAACACCCATCTGTGTATTTTCCAACAACCTGCTCCAGCATCTGAGAACTAGAGAAAAGTACAATTAGAAGGCAGCCCTCAGTCTGAGCAAAGATGAGTTTCTGATTTTTTTTTTGCAGGCACAATATAAATTTAAATGGGAAAAGTAGGGTTAAATAAAATTATTGTTCAATACTCCAGTAAATTTTCTAGTCATCTTACTCATCTGAGCATCAGTTAGAAGACAAATACAGTTAACTGCTGTAATTATACTGAAGAGTACTGGTGCTTACTGTACATTGTTGCATAAGACTAACACGAATTAAAATATTTTGATTCATCAAATGGTATAACTAAACGCTTTAAAAAAATGAGCGTTGAATGTAATGAAACGCCTCTTTCTGGTAGATCCCTGATGGCGCCGTGTAGCTATCTCACCACATCAAAAGAATAACACCTGCAGTGTATGGGAGGCTGGCTAACATCAGAACTGCCTTCAGGAACCTGTGTAAGGAATTATTCAGAACCTTGTATACCACATATGTAAGACTAATCCTGGAGTATGAAGCCCCAGCACGGAGCCCGTACCTTGTCAAGCACAAGGCGAAGCTTGAAAAAGTTCAGAGGTATGCCTCTAGGCTAATCCCAGAACTAAGAGGCATGAGTTACAAGGAAAGGCTGTGGGAAATGCACCTCACGACACTGGAAGACAGAAGAGTAAGGGGAGATATAATCACTACCTACAAAATTCTCAGAGGAATTGACAGGGTAGATAAAGATAAACTGTTTACCACGGGTGGTACACGAACAAGGGGACACAGGTGGAAACCGAGTACCCAAATGAGCTACAGGGACGTTAGAAAGAACTTTTTCAGTGTCAAGAGTAGTTAACAGATGGAATGCATTAGACAGTTAAGTGGTGGAGGCTGACTCCATACACAGTTTCAAATGTAGATATGATAAGAGCCCAGTAGGCTCAAGAACCTGTACACCTGTTGATTGACAGTTGAGAGACGGGACCAAAGAGCCAGAGCTCAACCCCTGCAAGCACAACTAGGTGAGTACACTACAAGTCATATCAGTTGCGGGAGTTCTCATTGGCCTACTGGGGACCAGAGCCAGAATCTGGTCACACTCACAGAGGTGCATAGAGCAAATGAGAGTCTGCTATTTCATAGGGAAAGCATCCAGAAATTCAGTTAGGTTTTACAGACAAGTGCTGGGTTCACAAAACTTAAAAACCTTGAAACTACCAAACAACTGCCCAAATGATTCAACACAAGACAAAATAATTCACTCAAATCTAGCTTGAACCCATTATTATCGATTGTGGCCACCAGGCAGTCTGGAGCTCAGTCCTTTGCCAACTTGCCACTCAGTTCTGGAGCAGAAAAAAAAACACCCCAGTGAACCAATGAACCTGAAAGAAAGACAGGGAGCCACTGGGACTCTACCAGAAAGAGGCATTTCATTACATTCAATGCTAGATTCATAGAGTAGCCCCTTGGTGGCTACTCAGGACCAGGAAACATGACCCAAGGAAACACAAGACCAAAGAAGACAAGGGACGTTAACTAAATAGTATTTAGCTAATGTCCTCATTATAAGCCACACAGCAGACTCACAGAGTTGACAGGGCCTGAAGGTGACTAACCAAGCAGAACACCCAGGCACTAGTGATGGTCTCTGGAAGAACTGATACCAAACACAGCTTATAGGTTTAATATGGCTGCAAGCTGAGGGCCAAATAAAGAATTCCACATAACACACAAATAAACAGAATGCCCCCAACCATACGATCTTGTGGAGGAGTTTACGACTTATGCACTGCCCAGGGTGAGGCTCACCAACCTGGTGTTCTGTCCTATCAGGGGTAAATACCCAAACACACCAGAGAAGTAACTCTGTTAATGCAGGGACAATGCTAAACCAGTGCTCACAGTGTAGATTTGACTACGTCCCCCATAACAAATGGGGACAAACAAATGAGACTTGTAAACACATGCTCAAGAGTAATTATTGTACTTATAGTTATGAATGATACACAAGCAAATGGACCCCACAAGATTAAGACCAAAGGATATCCTTTACTTATCTTCAAAAAGGAGTGGGTCTTCATGACAGACTTCAGAAGACACCCGAGGCAAGCATCAGCAACAGGACCGAGTGGTTGCTGTTTTTGAAGCCGAGAGCTCCCCCTGCCCCAGAAAACCAATGTCAAATGTAATGAAATGCCCTTTTTTTTGGGCGAGCCCTGGTGGCTCTCTGACTCCCTACCCCTACCAGGTATATCGATTCATGTTTCATCAGCTCTGGACTCAGTAGATGCCAGCCTTGAAGCTGGGATGCCACCTATTGACAAGTCAGCACACTAGGGGGTGTGTCATACCCATTTCAAATGAACTAATTCGTTTTGAGTGATTCACTTGCAGTACCTATTGGCTGTTTCAGTGCTTTGATTTCATGAACCATGCAGTTGTCTGTATTGTCTCTTCTACTTTCTGGTTACTTTCCTGGTGTGGGCAATCACAAATTATTCCCTTGCTTTCTGTGCCACTTTGAGGAGGCCAGGTTCTGGTTCTGGTCCCTGATAGACCAACAGGATGCCTATGACTGATGTGACCTAGTAATGAGAAGCTATCTCAGTGATACAGCTTCAGGGAGCCACTGAAGGTCTTCCCATCCCCCCTACCCTCAGAAAACTAAAGTATTATCTTATCATTTACACAATTCTAAAACAAATCTTACCGCTGCAGGAAGTTTAGGTGTCGTTTGACTTGTGAATTACACACAATAGTTGGGTCCGTTTCTACACGGGCACAGTCAACAATGAATTCCTTCCCAGTGTCAACAAGCCGGTCAAGGTCTGCTAAAAGCTGCAAAAACAGAGCATTGACAGTAATAAAATGTACCTTTGTGAGTGGCACCCCCCTTCTCTAGCACATTAGCATGGTCAGGACACTATACACCAAGCTCCTGAATGACCTTTTTGACCCACTAAGTACAACTATTTTTTTTCAATATATCTTGCCCTGTCATATGGGGTTGGGAGCTTATGGAGATCAAATATCAACCAACAACAAAGAGACCACACTATGATAACCTGGAATGTAACAAAATGCTACCCCTCCCTCCCTTCCTCCCTCTCTCTGAGTAATATTTGGCAACAATTGTTGTTGTCTGAAGGGGCCAGGTTCTGGCTTGTGGTTTCCAGTAGGCCAAACTCCATGCGCTTTGACTGATGCCAGAAAGCTAATAGTTACATATCAGCCTGGATAGATCTGAGAAGCCTCGGGTCTCACCCAGAAAATGGCTTTTCATTATATTCAATGATGGTTATTTGCTGTTATCACACTTATGCACACATTATATATAACTATCTATATGTTCATTCACTGTTATGAACCACTAAGCAGTTCTGTGTGATAATCTCGTAATTAGTGATTCAACCACTGCCTAGTCCTGCACATTTCCACCAAGTTTTTACTGCATTCATTGAATATACAATATTTTCTTTGCATTTTTAATGTTTTAGCATGGTTTTTTCCAGTGATGATGCAATGGGCTGTCAATAGTATTATTTACATCACAGAATGTGCATAACATTAGTGCAAACAGATATATTTGTGTCACTTATGTGTGAACCACAATACGTATGGTGTTAGAACAATATATAACGTATCATTTTGCTCATCACACTGTAAACATACATTGAATATGTAACTACAGTATCTATATGTTTATGCAACATTACGAAACACTAAGCAGTTCTGGTTGGTGTGATAATCACGGAACCAGTTGTTCAAGCAAAGACTAGCCTTACACACTCGGCACTTGACTAAACGAAATACCACCTGATGTCACTAAACACACCACTAACACTAACCAAAATACTACTATTATCAAAATCCTAATCCTTAAATCCTGAAAATTAAAAATTTTCAACATGTTCATTTTCCAGAGAACCTCGAAGTCCTATTGCAAGATGCACAGATACCGTACACTAAACTGTAACTTTGTGCTGTGATGGCAGACTAGGCTTTGCACTGGGAACATTGTGATCTGCATTGGGTTTACGGATATCTGAACCTTGTATGAAGTCTTTATTATGGTCAGTATCTTCTATGTCACTATTGTTAAATTCTTGCAGTTTCATATACGGGTATCATCGAAAATGATGCTGTAGACATAAGCCACATGGTGGTGCTTTGAGCTGCTGCTGCTGCATGTGCTACTCATATTTCTTGTGTTAGTACTAAGGCCCCTCATGCCATGGACGGGTGCCCATGAATTATTTCCAAGATGGAGTCTGTTTATTGGAGGCCTGAGGAAGCAAACAATTTAAACTTTCCTGTATTTCCATGAGAGGTTTAAAAGGTATGCAAGACCTAAATACAATACTGGTTGCAATGTAAACCACTGGTCAAACAACCCAGGTTGCAATGCACATTTGAAGCGTTAATCCCAATAGTAAGAAGGTATGTCCCCCTTCTATATCACTGTTACCACTGATAGTTATTTTGACTCAAGTATTTGAACCAAAACTACATTCTGCATTTTACCATAAGAAAATGAAGGCATAACTTAATAATATTTGTCTGCAAGGAATACTTAATAAAATGGAGGATTAAAAGTAATGGGAAAAAATAAAATGATTCTAACACATTCTAAATACAAAACAGCCTCTTCAGGTTCTTCTTGACAAAGCTTTATCTGGGCCTGAAGCCATCGTAGTCGTGTGTGAAACTGTGGCGCCTCCTCCACCCACACATCTCCGCGTCCAAGCATCAGTGTCAGGTGAACTATGTCATCTTCCAAATGGTAGCAATTTTCTTTCACAAGATTATTCCTGAATAAAAGAATAATTAAATTTTGTTTAGTGTAATACTGAAAACATATGATGCACACATAAAAACAGATGGCTGACACAAATACACAAGCACACAAACACACTCACGACTTGAATTAATGAGAACATTAAGTCATTTATAATACTGAACAGTAGATATGTCTTTATATGCCAAAGCAAATACACAGGAAAAATACTAATTTTCATAATAATTCAAATCCTTAAGATCAGTGATATGACTTCATTTATGAAATGGTATACATTTATTGTACTTAGAAAAATTGTCCATTCATTAGGAGACCACTAATTAAGTTTTTGGTCCAATTCTTCCCATTTAAACTAATGCTCAGTCATGTTATTACTTAATCAAAAATAAAAATAGGGCTTATCAAAACTAAAGTATGTATGCAGTTTCCAGATACATGTACTATAAAATGAACTCTTACTTGGCAAGACTATTCTCCATTTTGGAGACATGCTGGAGGCTCACTGCTAGCTCCCAGTGCGTGAGAGACAGCAGGGAATCCTGATAAAGTCGAGTCCGGTTTTCCTGTAGACTCAGAGCTGGCCCGTGGTACACATGATTTCTGTTGTAAGATTTGTGGATTAAATATGGGAAAATACACATTACTCACCAAGTTAACAAGTAATAAGTGCACATTTTACTAAGTTGACAGCCTTGTACTGAATTTAATTTAATTAATAATGTACTGTATATACTGTATATTTAAAATTAATTAACACTACTCAAAAATTTATGATTTTCACATAAGTGTACAATCATTACTCTAATTTATTGTCAGTCTTATACCTACTTCTTAGCTACCATAAATCAGGTGTTTTCAAAGGATCCTTACAAACTCACTCATGGAATGTCAATATAGTGCATGACTGTATTTAGTCTACTTCACATGGTACAAAAATTGATGGCTCCTCTGCCTGTGTGTTTATTACATTCCCATTGTTGGGGACATAAAGCCTGTACTGGTACTTAGGTTTGTACTGAGGCTTTCCCTAGGTCAAAGTACTGATCTTACCCAGGATCCAACCCACAACAGTTGCCTAACTTCTGAGAACCTATTTACTGGTTTTACTGGTCAGTGAACCGCAACATCAGGTGAAAGGAAACGTGCCAACAATTTTTGCCCTTCCAAGAATTGAGGCCAGGATCCTCAACTGTGAGTCGAGAACGTTGACCATTGTATAATAAGAGAAAAAGACTTGAGAGTATACATAATCCCAACACTAACACCAGAAGCTCATGTGAACAGGTGTGAGAGAATGATGGTCTCCAAGCTAGACATGGACCTCATGGTCGCAAGTGTATGTGCAGTTTTGTACACTGTGTATTGGTGATTACTATTATCTCAAGCCACAAGTACCTTAAGTTGGGTATTCTCAGATTGATAATGGCATTTGCAATTCAGATCAAGTATGTGTGGTGCCATATGTCATCTGGTTATACTGGTAGATGACAGTTTACATCTCGCTTGTATAATCATGGGTGGATTTCGCTGATATTATTCTGGCTACAGTCTGTTGCAGGTAGCAGAAGGGTCAAGGTCTGAACCTGACCTTTCCAATGGTTGAGATAACCATTCCTCCCACTCCCAGGGACATCAAAGTGACTCATATTTCACCTAATCTGGTGTCAGTTATTGCAGAAACTACATTCTGATTGGTGTTCTGTGTGGAGGTCTCTCATTAAGATACAAGGTGTGAGCTTGGCTACCTTGCCCTTAGCACCATCACCGTAATCTTGTGGAAGCTTTCCGAGTGTTAAGATATGGTATTCTCCGAGCTCCTGAGTCCCGTCTCTCTCGAAGCTACAAGTATTTATTCCAGAACGCATCCTGCTGTGAAACAACTCATGCACTGGTAGAGACGATCTCCATTCATCAACGGCTAAGTTGGAGAGCGCTCATATGAATGTACTGTGTGATTGCGGAGTACTCTGTTAATTTGTGCATACAATAATAATTCACATTTCACAGTGCAAGTGCCACCCAGCGAGTCTGGAGGTGTTTCTTGTCTAAATCTGGTGCAGCCAATCATGGGCAAGAACACCCTTGCGAAGCACTGGTACGTGTCCAGAACCACAAAAAACCACAAAAATCACAAACCACAAAACAAAACAGAACCACAAAAAGTTCTGGACCACGTGTCCAGCACTGGTACAAAGAACCAGGCACGTGTCTAATTTATTTACAACATATATCCAATATGTGCATGCCAAATTATTTTTAAGCATCATTTTGAGTTCCTAATTAGCATATGGCAGTGTTGTTAGGTAGCTGGTAATGTGGTACATTTAAGTATTAAGCTAGGATCTCTTGTGTCTTGCGTATTACCAGCATGTCAGATATTTGCTAACACAATGTTCCTTAAAGCAAAGACAATTACCCCACTTCAAAGTGTAAATATTTTATGTTTAATTTACTGAATAAATTTGTATGTTAAGTGCACATGGTATTTCTGGAAAACCCTTCTCCCTTATATATGCAAATCAGGTCATGCCCGCAAAAGGATCCTCCGCCTATACTAGCACCAAATCAAATCAAATTTTCTGTTACCGATCTCTGATTCCCTGCACCACCAGGTTGAGTCAGACATGACCTATGCTGGTAGAGTTCAAATGAACCCTGTGCCGTTGCTCTAGACACTTTGTTCCTTGTTGATAATCACTGTGGACGGTCAGTCTTCCGGTCTTTGCACTGCTGCTCAAAGAGATGGTCCAAGTAAAGCAATTTTTTACAACAGGATATGGACTTTAGCAAGGTATACAACATAAGAACATCATTTAAGAATCTAACCATGGAGGTTTTCAAGTCCATACACACTCTCTATGTGAGATGATTATATGAATATGCAGAACCAGAATGGAACCCACACCTTTCTGAAGCACAAAAAAAAAAAAGTTCAAAGGTTTTCATCTAGATTAGCATTAGCATGGAGAGGACTCAACTATGAGGTCAGGAAGTGATCACTCTATGCATTCATTTTTCTAGGTAGCAGCAGTCTAGGTTGTGTGCCTGGTTGGATGCACGGAGTTGCCCTGGTTAGTGTTTAGGGACCCGTAACTGGAGGTGGTGTTGAACTCCATCTTGTCTTCATCCGCACCTACTCTTCCTTCCCTTTCGGGCGTGGCTCACCCTTCTTCTGACCAATCCCTTCCCCCCACTGCTCTGGCCTTGAAGTGTCTTGAGGGGGTTTCTGCATCAGGGCAGGGTTTAGCTCCGGCTGTGGCTCTGCCAGCTCTAGGAGATGTCCCTTTCAATTCGGACATGGAGGCAGTTGACCCCTGCTACTCCTACCAAGGCTTCTTGGCTCTCCTTTCAGACTTCTTCCTTTGAACTCCACCTTTCTGTTCCAGGTGGTGGGCAATTACACTGACTCTGTCCTGGGGCCCCTCTTCTGCAACTTTCAGGGCTTGGGGCAGTCAGATTTGGGCCCTTTGGTCCCTTTCGATTCTATGTGAAAATATTAAAGAAATTGTTCACGACTTTTGTGAAACAAAAATTAGAATATGTAGCAGTTGTATCTCAAGATGCACATCAATAAACTAGAAATTGTTTAAAGACATGCCACTAAATGGCTACCAGAACTAAAACAACAAGAGCTATGAGGTTAAAGATGTTAAATATGTCACAGCAAGATGATAGAAGAAAAAGATGCAATACAATCACTACATACAAAGTAGTAACAGGAGTGAACAACATTGACAAAGAGGAATTCTTGAAACCTGCAGCTTCAAGAACAAGAGACCATAGATTCAAACTAAGGAAACAAAATGTAGAAAAAATATCAGAAAGTTCTCTTTTGCAAACAGTGGTAGACTGTTGGAATAATATAGGCGAGCAGGTGTTGGATGCCAAAACTATCGTCAGTAGTTTCAAAGCATCATATGACATTACTGGGAAGATGGGACATCTGTAATTACACTTAGGTATTTACACACAGTAAATCCCAACCCACCCCAACCATCAGGCCCAGCATAAGAGCCGAAGCACATGAACTCTCCAAAGCGAGGCCCCTCATAAAGAGGAAACCCAGATGGTTGGACTCCTGAACCTTCTTAGGGAAGAGGACACTGACCTGAAGGCAAGTACAATGCCAGTGGCAACCAGAGAAGGCAACTTTGACCACCAGCAGCCAAGGCAAACAAAGAATCAGGGTATATAATACAGACTGGCATCAAAAGTACATACACACACACACACACATGGAGCTAAATGGAACACAAACACAGACAGTTAAAAAAGAAAGCCAACATTTGGCTTAGAACTGTGTAAAGCAGTGAGGCATGAAAAGGTCCACCACCAGGAGAGTGAATGACTGGGGCAGCTGGCTGGGACCCCCCCCCTCCCTCGGGTCACTGGGGCTATCTGGGAACAAGTGAGTAGTACTATCTAGTAGTTGCATCTAGACATCAAGTGTGTGTGTGTAGCTTGGATCAGGATTGCAAAGGATGAACAAGGAGCTGCTCGTTTTGCTGCACTTTACCTTTCTGGTGAATTTTCCTTTAGTATTGTGGCTATGTAGTATCCCCAAACTCCATTACGCCTCTACTGAGGAGGCCAGATTCTGGTCCTGGTCTCTGGTAGGCACTCATGATTCATCAGTACATGGTATGGTACCCAAGGTTTGCAAGGTTCCAGGTGGGTAGCCCAGGAAGATACCAATGTGGCAGCAATTGGGTATGCAGCAAAAGAACAAATGCTGAAAATTATTAATTTGCTTACCTGACTCTAGGGTAGATTTCAGTGAACATTTTTGCTGCTGCAACAGGCCACACCGTTCCATGCTTCTTCAAAAGAATACGCAAAAATTGCTGACTTAGGTCAAGAATGCCCCCATTCTCTTCATGACGCATCAGAAAGGCTTCAACCTGATGGATATAAACAAACTCATACAATATTGTTAACATGTATATCCATATACCCGGTAAATAATTTTATCACTCTGGAAAATACATATACATTACAGTTTCTATGAAAATTAAAGAGAAAAGGTCTACTGAGAATTAGAAACCGAAATGTTTGCCAATTTAAATTTTTACTTACCTGTCCTTCCTCTGTTGAAGAAGAGAAGATGGCCATCTCTCTCTTTCTCTTCATTTCAGTTTTTCTATCTTCACATTCATCTTTGACTGCACATATCTTGGGTAGTTCACTTCCCTGTATTGGCGTTATATTTTGGTTAAGCTCACTAACATCCATTGTTGGGTTAACCAACTGCTTTTCTGTACTGAGAGCCACTTCAGAATTTTTGGGTGTTAAACCAGCATGAGAGGAATGGGAGCTTTTCTCACTACTTTCTGCTAACAGGGAAATTTTCTGGGCAACACCAACAAGTATTTTCTTACTGCTGGCAACTTGACTATCAGTGCTGTTAACTGCAGACATGCCATTGACACTACTGGTATTTGACACATTGTTGGTAGCAACATCTTTACCGTTACGAAGATCCACATCTCTGCTGGGTACCGTATTCGGTGTTTCAGGTACTTTTTCACTCTCCGCAACACCTAACTTGCTAGGCTGATCAGTCTTCGTGTGGTGGCTGTCTGCAGAACTTCCACTTGTGTTAGGAGAACACATGCCTTTGCAACTAGTGCTGGTACCTAGATAAGTGTTCTGAGGTCCTATCTTCTTCATTTTATCACCACCACCATTATCCCTAGTGAACAAAATTAACAATATAAATGCATGGACTATTACAAGAAACCTTCTACTTAAGGTACTAGAAATGTTTTAATACATAAATAAAGATACTTACATTAAAAGCAAAACATTTATCTATATCTTATGACACATGTTCTTCCCATGCACTCCCATACTCTCTCATATGAAGTGGACCAAAAGCAGCCTATCAAGTATGAGTGGGAGTAGAATGAGAGGAGACAGGTGGAAAGCCAAAAACATAGACAGAGGGACAACAAGAAATGTTCTTTAATGCGAGTAGTGAAAAAGACAAATGATCTAGATGATGAGATAATGAAGACAACTTCAGCCACAGCAATGAGGCACTGTGTAGAGCAATGGAGTTGATGTCATTGTAAAATTAACCCTTAAACGTGCAACACTTCATATGACATGTTGAGTAACTGACGCGAAAGTGCGCACCCCTTCATATGACATTTGCGGCGTCATATGGCTGGTGTGGCGGCCACTCTTTGCTGCTTTTTGACTCAGCATACCAACTTAGTAGTTCGTTATGGTGAACACAAATGTAGATACTTATATATAATGTGTATATATAGTGTAATAATAGCAAAAGCAGTGGTGGGAGAAGCCCTTTTGGTGAGGGAGGTGGCATCATCTGCATGACTTGTCATGCTGTGTTTGGGTGGCCACTATGCTCTTTGGGCACTATACTAGTTTAGTTGAACAGTTATGGTGAACAAAACATGTGGGATACTTATATATAATGTGTACATGGTGTAATAACATCACAAACAGTATACTTCAAGGAAGAATGTTAGTGCGACTGGCCATTGAACCAGTAAGGGAGGGAGGGAGGGAGCATCTGTTGTGTGTGGCCACCTGTGTATATTGTGTAATAACCTGTGTATACCTGTATACCTATGTAACCTGTGTATATGGTGTAATAACAGCAAAACTATTTGTTTATTGTTTTATGAACATAATAATTGAATCACTCATATGATCACAATTCTTTTGAGTATAGTGATGATTCACACATTTTATTATATAAATATATGACACTACACACTATTGAATAATATTACTGAAAAAACTCAGAAAAAATCAGACAGTGAAATAATTAGATAATAATATCTTTGTGGCAACACCCGTCTGACAGCTCGGGCGGAGCAGACCGCCACTGACGATTGCTCTGTCAACGCCTCTTTCTGGGAGGAGCTCCTTCGGCTTCCCAGAGCTTACTAGGCTGATATGCTAATGTCAGACTTTGGCATCAGTCATGTATATGGAGTTCTATGGGCCTACCGGGGACCACGAGCCAGAACCTGGCCCCCCTCAGAAGAGGCAAGGGGATCAATGGCCTATAGAAACCCTCGTGTGGTTGGAAGCATTCTATGTCTGCCATCGACCGAGTCAGGCACCCAGAAAGGTAAGCATCCTAAAACAAACCCCTATTCTGGTGAAAATATTGCTACTAAAAGTCGAACAAGTGGATTGAACTCACAAGCTGAACAAGTGATGCTAAAGGCTACGGTCGTGTGCTCTGGCTCCGGACATAGTTTCAACACTGTGCTTTGAGTGTGGTGGCTGTCTTCTAGGGATGCGAGAGCCAGGAGTTATTCTCCAGTACTCAGGCTGCATGAGCCTAGGGTTCCCTTCCCTAGGTGCCCTGTATGTACTGCCCTAGGAACCTGGGGTTACCTTCCACAAGTTCCTTGGGTCCTGCCTCTGCTGGCCGTTTCACTGCTCGGTTTTTCGGCCGCCCTTTGGGTACTTGGGTGTTTTGTCTCCCTTGTTTACCTTAGGGTAAGAGGCAGTTTGCACTGGTTCGGGGCGCGGGTTGCTGCGTAGCTTGTGTTCACTGATTATAGTGGCTGGCTCTGTTCTCTAGGGTACACTGTCCTCTTGCGGGGTTTTCTTTTTGTTTTTGTTTTTGACTTGTGGGGGATCTGCCCTGTTTTTTGCTCACTTGTGCTTATCCTCTTGGCCCGGTGGTGGCCGGCCCAGCCGTGGTTTCAGGCGCTGCTTGCTCGGTGTCCGAACCCAGAGGTTTTCCCGCGGCTCCGCCTTTTCCAGCAGATCGGACCAGAACATCACGTGGCTGGTTCGATCTTCTCCTAGAGTCTTCGCGTATGGTATTTTTTACTTGAGTTTATCATCATCTCTATGGCGATCAGGTGGCTTCCTTGTTAGTGTCCCACCTGCGGGTTTCGTCTCGGTGGCAGTATGAAGTTTCTTAGAGGTCCTTCCATTTCTTCTTGAGTCTTCGTCGTTGTACTTCGCTTTCTGTTAGGGTGGTGTTAACCTTCCTCTCTTGGTTCTTCCAGGACCATCACATTAAGCCTAACACCGTCGCCTCGTATCGTCTGGTGCTGGCAGAGCCGCTTCAGCTGGCTTTCGGTATTGATGTTACTTCTGCACCGTTTCGCGAGCTGTCTCGGGCGTTGTTTCACCTCTGGCCAGCTCATGCGCCACCTGAGCCATCCTTTTCATTGAACAGAGTGCACTTTTATCTTTCTTCTCCTTGGTTTGTTGTGGCCCTTTCGGTTCAGGATTATTTCTCCAAGGCTCTTTTTCTGTTGGAATTGGCCTCTGGGAGTTGGGTTGGTGAGCTTCATGCTCTCCTCCGGCGCAGGGTTTTTTGCTCTTTCGGTCTTCGTGATGGTTTTGTTCATTTGCAGCTGTCTCCTCCTTTTCCGGCAAAGAATGAGACTGCTGCTTTTCAGAGGGGTCCCTGGGTTGTGGATGCTTGGTTGGTTAGGCCGGGGGTGCATCATGTTTTGTGCCCGGTTGCGGCTCTTCGCCGTTATTTGCGCGCCACGGCTTCTGTGTCCGGGGACGCAAATTTTGACACATCTTTGCATTCAAATACGTGTGTGCTTTTATATACCTACTACAGCATATAGATGTCAAACCTGTGATAGGTAAAACCATGTTGTTTTTGAAAACTTTGTTTTTCATGTGAGGGAATGGTGAGAAGGATGAGGGGATGGAGGAACGGTGGGGAGGACGAGGGAAGGGTGAGGAGAACGAGTGGATGGGGTAAGGGTGGGGAGGACGAGGGGACAGGGGAGTGGGGAATGGTGGGGAGGACAAGGGGACGGGGGATGTTGGGGAGGATGAGAGGACGGGGGAGTGGGGAATGGTGGGGAGGACGAGGGGACAGGGAAGTGGGGAATGGTGGGTGAGGACGAGGGGACAGAGGAGTGGGGAATGGTTGGGAGGACGAGGGGACAGGGGAGTGGGGAATGGCTAGGAGGACGAGGGGACGGGGGAGTGGGGAATGGTTGGGAGGACGAGGGGGAACGGGGGAGGGGGGTGGGGGATAGTTGGGAGGAGGGGGGGGGGCAGGGGGAGGACGGGGGGGGGAGGGGGGGGGGGACGGGGGGGGGGGGAGCGCGGGGGGAGGACGGGGGGGGGGGAGCGGGGGGGGGGACGAGGGGGGGAGGGGGTGGCTGAGGCTCAGCAATGCATGGGGGACGGGGGAGGGTGGCTGAGGCTCAGCAATGCATGCGCGTTGCTGAGCCACAGCAACGCGAGGCCCGGTACAGCTAGTCTAAAAATAAAAAGTTTTGTCTTAAAACAGAAGCATTAATATACTGTACAGTGATCTTTGAGTGACAATGACCAATTTTGAGAAATTAACTGGTAGATCCACAAAATGCAAAGAACATGATTTATCTTTAAAGAAAGAATACTTACAGAAGAGATGGAGGAATAAAACTTCGAAAAAGATCTCCCCATGTCGAGTACTCTGCCACTTCAACTGCTCCTAGTAATTTTGACGAGATTGTTCGTCTGCGTCGTTTAGCATCGCGTTCTTGCCGCCTACCCCAATAATCAAGCTGTTCCAGCTCTCTCTCTAAACCACGTTTGGAACGCTTGGTTTTTCTACCAGTCCCTGCACTTGTTTGTGACTGCGATTCTTCTGCTTTATCTGAAGCCTCAGCACCTGTATTTTCATCCACTGTGTCTGACTGTCCATTATTTGAACTACTGCCCTTCTTCTCAGATTCTTTACCTACTCTTACATCATTATTCCTTGTTAAACTGTTCACGTTTCCAGAGTCAATTTTCACAGCCATATCAACTTCATTATTTTTCTTTTCTTTTGGTAAATCAACTTCCTCCTGGTTCTTTTTCTTTATTGGTTTATGAATTTCCTCAGCATTTTCTTCTTCTTGGCTCTCATTCTCTTGGCCTTCTTCCTCATCATCCTCTTCAATATCTCTCTCTTCTTCAGTTTCTTCTATCCCTTCCCTTTCAGTTTCATCCTGGTCCTCTAAATCTTCCTCTAAAGCATTTGCATCATCATCTTGTTCCGAGGACTCTTCTTGATTATCTCCTTGTTCAATTTCATCTTCTTGTTCTGTCCCTTCTTGATCCATCACATCTTCTTGATCAATATATTCTTGATCTATTTCGTCCTCATTGTTGACACCTTCTTCTTGTTCTATCCCTTCATCCTGGTCTGTACCTTCTTGTTCTGTCCCTTCTTCCTGATCTGTAGCTTCTTCCATTCCTTCGTCATTATCTATACCCTCTTGTTCGGTCCCATCTTCTTGCTCTATGTCCTCATCTTGATCTGTATCCTCTTGTTCTACCCCTTCTTGTTCTATACCCTCCTCTTGTTCTGTACCATCTTCTTGCTCTATGCCCTCTTCTTGATCTGAACCTTCTTGTTCCGTCTCCTCCTCTTGTTCTGTAGCACCTTGTTCAGTCCCATCTTGTTCTGTACCCCTTCCTTGCTCTATACCCTCCAGTTCTGTCCCTTCTTGCCCTATCCCCTCTTCTTGTTCTGTTCCTTCTTGTTCTTCCCCATGATCTATACCTTCTTGTTCCATCCCTTCTCCATGATCCAATTCTTCTTGGTCTATACCATCTTCTTGATCCATCCCATCTTCCTGATCCATTCCTTCTTCGTGAATCATATCATCTTCATCTTCCTCATATACTCCGCCATCAAAATATTCATCATAGTCATTGTCATAATCAAAATCATTTTCTGGAAGCCCTAATATTTCAGTAGGCTGAAGCGCCATAATGCCCTTGAGAGCATTTACAGCAGCTTCTGTTTCTGTCACTTCTGAATTCATCCCCTCTTCTTCTTCCTCCTCCTCCTCCTCTTCCTGTAGCATTTCATTTTCTCTTAAATCACCATCTTCATCTCCTTCAGGGTCTTCCAATTCCTCCTCTTCCTCTTCCTCCTCCTCCTCCTCTTCTCTATCATCTTGTTTGTCTTCATCCATTTCATTTGCATCGTCATCTTGCTCGAAACCTTCACACGCAAGAGCTCTTTCTTCCCTATGCTCTTCCATTGGCTGTTTATTGGCCTCTACTGCTTGAACCATTTTGTTATCTTTCTCACTTGCTCCATCATTTGCTTTATTACAAAGGATTGTACTCTCAATTCCACTTTCCAGTTCTTGTGGTACAATGGTTTCTTCTTTGCTTCCATTATCTTTAGCTATTCCTTCACTCGCTTTCAAGTTGATTATTATTTCATCATTAACAATATCCTTCCTTGGTGAAGACAACTCTTTTAAATTGTTTGAAGGGCTTTCCTTTACACTACCATTATGTTCGCCTTCTTTATGTATACTTTTTGATAACTCGCAATTGTCTGTCACAACTGCTTTCTCTGGAACTACCATGTTTAGCCCTTCAGAATTCAAAATTACATTATCAGATTGTACATGATTATCTGCACTCTTATCCTTCTCTACTGCAGTATACAGAGCAGACTTACTTTCTGCTAACTTCAAAATTCTATCTTCATGAGCTGGGTTAGTAGTGAAGCCACGGAAATCATTTTCAGACTCGACAGAAGTATTCAGAACCTTATTGTTTGAATCTTCCACTCTTGTACCTTGTATTTCATTAGTCTTCTCATTATTGCTCACACTGTCTCTCATATCTTTATCACCAATTTCACAATTATTTTCTTTTTCCTTCATAGAGCTCTCATTTGCAGCATTCTCATTTGGCACTTCTGCTAATTTAGGAGAAATCTGTGTATGTGGTTCTTTATTGTTGACTAAATTATGATGGCAGACTTTCTCTTCATCCGAGTTATTTTTAATGGCACAATTGTCTCCTTCCATTAGTTGATTATCATCATCTTCACTTCCTTTCATGTCATCATCTAGCCGAGAAAACGTGTCACTGTCTATCGATCTTCTCTTTTCACCAACCCTAAACGAGTCTCGACTTTCGCCGAGCTCAATTGTGCACCGCCGGCTGGAAACGCGAACTGGGCTTCCCTGAAATCCTTCAGTTTTACTTTCATATTTATCATTTTTCTTGTCATCTTGGCATTTATCATCTGAAATATATTCTTTGGTGTTTTGTAAATTGCCCTTCTTTTCTCCATTGATATTCATCTCCCTTTCTTCTTCTTTTCTTCCGTCGTTCATTTTTCCTTTCAATGTTTCTGTGTCAATACTAATCTCACCTACCAGATCTATTTTCTTCACTTCATTATCACTTTCACTAAGTTTTTCTTCTGGGTTCAAAGCATCATATACATCAATTCTTGCTGCAAATTCCTGGAAATAAAGATAGCAATAATTAGATAACTATGGCACACTCATACATTTTATTGATTTGTATAGGTATACTGTACAAGCATACACATGTAATGCACTATGTGCAAACGTACACATAAGCAAACACGTGTTGTCCCGTTTAAGAAAGCCAAGTGAAGGGTGTCAGGCTTCTAAGGGAATACTGTATCTTATTCCCACTGTACCAACTTTAGCACCACTCTGTGACTAGCTGCTATGGTATTAGTAAAGTACTATGATATTAGTAAATTATTTTAGATTTACTATGATATTAGGAAAGTACTTGAATACTCTACTGTGTTATTATGATTAAAATCTGATTAAGAGTTAATATACTGTTGTTTATACAGTATTTCAATATTATCATCTGACCACTAAATAAAGTATAATATTAACTACAGGTTACAGCATATTATATACTATATTTCTCTCAGCCTATCTGATTTCTTAAATAATAATACTTCATACTCTAATGATAGTCAAGTATTATCGTCCACACCAATGTCACAAGACTTTCTCTATAATCTGGTCCCTGTGCAGATATAATGCTAATATTTGTGTTTGTGTACAGTACTCCAAAGGCCAAGCACTGGAACCTATGGTTATTCAGTGCTCATTACTAATACTTCACCATTATTACTGTTGGCATTTTATTTTAAAGAGTATTTTTGATAAGAATAACTTACATATGTGAACATAGATACCAGCATAACCACCACCACCTGTTGTAATATTGGATCCATACCCTCTCTTTAACATCCCTTGACATATAAGCTTAGCCTGTTATCACTGAACTTGCCCTAAATCATTATTTCTAAAGCTGCTAATGCACTACTTGATTGGAGGTATTCAATCACTTTTAAATCTACAGTAATGTGATGTGAACACATTATGTTCACATCATTATGTGATGTGATGTGTTATTGAGGGACCTAAATTATTTACAGTATAATTCCTCTGCTAAGACACATATGTTGCTCACCATTCCATCAGCGTCCACAAGATAATCATAGGTGAGCATGAGCGCCTGTCCAAGGTCAACCCATGAAAGCTTTGACATGGGTTTTCTTAGTCGTTGGAGTTGCAAGGGCGACGATGGTCGCGGAATTTTATTCGGAGGACGTAAAGATTCACACGTTTCAATAAATTTGTCCCCTTTGGCTTTATCATAGTCTACTTCTTTGAAGAGAACCGAGCTGTAAAACAATATGAATGATATAGCAAGTGTGTTGATACAGATGGTCTATGACAAGTGTCTATACACAATACTGGTCTGGTGTTTACCAAGTTATTCCTGATAATAATTTCTTATTACATATTCATTTTGGTAATATATGACATTAAAAATGCAACTGATAATTAGACACTGTAGTTGAAATTGCTTCAAATAATGCAGTGACAAAAGCTGTAATAAAGACAGACAAAAAAATATTAAAAAATTTAAGCCTGTCAAGTACAACAAAATCATTGCAAATATTGTATCCTAAAATATCCTGTCAAGTATGACCAAAACAAAAGAGCAAAACATCACGAACATCAATTCACATTTCAAGAGTGGGCTTGTGCACCACTGTGGAGGGCTCAAGTGGAGCTCTCCACTGTGGAGGGGTAGTGTACCTCTGTGGAGCGTAGTGCACCCCTTCAGGGGGCTCATGTATCACTGTGGAGGGCATTGTACATCTGTAGAGGCCTTGTGTACTACTGTGGAGAGTTTGAGCACTACTGTGGAGGATATTGCATTGCTATGGAGGGTCCATGCATTACTGTAAGGCAATGCACCACTGTGTATGGCTCGTACACCAGAGGAGGGTAGTACACCTCTGCAGAGGGTAGTGCACCTCTGCAGAGGGTAGTGCACCTCTGCAGAGGGTAGTGCACCTCTGCAGAGGGTAGTGCACCTTTGCAGAGGGTAGTGCACCTCTGCAAAGGGTAGTGCACCTCTATGGGGGTAGTGCACCTCTGTGGAGGTAGTGCACCTCTGTGGGGGTAGTGCTGTTACCTGGTGTTGATTCATAGGGGTGGCCTAGCAGCCCAGACTTTGATTAATAGAAAATTTCCTTTAGCAGTTGCCATTTATGCAAAGAGAGCTCAGAAGGTCTTCAAATTTTAGTGGACTGACCTCTGACAGTAAGGCTTGGCTGGATTGATTATTTTCCTGGCACACACATGACCCTGCAGGGATGCTGGAAATTCTCCTGGTGTATGTTGCCCTGCCTAAGTGTGTATGATCCAGGTCCAGGACACAGCAGGATCTTACTTGAGGGAGCAGCCTAATGTAGTAGCTTAGACAATTATTTACACAGCTCTTGTAATCATCACTGCTCCAGTTAAGGGAAAACTTAATCTAATAAGAGATAATATATTATTACACAGCTCAAGAACTCCTACCTGTCACGATAAAAGTGCTTGATGTCTTGAATGAGTGACGGCTGAAGTTCAAATATCCTATCCTTGAATGCATTAGCTTTAATGTATCCAGGATCTCGAATAAGAGCAGATATTGCCAATCCAAGACAGTCCACATACATTTCAAGAATATAAAGAACAGACAGCAACTGGTCAAGGCATGGCCAGTGTTTTGGATTAACAGTCAGACCCTGTGGAAAGAATTTTTATTTTAATAAATTTATGAAGAACTTACATCATACTGTACTATGCATCCCTACACCTACAATTGCTCCCTATGTTCCAACAAGCAGAAAAACCACTGAATTCAAGATTATATTAAGCCAGTAACTGGCTTAGCATAACCCATTAAAGAAGACCATTGTAATATATGATAATTATTTCATAAATTTGGGCTTGAAGACAGATTCTTGTTTTCTAAATTATGCATTTATTAAGAAAATCCACAGGAACCGAGATAAGGATTCGAACCTATGCACTGGGTGTTCCCAGATGCACGCTCTAGTCGACTATGCCATGACATGGTCAGAATTGCAACCTGGAGTACTACTGCACCCACTAGGGTTCCCGAGGCTTCAACTGAAGCCAAACCAGGATTTCATAATTTCCCCCAACCAGGGTTGGGGAAAATTATGTAATAATTGTACCAGGTTGCAATTATTTGACCATGTTATGGCACAGTTGACTAGAGCATGCCTGGGAATACCCAGCACATGGGTTTGAACCCCTCATCATGGCTCCTGTGGATTTGTTCATGAAAGACTAAGTTGCAAGAATGAAAAAAAAAGAAAAAGACCTGGGAGTGGATGTAACACCAGAAGGACCAATCAACAAAATAACATCAGCAGCATATGCAAAACTAGTAACCATAAGAATGACTTTCAAGAACCTGAGCTAGGAATCCCTCAAAATACATGCCAGGCCAGCCCTAGAATATGGAGCATTATTATAAAATCATTATTTTTTTATTATTATTATCATTATTATATGGGAGTTGACCACCCATAACAGAAACACCATCTCATCACCTGTTGACCTGGCCTTGTGAATACCCAAAGTACTGTATGATTATCAATGGGGGATTAGGTTTATGGATTAGGTAAAAAGAGGTCAGCAAACACTGAGAAACACATTCTTGATTATATGACCTGAACAGCCACACCCACACCATAATATTGTATTCCACACTGACCTGAGGGTTTGTGAGGGAGAGGGGGATACTTGTTCCAGTCAATTTGTGCTACAGTCGAGATGCACATAGGCAGGAAACTCTACTCTAGGGAGCACAAGCTAAAGTGTATGGGACCTAATTCATAAATCAGGTGATATGCCCTGTGTTCATGGATGCCTACTGACAGCTGTAGTTGCCAGGATTAAAGTTATTACATAATGGCCATTGTGTGTCTTACGATTAATTAAGGACCAAGTACATCATTTACACAGTTGAAGCAAGCAAGAGGATAGCAATTTTGGATGGTGTAAGGTAAGGGAATTCTTGTCCCAAGTGGGTGAAGGGACCCAGGGGGAGCTCAAAGGTGTCAACCGTCATTGTAGCGAACAAAGATGTGTTAGTGACATCATGCTACCCTTTCCATGGGCACATGAACTGGGTACTAAAATGCTTAACAGGGCATAAACAGGAGATCAGATTTGAAGAACTTAAGAAAGCATGTAGAATTATGGCTGGTAACAGTGCTGTAGCTAACCATAGTTGGGAAAGGGATCACAATATTTATTTTAAGAAATGTGAAATAATCTACAAAAGTAATAATATTAGAACTACAGTAGATAGTTCTAATATTATCACTTTTAATAAAGTAATTTTTATTACTTTAAAAAGTGGAAGGGGTTCTAATAAATACTCTGAATACTTTCCTTGGTATCAAAAGCTTTACTTCGGAGGAATATACTAGGAAAATGATTCTGAGTGAATTAAAATTAGATCTCAATAAATAGATGAATGAAAGCAGTCCCATTGGCCATGCTCCTTGGGGTATGGAAAGGGTTACAACAAATAGCATTCAGATGAACACCTCTATTAATAACAACTCCAGTTCCCAGAATAGCAGGATTACAGAAAAGACACACGACCATATTTCTGTAGAAGGCATTACTGCAGGTACATTGCCAATCGGGAATAGAGGCAACATGGTCAGGTGGTCAAGAAGGATAAGAGGACTGGACCCAGGATAGCAGCCTCATTAGATGTCGAGATGTAATTCTCATCTTAATCACACACTCAGACTTTGATAAAGCACTCAGGAGAATGCGAAAGACTTGGTATAAATTCCTTACACAAATTTCAAAAATACAAAAGTGTGGATATTTATCCTGTTGTGTGTGGATATTTATCCTATGTTATTATGACTGTGAGAAGACATTACCATTACTAATCTACATACTGAATTTCTTAGATAACTTTCTGCAAGCCATCTGCCATATTCATATAGGCAACACTACATGCAGGTGGTGGTCAGGAAAGAGCAGTACCCTACAGGGTCCAGCACCAACACTAGAGAAGTTCAGTTTTGTTTTGGAGAATTTGTATTTTAGTATTGTTGCCCCCAACCCAAAATTTTTAAGTGGAAATTAATGAATCTAAAAGTGGAAAAATTGAACCACAATGTGGAAGAGTCCACTTAAAATGAACATCTAAAAGTTTTGTTATCAATGTGGATTTAAAAACATTGTGTTTACAAGTAATTTACAAATTAAGTGTGGAAGTGCTAAAGATATACAGCTAAAATCATCATTTTGATACCAAGCACGCAAGTTAAATATAAATATTTTACATTTACATCTATATTAAATGTGTGGCCTACAAAGTATAGCACCATTCATGAAATTGGCCATCAGTCAAAATAAATGTACTCATGCAGCAATACTGGAAAGTTAGAAGGTATAAACGCACCAGTTACAATAGCTAGGTGGGCACTAGAGCTAGGTACTGATTTTCCCCTAGATCTAACCAACTAAATAAGTATATGACTATCACATTAGCTTTTCTAATATACTAGTACACATTTCATACAAGTCTACCTAAAGGGGTGTTCTTTATCTGATTAAAATATAAAATTAAGCCTGGGTAAAAAACATACTTCCTGAAATGCAACTAATGCAAGTTCAAAGTCCTTTAACTTGATTGCTGTAGCTCCAAGTCTCTGCCAAAGAGTTACTTCTGAACTATCCAGCTGAACAGCCTGAAATAAAAAATAATACTGCAAAAGTATTTACTGAAATATCTGTAAAGTAACAAATTTTAGTACTGTAACTTCAAATGTCTCCATAACATCTTGGGTAATTACGGAGCCATCCATATTTTCCTTCCATAGTACAGTACTGTATCATATGATACAGTTTTGTGAAATAATTAAATCCAAACGTAGGGTGTGAAATGAAGCAAAACAACTTGCTGAGATTGTCCCTAGAATTTTCCCCTCAAGCCAAGAATCCTTGGACCACCAGGATAATGTCACTGCACTTGGCTCTCATGACCTACCCAAACATCCTAATACAGTAAGTATCTTTGTAGATAGTCTTATTGGGGACAAATGATGATCAAGGGTGACAATGGCATATTTATCTAAAGCCATCACTGAAAGTCCAGCTTGTTATAACACACAGCAGGGATTAACCCCTAACCCCCGCACTGTGCAGAGCGCCTTGTGGCATTATATCGAGGGTGCGCAGAGAGCCATGTGGCTTTTTTAGGTATAGGGAGGGATTTAAAACTCCGACAGGTACACGGGGCTCACATCTTGAGTCTCGGGACACCTGTAAACAGACGCCACCTTGAAAAAAAAAATCGTGGGTAATATTACCGGGTGCGAGGGCCTCAGTAGTGAGTGAGCAACCAGGGCTGGCGCACGCACCATGAGCTTTTTTGCAAAGAATTTATTTTTGGCTCACCAACGGTGTCTCATATTTTAAGGCAATGCAGCACAGTGGTTAATATATCAATAACCCTGAAAAAGCACTTCAAAATCTGGATTATATCATTCTGTACCCTATCCTGTTTTGAATGAAACTTAATATTTCAGGTAAATTTGTCCTTCTTTGTCCTTTTGGAATTTATCACCAAATTTTCTCAAATTTTCCTTACAAGTGATACAACACATGTTTATGCATATTTACACATAATATATAAATAATGGTTTTGAAAGCCTATAAATAATATCTATAGTAGATTATTCACAAAATAGTAAAAAATTACACTCGCCTTGTGTAGCACTAACTGTTCTTGCAAACACAGAGGCAGTATAATACAGTTATAGTATTATGTAATGCTATCTGTTAAACATTCACTCTGACCTGGTTTTGAGGTGCTCAGTCCTTGGTTAATGTTATCTCTTGGTTTCTGAGTAACTATTCATCCCCAACAGCCAGCTCCAAGTGTGTTGCATAAATCACTGATAAACAGCATCATCCAAATTCTTGTTCATAAAATGTTTTAATGCTTTTATGTCACATCTCTCAATTATATTCACAAAACAAAGTACAGTACTGGACTGTCTATGCTTGGTAATCCAAAACATACAGGGTGTGGAAAATTATTCTACTGTTTATGCCCTGTGCTAAATTATTAAATTTATTCGGCAAATGTAAGTACTGTATTTGACGACCAAACCACACATCAGAAAGTGAAGAAATGACAGAAATGTGAGTCTTTTCTTCACTTTCTGATGTGTGATTTGGTCATCATATCTTCAGCCATGTTATTTTGACTCATCTGTAAAAATTTATTTTACCAACTGCTAGAATCTAAAAAAAATCTACAGTAACTCTTACAAAATGTTCATACCCCTTTGGGGTCTACATTCTTCCAGAATGTGGCAAAGAAAAAAATTAAACCTAAGCATTCTTCATGGTAGGGGGCCTGACAGCTGAGTCGACAGCACTTTGGATTCATAGTCCTGAGGTTCCAGGTTCCATCCCTGGTGGAGGCAGAATCAAATGGGCAGAGTTTCTTTCACCCTGATGCCCTTGTTCACCTAGCAGTAAATAGGTACCTGGGAGTTAGACAGCTGCTACGGGCTGCTTTCTGGGAGTGTGTAACAAAAAGGAGGACCGGGCCGCGTGGACGCTAAGCCCCGAAATCATCTCAAGATAACCTGAAGAAGATGGTTATTATACATTACATTAGTATTATCATACCATACCTCCAAGTAGTATTTGGCTGCCTGAGCATTATCTCCTTGTTTACTAGCAAGGTTACCAAGATTCTTGAGACACGAGTACCGCAGTGCCAAGTCCTGCGGTAAAGTGCCACTGGGTTTAACACCTTCTGGCCAGCATGCCTGAAATATCACACAACTCATTTAGCTGTCATCAGTAAATACTATTTGGCTGTGAAATCAATCATTTTGCATATTAAAAGTTATCAGCTATTATTCTGACAAAAGAAAAGTCCAAAAATATTTCACTTTATATGAACTCTGAACTAAGATATTTCAAACATTACATTTTAAAATTTTGTTACAAAGAAGTAACCTGAGCCCAAAACAATTCACTGACCTTTAAAACAACTATAAGTAATATATATAGTTTTATAGATAATAAACCATCTATAATAATGTTATCATTTATAGTGATCATTTATAGATAATAAAAACAAGACACTGATCTATAAAAATACATACATACATACATCCATCCATCTATTCCACAGGGTTCTGTACTCAGACCCATCTTGTTAGATATACTGTACATGAATGACCCTCCAGAAGGTATAGACTCATTTCTCTCAATGTTTGCTGCTGATGCTAAAATTATGAGAAGGATTAAGACAGAGGAGGACTGCAAGTGGCTACAGGATGACCTGGACAGACTGAAGGAATGGTCTAACAAATAGCTACTAGAGTTTAACTTGAGCAAGTGCAAAGTGATGAAGATAGGCACAGGGAGCAAGAGACCAAACACAAGGTACCAGCTGGAAGAGGAGATCTTTCAAGAGTCAGGAAGAGAGAAAGATCTGGGGGGTTGATATTACACCAGATCTGTACCCTGAAGCCCACATCATGATACTATCCCTAGGTCGATTGGATAAAAAATGAATTTTATACAGATATTTTTTGTAGCGGACACAAGTCCAGTCCAAAGTTAGGATTCAAGAGAAAAATAATGGATGCGAGTCCGGTCCAGAGTTACAGATAGTGTTAATCTTCTCAAATAATTGTTAAAATTATACAGAATATGGGAAAATGTAAGTAAAAGGAAATTTAAAATATCCTCAGGCATATAGAATTTAATTCCCATGGTTGGGGAGAGGAAGCCTGTACTGTACTTTAGACTTATCGAGGTCCCCCTAGGCCAACTTTCCCAGTATGCAATCCACAACAATTGCCTAAGTTCTGAGTACGTATCTTTTTTACTGCTAGGTTAACAAGTGCATTAGGTGAAAGGAAATATGCCTAACCATTTCTGTTCCACCCGGGAAACAAACCTGGGATCCCCGATTGAGAGTCGAGGCCAAAGACCACTGTATTACAGGATCCATCTTCAATTCTAATTTTGTTATACTGAATCCCATAATTTAAATAGAAATGTTTCCAATAATTAAAGGTTTTCTACAATAGGATTTAAGGAAAATGTTAATATATTAAAATGTTAATGTTACTAAACACAAACTGACTTGAATTACAGTATTTCTATAAATATGATTGTATGCAATTTTTGCTAAAAGCTCCACAATTTTTTGTTAATGACTTAAGTAAGGACAGTGTTTATATTTTTTTATCAGGTAATAATAACCAGAGAAATGAAAAATCTTAATTCTAGAGGTTTCACTGCAAAACACTTTTAGCCACCATCAAAGGAAGGAAGCCACCATCAAAGGGTTGAAAAACCTTGAAAAAGAATTATAGTTGAGCCATGTAGTATAGATGGGTTTCCACTGACTGAGCATATATCTGCTTTGGCTCTGATCTACCTGACAATTTACCTGAATTTACCTGAGGGTCACTAACACTAGTGGCCTCGAGGAGGACTGGAAGCCGGCAGCTTGTCAAAGGTCCCCCCATTTGTCCTGATAATTTTTTCAAGCTGGATTTTAAAATTCAGCAGAGTTTTGGCATTTATGGCTTCAGCAGGTAGACGGTTCCATGGGTTTATAACCCTGTGGGTGAAAAAGCATCTCTTGTTTTCAGTCCTACACTGTGGCTTGTTCAGCTTTAAACTGTTGCCCCTTGTTTGCATTACATTTGACCTTTTGAAGAAGTTGTCTGGATCAACCTCCTCTAAACTGTTTAATATTTAGAACATTTCGATGAGATCAGTTCTATCATGTCTGGTTTGCAGTGTTTTACAGTGTTGTTACAATTACAGTCACTATCAAATGAAACACTGAATAAACTGCCTTTATACCACCTGCTACTGTCTATAAGGTACCGTATTTATTCTCACCTGTATAAATTTGTTTTTGAATGAGCTGAAAAATCTACAAATTACACCAACCTTCTCAATATAAGGGTTTTGAAGAACTTGAAAGAATTGCTCTTGAGCATCCTCAAGGTTTCCATGAGCAAGGTATCTGATAGCTTCATTGTAGGACTTGGTTGCCTGAGCTTCAAGGGCCTCTCGTGTGGGTCCAATGTCCTCCTCTTCACTGCTCCCAACTGACCAATCATTTAAAGCTGCAATACGTGTCATTCTTCTGGCACATATCTTACCTACAATTAGAATATCAATGTGAGTTAAGGTCCTCTTATGAACACACACATTAATGACATCAGAGGAGTACACTAAACATTCTATCTATCATTATATATCCACAACAGCAAAATAGCATGAGCAATTTATGCCCTATTTTCCTACCAGGCCACTACTCCCAGTTTCTGGTAAACATTGTCTTGCTTGTCCTCAGCTGCATCCATTTCCCAACATGTCCTACCTTTCCCACCCTATAGCCAGCCTACCTCTTCTGTCCTCTAGCTAGCCTACCTCTTCCACCCTCTAGCCAGCCCACCTCTTCCTCCTCCTAACCAGCCTACCTCTTCCGCCTTCTAATCAGTCTACCTCTTCTGCCCTCTAACCAGACTACCTCTTCCTCCTCCTAACCAGCCTACCTCTTCCACCTTCTAACTAGCCTACCTCTCTGATTCCTTCAACCAGCTTTCCTTTCTCTTTCTTTTTCCTGATATATAATTTTTTTGATTTATAGTGTGTGTGGAAATTTGACTTATGTAGGTTGTGGTACAAAAAATTGTGAATACGACCATTTTTGGACTTCCCCGGTAAGAATTCTGCTTATCTGGTTGTCTGGCTTATCCATGAGGGGGTCCTTCCCATATAAACCAGATAAATGAGCTTAGACAGTACTGTACTTGGTTTTGGTGGCCAGAGATTGTACATAAAACCAGTTTTTGAACTGAGCACCCCCTTTTTTTTTTTTTTGCATAAATAGATGTCTATTCCTGTATCAATCTACAGTTAAAGAACTATGTAATAGATATCTATTCCTGTATCAATCTACAGTTAAAGAACTATGTCTGTCTGAAAGCAAAAGTGATCATATTAAATAAAATATAACCCCTAAATTTGACAATATAAAAACAGCTTACTTTTAATTTTCATTGTAAACCCAGCACTGAAGCATAAAAATGATTAGAATATTCATTCTAAAAGGCTTCTAATCAGATATTTTTAATGTTTCAATATATTTATGTAGTATATTTAAAGTGTTCTAGGCATTTTGGGGGTTTCCTCTCAGGCACTGGTGCAGGCACTATGTTTTTCAACACTAGTGTCTGGAGAATTCTGACTACAGTACCTGGAAACCAGCAACTTTATCCACCATGGAATTGCAGGTGTTCAACCTTGTCTTCAAGGTTTTGTCATTTTTGCCTATGTGACAACTTTATTTTCCAGGTTTGAAACGAGACTTCTGGAGATGCCAGCCAAATCAGACACGCTGGTGTTCATTGATGAGAGTAAAGCTGCAGCCATCCTTCTTGCCCCTCCAAAGGGTTACAAGAATATTAGCATTTTTTTACTTGTCTTGTCTGATTGCTATGTACAATCACATAGCAATTCTTCATAAAATTCATAAACTAATGTTGAATAAAAAAACATTCATAAGCAAATTGTTACCCATACAGTACTTTCTTGGACGAGTCAATCTTGTGTCTGTCAGCACGCACCTTCTAGAGACATTAAGATACAGTTAAGGTGTCTTGGGAATTAATTTTGGGTAAATTGTACTTAGCTGAAGCCAAGTGATGTCTTAAATCCTGCAAACTGCACCTACTATTAATTAAGAAGAGATGTCTTAAGACAGTGAAGCTGTACAATCTAAGTAAACTGTGGATCTCTCGTCACCACAATCACCACCATAACATCCTGGTAGCTCACCTATGTAACATCCCGACAATGCTTTATACTAGAGCACTTCCCACTTGACTGCTTCTTTAACTAATCAGCTGACTCTTGAATAGTACGTGCAGAGATGCTAGCAGCCCTGTCCCGCGTCCGTCGCCGCCACAACACACTTGACCAATCACAGCAACATCATAACACAATCACCCAATCACAGAGCCGCCACACCAACATTATTGGCCAATCATATAGCACCTCTTATCTGCCTAACAGGGACCATTCATTTAAATATTTATTATTGTCAATAAATGCAAAGGATAAATATTCCATAATATTTATCCAGGGTAAATATTTTAGGGTATTTATCTAGGAAATATTCCAGGATAAATACTGTATTTTTTGTATTAACAAGATTAGGTATACACAGCAATGTGCTGCTACCCTCTTCTATATAAAAGAGAACACAGTGTAGATCAAAAACTAGCTATAAGTTTATCTAATATTCCCATCTCACAGGATGGTTAGTTATACATGGAATCAGGGAAGAAAATACCCACCTCAATGCAAAAAAACAAATCAAATTTTTTTTCTATTAACAAAGTTAGGTACTCACCTATTTGTGCTTGCGGGGGTTGAGCTTTGGCTCTTTGGTCCCGCCTCTCAACCGTCAATCGGTGTACAGATTCCTGAGCTTCTCGAGCTCTATCATATCTACATTTGAAACTGTGTATGGAGTCAGCCTCCACCACATCACTTTCTAGTGCATTCCATTTACTAACTGCTCTGACACTGAAAAAGTTCTTTCTAATGTCTCTGTGGCTCATTTGGGTACTCAGCTTCCACCTGTGTCCCCTTGTGCGTGTACCACCCGTGTTAAATAATCCATCCTTGTCTACCCTGTCAATTCCCCTGAGAATTTTGTATGTGATCATGTCTCCTCGGGCTCTTCTGTCTTCCAGCGACGCGAGGTGCAGTTCACGCAGCCTTTCCTTGTAACTCATGCCTCTTAGTTCTGGGATTAGCCTAGAGGCATACCTCTGAACTTTTTCCAGCATCGCCTTAATTGTGCTTGACAAGGTACGGGCTCCATGCTGGGGCCGCATACTCCAGGATTGGTCTTACATATGTGGTATTCAAGGTTCTGAAAGATTCCTTACACAGGTTTCTGAAGGCGGATGTTAGCCAGCCTTACATACGCCGCCGATGTTATTCTTTTGATGTGGGCTTCAGGAGACAGGTTTGACGTGATATGAACTCCTAGATCCTTCTCTCTGTCCGTTTCGTGAAGGACTTCATCCCCCATTCGGTATCCAGTGTGTGGCCTCCTAATTTCTTCTCCCTAGTTTAATTACCTTACACTTACTTGGGTTGAATTTTAGGAGCCATTTATTTGACCATACCTTCAGTTTGTTTAGATCATATTGTAGCCTCATACTATCATCCTCTGTCTTGATCCTCCTCATAATTTTTGCATCATCAGCAAACATTGAGAGGAACGAGTCTATTCCCTCTGGGAGATCATTTACATATATCAGGAACAGTATAGGTCCAAGAACTGATCCCTGAGGGATTCCACTGGTAACGCCTCGCCACTCTGAGACCAGCTCACTCCTCACACTGACTCTCTGTCTTCTGTTGCTTAGGTACTCCCTTATTTAGTGGAGTACCTTCCCCTTCATACCTGCCTGAATCTCCAGTTTGTGCACTAGTCTCTTATGTGGTACTGTGTCAAAGGCTTTCTGGCAATCCAAAAATATGCAATCTGCCCATCCCTCTCTTTCTTAGGTATACACAGCAATGTGCTGCTAACCTATTCAATATGAAATATTACACAGTGTAGATAAAAAACTAGCTATAAGTTCATCTAATAGTCCCCCTCTCACAGAATGGTTAGTCATACATCGAATCAGGGGAGAAAATACCAGCCTCAATACAAAAACAAATCAACTCTGATTAAAAATCTCAAGTGAGAACATAAAATGTAAGGCTGATCTATTAGCCCTCCACTAGCAAAATCTGGGTACAACATAAGAGTATCTTCCAATATTCCTGAGTGCATGAAGTAATTACAGAGATCAAAGAACACTGGCAGTTCAAAACTTTCACGAGAGTTTTTTTCTGACAAATTCGACTTGTGCGTTTACGTAAGTTTGTGTTATAATTGAGGGTCGCGTTCTTCTATATAAGTGAATTGATTTGATGAAAACGGTCTTCTGGTCTGTTGCAACTGAGTGCTATTGAGTCATTGGGGGAGAAATAGCTTCGGCTACCAACGACTTTTAACAGTCTAGTGGTAACGTGGTCAGAGTACTGGACTTGTCCAAGGGTCAAAGGATTTTAATGCCCCTGGGTATGAACATTTCACAGGAGGAGTTCTTTTCTTGACTCGAACCCATACAGGGTTCGGAATACAGAGAACATATACGGCACGCATAGACGCAATAAAGCACCTAAATTATTGGGATCGTCTCAAAGCCCTCCAAATGTACTCACTAGAAAGAAGACGAGAGAGATATCAAATAATATACACCTGGAAGATACTGGAGGGCCAAGTACCAAATCTACACAGTAAAATAACAACGTACTGGAGTGAACGACATGGAAGAAAATGTAGAATAAAACCAATGAAGAGCAGAGGTGCCATAGGCACAATCAGAGAACACTGTATAAACATCAGAGGTCCGCGGTTGTTCAACGTCCTCCCAGCAAGCATAAGAAATATTGCCGGAACAACCGTGGACATTTTCAAGAGGAAACTAGATTTATTCCTCCAAGGAGTGCCGGACCAACCGGGCTGTGGTGGGTAAGTGGGCCTGCGGGCCGCTCCAAGCAACAGCCTGGTGGACCAAACTCTCACAAGTCGAGCCTGGCCTCGGGCCGGGCTTGGGGAGTAGAAGAACTCCCAGAACCCCATCAACCAGGTAACCAGGTATCATACTGCCAGAAGCAATGCATCTGATGTACAGGATCCCTTAACCACTCGACCAACACGACCGGACAAAAGAGGATGGTAGCCGAGGCTAATTCCCATCCCCCCGCAGGCACTCTATTGGTAATCTTGGGCATGGTATTTTATCAAATCACCTCATTCTTTGGGGCACACGTGAGGAACACAAATGCGAACAAGCCTGAACGGTCGCCAGGCATATATGCAACTGAAAACTCACACCCCAGAATTGACTCAAACCCATACTGCCAGAAGCAATATATATTATTGTAACACAGCGATGGGTCATATTTTGCCCCCCCCCCCTGCAGTTTTCAAAATATCTGAAATGTCGGAAATTTGACTCCTGAGCGTGATTTTTGAGTCGAATTCTGACTCTCTGCACCTATTTTCATTTTCATATTACGACTTTTTATACCGAAAATATGCCAATTACTGAAAACGGCGATGGGTCATATTTTGCCCAAACCCCCCTGCAGTTTTCACAATATCTGAAATGTCGGAAATTTGACTCCTGAGCATGATTTTTGAGCCGAATTCTGACTCTCTGCATCTATTTTTATTTTCAAATTACGACTTTTTATTCCAAAAATATGCCAATTACTGAAAACGGCGATGGGTCATATTTTGCCCAAATCCCCCTGCAGTTTTCAAAATATCTGAAATGTCGAAAATTTGAGCCCTAAGCGTGATTTTTTAACCGAATTCTGATTCTCTGCACCTATTTTCATTTTCAAATTACGACTTTTTATATTGAAAATATGCCAATTACTGAAAACGGCGATGGGTCATATTTTGCCCAAACCCCCCTGCACATTTCAAAATATCTGAAATGTCGGAAATTTGACTCCTGAGCGTAATTTTTTAGCCGAATTCTGACTCTCTGCACCTATTTTCATTTTCAAATTACGAATTTTTATACCGAAAATATGCCAATTACAGAAAACGGCGATGGGTCATATTTTGCCCAAAATGAAAATAGGTGCAAAAATTCAGAATTTGGCTCAAAAATCACGCTCTGGAGTCAAATTCTCGACATTTCAGTTATTTTGAAAACTGCAGGGGGGCTGCCGTTTTCAAAATATCTAAAATGTTGGAAATTTGACTCCTAAACGTGATTTTTGAGCCAAATTCTGACTCTCTCCATTTATTTTCATTTTCAAATTACGACTTTTTATACCGAAAATATGCCAATTACTGAACACGGAGATGGGTCATATTTTGCCCAAACCCCCCTGCAGTTTTCAAAATATCTGAAATATCGAAAATTTGACTCCAGAGCGTGATTTTTGAGCCAAATTCTGACTCTCTTCACCTATTTTCATTTTCAAATTACGACTTTTTATACTAAAAATATGCCAATTACTGAAAACGGCGATGGGTCATATTTTGCCCAAACCCCCCTGCAGTTTTCAAAATATCCAAAAGGTCGGAAATTTGACTCCTGAGCATGATTTTTGAGCCGAATTCTGACTCTCTACACCTATTTTTATTTTTCAAATGACGACTTTTTATACCGAAAATATGACAATTACTGAAAACGGCGATGGTGTAACGGGGGGTGGGGGAAATAGCTCTATCTTGTCCATTATTCCACCCCCCAGTTAACTAACGAGGCCGGGGGAAACAGCTCTCTCTAGTCCGTTATCCCGTCCCCAGTTAGCTAACTATTCTAGAGCACTCCCAGAATTCCTAAGGCAACCTCTCTCGTTCAACACCTTGTAACCTAGGTATTTGACTACCTAGGTGCTAAGACTACAAGGCGCCGTAACTGGATCAGCTACCCGTCATATTTTGCCCAAATTCCCCTTTCAGTTTCAAAATATCTGAAATGTCGGAAATTTGACTCCTGAGCATGAATTTTGAGCCGAATTCTGACTCTCTGCACCTATTTTCATTTTTCAATTTTCAACTTTTTATACCGAAAATATGCGGAAATATGAAAATCATGTATATGCAAGTAGATGGGGTCGCCATGGGTTCTCCCCTATGTGTCCTGTTTAAGAACTTCGACATGGGCACCATCGAGCAGAGGGTCTTAGTTGACATGAACGTGAGACCCGCCATATACTGCAGGTATGTTGACGACATTTATACACAGGTACCTGATGCCAGATGTCTGCAGCAGCTGAAAGAGGCATTTGAGAGGAATTCTGTGTTGGGTTTCACATACGGGATGGAGAATAATAGGAAGCTGCCCTTTCTGGATGTAACTGTCACGGAAAGGTGCGGAGCTTCCATACTACAACACGGACTTTCACTGGACCGCTACTTCTGCTGCTTCGGGCTGTGGACCGCTGCCAACACCCTCGCCACAGCTAGCATTTTCACGGCGATCATCTCTGCATTTTCATCAACTACAGCTTGCTGCACCGCGAGCGTTACTTACTCATCTGACAGTTTCATCAGCAACTACATTATGTGGGATCTACAGCCTGTCCTGCCGACTCTCCGTCGCTGCCAAGGCACTGCTTGTTCTACAGGGACTCCCACGACAGCTGCTCTTTCGTCAGATTCATCTACACGTTCATTGCATTCTGATACTCTGGCGACTCAAGCACCTTGCCCAGTACAGGACTTACAGCTTGCGTTTCCGATTCTTCGTCGCTTCCAGGACAATTCAGTTCTAGCAGTGATTTCCTCGTTGTCCTAACTACGTGCCTACATTACCTCCTATTGTCCTGGTGCCCGAGCCCACCCGCCCAGGATCTAAATGTTCCACCAGCGACCCAAGGACGCAACAGTCATGCACATTCTTCTTTCCTGCTGCACCGAGCTTGTCCACACACTGCCTGCATCTTTTAGTACCGGACTACATGTTCCACAGCGACCCAGGGAACAGTAGTCTCGTATTTTTTTGTTGTATTGTGTTTCTTTCATTCCCTGGCAGGGGGAGTCCTGTAGCGAGTAATCCTTATACTCGCTCCATTATCTCATTATCTTAATGGCGTAACTAATTAGCACTAACTACACAAGCTATAATCTTATCCCTAATTACAGGTAACAGTTCTCACATCCTCCTATCCTAGTAGAGAAAGGTGAGGGGTAGTCACCAAATATAAGGAAGCAATATGAGAATATACAACGCACCATTTGGTCACCATTTGGTCCGGGAGACATCTCCCGTCACGCAGGGTGCAGTTGCGCCTCCACAGATCTCCAGTATCATCTTTTGATACAGGTAATGGCTCAAAAGGGCCACCACTTACGGGCTATTCATGCCCGTGCCACCTCTTGGGTGGCTTAATCTTCATCAATCAATCAATCGAATATACAACAGTACTATTTCCAGTCAAGAATGTAGCACTCGGCGTAGACAGTTCTAATTGTCCCCAAGACGCTACAGCTTCGACACAGAACAGGCAGCAGACTAGGACAGCATCGAGCTCCTTTACATTAGTACTTCACCAGTACTTTATCGCAAGAGACTCAAGGTATTTTCAGTTTCTCAGTTATCCTATGTACACCAGTCAGTATAAGTTGTGGGTGGTCGATTATCACATGAAATTAAAACATGTTTTGTACAGACAATAAGTCTACATTACACAGGTCTTAGCAGCAAATGCAACAAACAGTGCCAATACCCGGGAGTTAGGCAACTGTTGTGGGTTGCATCCTGTGGAAGGTCAGTAGTTGGCCTCGGGGAAACCCTCGATAGGCTTAAGTAGAAGCCTCTAGGATTCTGGTCAGATATTTCCCAAGTATCTTCACGAAACCTCAACAAAGAGAACCTTTCCGTCACTAATGTTTACATCAGCTTTCATGTTTACACCATAATCCCTAGAACCATTGCAATAATTTTAACGTAAGTAAGAACCGTTACACCTGAAATAGTGCGGTTTTTAAAGCAGAGATTGAAATATGCAGGCGATGAGTCACAATAACGTGGCTAAAGTATGTTGACCAGACCACACACTAGAAGGTGAAGGGACGACGACGTTTCGGTCCGTCCTGGATCGAAACGTCCTGGTCCGTCCTGGTCCTCAAGTCGATCGACTTCAGAATGGTCCAGGACGGACCGAAACGTCGTCGTTCCTTCACCTTCTAGTGTGTGGTCTGATCAACAGAGATTGAAATACTTATAGTCCCTATGGCTAGCTCAGTTTCAGCTTTATGACATACAGCTTTATCTGTCTTATCCATATCGTCACATATAATAGCTAAAGCTCCACTGTGAAAAATGCAGCGACCCTTGTGAAAGACGACACGCAGGCTTAACCAGGACAAATATATGGTAATGTGTGTAAATTTATAGTGGAGAGTGTGAGTACACACGTCAAGAAAGTGCCTCGCAGTGGACAAATGTTTATAGTTGTTTTGGGGTTGTTGCTGTGTGATGAAGGATAATAAGACTAGACATACAAGCATAACTATAATTATATAATACTCCATTTTTATAAACTTCATAACTAACGTGTTTGAAGCTCACAAGAGGAAGCAACATCAGCACTTGATGAGTGCTGATGAAAACAGGTTTTCAATGTGCCGCTACAATCCTCAGGTTCCAGTTCTGTGGGTCAGCATCAGCATTGATGACTGTTCAAACTGAAGAAACTCTGTGGAGCAGTACTGACACATCTTTGTGTAACTGGACACATTACACAAGTCTTGTTGAGGAAGATTAAAATGGAAACTGTCTCTTAAATGTTTGTTATAGCTTAGGGGTATTTGTTACTTAGTTATAGCTAAGTTTGTCACAATTGGAAGAAAATGACAGATTGGATAATGAGAACCTAACGAGAAGAGTGGCAAACAGGAAAATGGCTTTGGAAGAAAGCCAAATCAACTATCATTATCAACTTGATAGAAATAAGTGACTATCATTTTATCGAGGTGCAAACTAAATGCAAATAAAGATAGTTATAAAATGAATTATCTGCAATTTATTTTTCGATTTAAAATATAATTTGAGCCAATACTGGAATCCAGAACAAACTGTGAGTAATCTGCCCCTACATCAGTACTGTGTGAGATCCATATAGACAACGTGACATCCAGAATTTTAGTGACTCGGCATAACCTCTGCGCGTAGGCCGGACGACTCAAATAGAAAACGGAACAGAACGTCACTTTTATGATTCGATTTAATTTCAAATTACGTCCAAATTTGGCCATAGCGCGCATACGAGCCAAAAGTGACGTTATTTTTAAGAGGACGGGTTGGAAGAGTGCAATCCACTTTATATTCCTGGTCTATGATAACCGACTCGCTGCTGTTCACCATTATGGTAGAAAACAAACTCTTATTTCAATGGTTACTTGAGACCATTTCAATCACTTTGTGAATTTAAGATGTTGCAAAATGGCAATCGATATCGATTCTTTGTCATTTATTGATTAATAACTGACGAAGGCTGATGAAACAGGACTGGCAAAGAATATGTCCCCAGTTGAGTTTATTTTAGTTTACCTATTTAGGTTATTTATTTACTGTATATAGAAGGAGGTACAATATGAGTTGTAAGAGCAAGTTTGGTGATTAAGTGCTACACTTACAGAGCCTCTGGCACACAGCGTTCCGGGCAGGTCATCGAGGTAACTCAGGATTTGTAATGAATTTAACACTAGAAGGTGAAGCCGTAAATACCAAAACTGATTGCAACAGTTCAAAATGCAGGTGGATAAAATCACCAGGAAAAGTCGGGGTCATTTGACAATCCGCCGGCTTCCCGCCAAGACCACAAGAGAGATAATGGCCTTCGGATAAATTCAGAAAAACAATGACAATTTAAATTCGCATTATTACTATATCAATATAAGTGGCGATAAAAGACAGTATACTTATATGATTATTCTTCTAATTAGTAAAATACTGTGTGAGTAACATAATTAAGGTGGGCGACTCTGCTGATGAAATTAAGTACTTCACCGTTCTACTCGTAAATAAAGTATAAGTTGAATATTTTTTTACTTCATTAGGAAGGGAGTTCCATATATCGAGTCCCTGCTGATTGGTCAATATATTGTTGTGAGGGCCTCAATAAAACTCTCTGTGTTAATAAACCATAAACCCAACGCCGCACAAATAAAACTAACAAAATAATACACAAAACCAACAACCCAAAACCTTAAATCTTTTAAAATTAACCCCAAAGAAACCTGTGATTCTTTTGGGGGTGATCATCAGATTATTCAGTGCTTAAGCCCCGCTGTCGGGGTTATCCTCATCGGGTCCCGTGTTGGTGGTGGCCAGAGGGCCGTGGTCCGTGGGGCCAGCAGCGTCGCCGGGGCGGCCACAGTGGGCCTGCTTAACGGGCTGGTAGTACTCCATCTTCACACCCTTCAGGGACAGCCGGGCCTGTGAGAACACAGGTCTCCCAGTATGAGAATTTATCTGGAGTAGGAATGATTAATTATTTAACATAAATAAAAGAAGGGGGTTTTCAGGAAAGTTCCAACAGCATGAGCTAGAAAGGAGACTAAGCGAGCTGTGCTACTTTCATTTAGTAAAGTCTGATCTTGTAAATGAACATTTTAGTAAAGTCTCGATATGTAAATATTAGATTTACATATCAAGTGTTACGAAGTCAGTATCACAAGTGTTCACCCACACGCGACAAAGTTGGGTAGCCATTAAGCCAATGTCACAAAGTGTTCACCCATACCAGACAGTTAGGAAGCCACTAAGCCAGTGTCACAAAGTGTTCACCCATACCAGACAAAGTTAGGAAGCCACTAAGACAGTGTCATAAAGTAGTAACCGCTCAAAATAATTACCCAAGCCCGAGGGACCGCTGACATACAGGGGCGCACAACACGCACTACATACATACATACATACATGCATACATACATACATACATACACACATACATACATGCATACATACATACATACAAAGGCCCTCCCCCCATTCAGAGAGGGGGGGTCATCAGGGCCAATGATAGGTTTACACCAATGACAAACGCACAATGCAGTATAATCATGACCAACAAGTTCCCTGGGTCTCTATTGTACCACATTGCGAGGCAGAGTTAGTTTCAACAATATGCGCAATGAGCGGAGTATATTTTTTTTTGTTATAAATGGAATTTCACAATATATACACAAAGAAAGCACGATGCCAAGGCACCAGCACAGAGAACATAAGCACATACACAGGAACAGTATAAAATAAAAATAACACATGATACAAACAGGCTATACAAAGGAAATACACATAAGCACTAAGAAACCGGCAGGATGTTACAAACAAAACATTAACAATCACAGTCGCTCCCAACACAGGGAACCAGCGAAGACCGGGAGCGAGGTCAAGCACGCTAAACATGTTTCTCCGGATACTTAAACATGGGATACCGATAACGGTAAGCATCCCATAGCGCCCACTCCTTGGTTGGGCGGACGCCCGCACGCACACGGGGGCGCAACCTAAACTCAGGAATGACCATAGAGGGAGGCGGCCAGACCGGATTCGACTGCACAGGAGCTGGAGACACTGAAGGCGAAGGCTGGAGAGGCAGAACCACGGAAGACTGAGACACAGAGGGCAGATTGACGGAGGGCGGCCACTCAAGGGCGGCTGCACCGGGGTCTACCGGAACAGATTCCTTCTTCAATGTTATCATCAAATCCTGCTCCCACACCCGGAACCTCAACTGGGGCTACAACACCCCCCCCCCCAAACCCGGCAAACCAGCAACCGGGGACTACAACCAGTCACTACACACGGGGGCCTACACGTCCTCCAACAGGGGGCAGTCCTCTTCCCGTAACAAGTTCACAAGAGCCGCACAATCACCACGGCAACCCGCCGCCTGGTGCCCAGCAAGACCGCACCGGAAACACGTCCTAGGCTGTCCAGCGTAGAAAATGTGAACGTTGAAGCCAAGACGCATCACAGTGAAGCAAGCAGATTAGAGGCGAAGCACAGCCAGCATTTAGAGGTAAACAGTGACCATCCCGAGCCCACGCGGCCTCAGTACAAACATCCTCCGCTCAACACAGGCAGGACAGATTCTCTTGGTTTGAAAATGTCACAATTTCCTTTGATAACAATATATCCAGAGGACACAAAGCATCATATACAATGCAATTCCCACGATATTTAAAATCAAAGTGCACGATGTAAGATCCAACAAGCAAAAAAACTTAATCGCAGCGGGACACAAACACATCAAGGAACTAGAATTTTCTGACATTACTAACATTTTGGATACAAAGTGAGATGCTACAAACCATATAGGTGACAGATTAGCAAAATATGTAATCGTACATGCTCTAGACATTAGTGCAGACGACATCAAAGCACAACTTTAAGCAGATGACATTCAAGTCTTCGGAGTCCAAAAATTTATACGTAGAAGAAATGGAGAACTCAACGATACAGGCAGAACCATAATCCAGAATCTCTATAAACTAGAACACCAGGGCGTGGATCACCTAATTCTCCTGTGCTCGAATGGTAGCCACGGGGATGGCAAGTACCACTGGGTAGCGGTAAGTTGCCTTGGGGTTGTTCCCTTTTTAAGGCCAGTCCAGTAGCGCAGTTGGCAGAGCGAGTGCTTCCCATGTCGGATCAAATGTTAATTGCCCTTAAGGCCAACAACAAAAATTAATAAGAGCGGACTTCCTCAGTTGCAATTTTACGATATGCAGGCGATGAGTCACAATAACGTGGCTAAATTATGTTGACCAGACCACACACTAGAAGGTGAAGGGACGACGACGTTTCGGTCCGTCCTGGACCATTCTCAAGTCGATTGTGAATGGTCCAGGACGGACCGAAACGTCGTCTTCCCTTCACCTTCTAGTGTGTGGTCTGGTCAACATTTTACGATAAGTTGTTTTATCACATCATCTGCCATGTAATAAATACTGATGAGTTTCTCAAAGGAATTACCATATTAATTTAATTTACACTTTAATTCAAGACAATTGAAATCACAACATCATAAATCAAAGCTGTTCCGTTTTTTCCACGTGGTCCTCTTGAAGTATGGCATGACCCCCAGAGGGACCAGGTGGTCCACATGGAGAACCACTAGAGAGGGAACTCCTGTCATCAACGGTATAAATATGGGGAAACTTGTGTACTGGCAAGTTACAGCCCCTCTCCTGTGCCAGGTAAGTCCACTACGGGCTCACCATAGTCCTTGCTATTTGGAACTTTTTGTTCCAAGTAGCGAATCTTAAACAACAACATGTGTACTAACCGTCTGTTGGAGTTTGACCCAGAGGTGCGGGGTGCGGGAGAGGACGACACCGTTCTGCCGCTGGAAGAACGCCACCTGCTGGCACATGAAGACTCCCGCGAACCTCTGGTAGTCGGTCGAGTACACCGTGAAGTCGTAGCTTCCTGCGAGATCTGGCGACGTTGGAAGTTTAATGAGTAACTACTACCGGTATTTTTGTGTCTTTTAAACTAATATTAAGGTTCATCAAAAATGCCACCGACGTTCCTAGGTGAAACTACAAGCTAAACTTTTATTTTAAATCAAGCCCTCTGAATCTTGGCCCATGACACTGATCTATGTAATGAATTATTTAATATTTTATTGGAAATAAACTCAAATATTTACTTGTATATGCTACTAGATGGGGTACCCGGCACAGCCTGAGTCGACCCCAAAAGGTTGACCCATTTAAGTGTTGGGAAACCCGGGTCGACCCGGCGCTTGGGTTGACCCGTGACTATAACACCCGGGCTACTGACGTAATACATGTACCAGTGACTGTATAACACCCGGGCTACTGACGTAATACATGTACCAGTGACTGTATAACACCCGGGCTACTGACGTAATACATTTACCAGTGACATAACACCCGGCTACTGACGTAATACATGTGACTGTATACACCCGGGCTACTGACGTAATACATGTACCAGTGACTGTATACTGACGTAATACATTTACCAGTGACTGTATAACACCCGGGCTACTGACTGTACCATACTGTACACACCATTTAACTACCCGACTATCAATCCACCTTAATGATCGTTTAACCTATCCACTCCAGCAGATTAGTCATTAAGGGCACATCCGACATCTGGTCACAGCAGCACAGTACTCACTGAGGGGCCACCTGACCCTCATCTTAGCAGGGTTGTCAGAGCTGGGCCTGAGAGTGGCTGTGGTGGCGCCCGTGTTGGAGAGTCCGACGGTACTGAGCACCCCTTTTGTCTCGGCCTCCCTCAGGTGCCAGGTGCCGTTCTCCGGACCCCGGGTGATGGTCCACGTGAGACACTCCTCCCGGTCATCGAACGTCTCCACCACGTACCACAGACCCTCGAACTGAGAACAGAGGTCTAACTTCTAACAAGCTTGTACATGTACTAGTAAAAAGTTATTTGCAAATGTATAGTTAGATCATTGAGTGTATTCATGTATGTTATTCTTGAATTTCAAATGTACATTTTGTATACTTTGTGCATTAGAACAGTGTGTATACTTGGCTCTGTGGTTCCTATATTTAAAAATCACAAGCGGCCCCCTTTCCTGTCTAATTTTATTTCAGCATATCACACTCCCTTGTGACTCCCGTAGCCTTACCTCACGGGAATCATTGTCTTACCACACGATCTTATCCATTCCTATAACCCACGCTGCCTATCCCCTCCCCCTATCCCTCTGGCCATCTATCCCAAAGCCTCCACCTTTCGTTGCCTCACCTTCTCCATGTTGAAGTCCTTCATGGGGGCGGGCTTGGGGCAGGTGCCAAGGAAGAGCTCGTGAGCGCGGGCCGCGGCTCCCAGCCACCACACCACCAACACCACGACTGTCTTCATCACTCTGCTGCACGACTCCTGTGATTGATTGATTGATGAAGATTAAGCCACCCAAAAGGTGGCACGGGCATGAATAGCCCGTAAGTGGTGGGCCCTTTTGAGCCATTAACAGTATCAAGAGCTGATACTGGAGATCTGTGGAGGTGCGACTGCACCCTGCGTGACGGAAGATGTCTCCCGTGACGACTCCTGTAGTGTACGTGTTGTTTTAGATTTAGCTTTTCAGAACTAAATGTCTGAACTGAACTGCTCATGTACACCTGACCATGTTGTTGCTCATGTACACCTGACCATGTTGTTGCTCATGTACACCTGACCATGTTGTTGCTCATGTACACCTGACCATGTTGACCTGCTCATGTACGAACAATGTTGTTGCTCAGTAATACCAACGAACTCCTCATGTTGTATATTATATATATATATATATATATATATATATATATATATATATAAATGAAACAGGAATTTCCTTAAGTACTTTCGTATATAAATACATCTTCAGAAGGAATGAGCGACATCAACGAGTCGAATATACTTTCGTATATTTAATATACGAAGTACAGGAATTTCCTGTTTCATTTTCCTCCGTGGTCTGACATTGTCATATATATAAATATATATATCACGAAATAAAAGTGATTATGAATGTGACATGTCAGAACGAGGAAAAATAAACTTTCGTAAGTATTTCGTATACGAAAGTATCTTAAGGAAATTCTGAAGTTTCATTTAATATACGAAAGTCTTAAGGAAATTTCCTGTATCATTTTTCCTCCGTGGTCTGACATTGTCATATATATATATATATATATATATATATATATATATATATATATATATATATATATATATATATATATATATATATATAACGTAAATAATTTCAGTTTAATCTTTGTCAATATATATACTTCACAATTCTAAACTTTTTAAACATAATTCAAAAGGAAAAAAATTACGGTAATCTCATGTTGAAAACAGCTACAATGTAAACAGTTGTATATTTGTGAATAAAGATGATGAAAACTCATTTGACTAAGTAACAATAATATACTAAACTCCTTTTCGCCACCAGGTAAATTTTTTGACTATTTATGGTCTGAAAAAAAAAAATACCATAGAACCGCTCGACCGTTTACCGTTGTCTATATATTCCTGCCTAAATGCAGAAGAGGAGTCACAATAACGTGGCTGAAATATGTTGACCAGACCACACACTAGAAGGTGAAGGGACGACGACGTTCCGGTCCGTCCTGGACCATTCTCAAGTCGATTGTGCCTAAAGCTGTACGTATTAATGTCCACTTACACTCCTATTATTTTCCCTCAATCCCTCCTTCCCCTGCTAGTTTATTCCCTCTTCCTACCCCTTTTTTCCTCTATTCCTCTTTTTCTTCTCCCCTCTACGTTGTGTGGATGCTTGATAGAGTCCACTGTTTGGTGTTGGATAGAGTCCACTGTTTGGTGTTGGATAGAGTCCACTGTTTGGTGTTGGATAGAGTCCACTGTTTGGTGTTGGATAGAGTCCACTGTTTGGTGTTGGATAGAGTCTACTGTTTAGTGTTGGATAGAGTCCACTGTTTGGTGGTGGATAGAGTCCACTGTTTGGTGGTGGAGAGAGTCCACTGTTTGGTGGTGGAGAGAGTCCACTGTTTGGTGTTGGCTAGAGTCCACTGTTTGGTGTTGGCCAGAGTCCACTGTTTAATGTTGGATAGAGTCCACTGTTTGGTGTTGGCTAGAGTCCACTGTTTAGTGTTGGATAGAGTCCACTGTTTGGTGTTGGCTAGAGTCCACTGTTTAGTGTTGAATAGAGTCCACTGTTTGGTGTTGGATAGAGTCCACTGTTTAGTGTTGGATAGAGGCCACTGTTTAGTGTTGGATAGAGTCGACTGTTTGGTGTTGGATAGAGTCCACTGTTTGGTGTTGGCTAGAGTCCACTGTTTGGTGTTGGCTAGAGTCCACTGTTTAGTGTTGGATAGAGTCCACTGTTTGGTGTTGGATAGAGTCCACTGTTTGGTGTTGGATAGAGTCCACTGTTTAGTGTTGGATAGAGGCCACTGTTTAGTGTTGGATAGAGTCGACTGTTTGGTGTTGGATAGAGTCCACTGTTTGGTGTTGGCTAGAGTCCACTGTTTGGTGTTGGATAGAGTCCACTGTTTGGTGTTGGATAGAGTCTACTGTTTAGTGTTGGCTAGAGTCCACTGAGTGGGTGTCGGGTAGGGTCCCGTTCACAATATGAAAGGGACTAATTCACTAATTCATAATGATTAATCCGAGTCACAACACCGTACACGGTACCATCAATACACCCATAGCGTTACACTCACCTGCTCGCTACACCTGTCTCAGGTCCTGGGTGATACTGAGGCGTCTCCCTGACCGCCCTGTGTATATATATATAACCCCGCCCCCTCTGTCACGGCCATGACTGCTTCCGGCGTGTCATCCGGCCTGTCATGCTCCTCCACAGTTGATGACAGGCTCGACGGAATCTTTTAGGCTGCTGGTGATTACACTGACAATTTGTCCTGGCCGTAACACACAGGATACGTCAGATTCAAGCAACTTTGTTCATGAATGGTTGGACGTTTATAATTGAGTTTACAGAAAATTTCAGTACATTATTTACGTAAGGGAATGTCGGAATAACAGCATAACATGTAAACTTCATAATTAGTTAGCAGATTTAGAAGGTTCACTTGAGTGAGTTATAACATTCATTACAGCTGTGGCAGAAGTATACAGGTGCACAGCGAGCACTGCAAACTGGTAAAAAAACTCTACGGAAAACAAATCCCCGATTTTAGACCATGAAAATAGCATGGGATCATTATAGATAATAATATTTCTTAAAGGGTGGCACTTGGGCTGACCCCAACTGGCCTATGACACTACCATACCCCCCGCATGTCATCTTGGAATGTGTGGGCGAGGCGAGCTCCAGTCGCCTAGCCTCCTACTTTGGTCACACTGACACAATCATTATATTTTATAGATACAAATGACTGAATGTGAATTGCTAACAGATACCATAGTGATGTTCAAGGGAAGATTTTAAGTTTCAGTGTAGTACCAGTTAGGGACCTCAGAAATTCTTCCATATTGTTAGTATACATACATTATTTAGGAGAGTGTGAAGGTGGATTAGTTTAGGTGGAGGAAGTTTGGGCGGAGCTGTTGTGGTTGGCAAGCCGCCTCCCACAATATTGTCATATTACGGCACTGTGGTCGTGTTCTGTCGCTCAGGAACCGAGTCAGGTCTTGCGTTTTTCTCTGTATTTTCTCGAAAATGTTATTTTTCTCCCGTGTGTGTTCCGTAATGGTTGTCTACCACCCGAACCCCGCCGTCATTTGTTTGGTTCCTCCTCCTAGACTCCTTGGGCCAGATTCACGAAAGCACTTACGCAAGCACTTACGAACCTTTACATCTTTTCTCAATCTTTGGCGGCTTTGTTTACAATTATTAAACAGTTAATGAGCTCCGAAGCACCAGGAGGCTGTTTATAACAATAACAACAGTTGATTGGGAAGTTTTCATGCTTGTAAACTGTTTAATAAATGTAACCAAAGCCGTCAAAGATTGAGGAAAGATGTACACGTTCGTAAGTGCTTGCGTAACTGCTTTCGTGAATCTGGCCCCTTGTATGTGCAAAAATACCTCGTGTGATTGTTCGTCTTTGTATTTGTTCCATCATGCGGTTGTCTATGCGTTTCTTTTTTCTACTGGTTTGTTTCCTCGTATGTTTGATTCCTAGCGTTTTATTTGCAGTGTATTATTTTGATCTATATAAACTGCTGTTTATTTCCACGTCTATCACCCATACCTATCTGTCTGTATGTTGGGCGCCAGCCTGGCCAAGAGGTGCCGGGAGTTGGCGGGCTTAGTTCAAATTCAAATTCAAATTTTTATTCAGGAAAAGTACATACATAGATGATGAGTTACAAACATAATGTTGGATTTAAAGATAGAGCTAGTACATACAATACCTAAAACCACTAACCCTGGAAACACAAACCGAAACTGTCTCTATTTTCCGCTTGTTACAACTTGTAATAAAGTTGTTACATCTTGGCTTAACGTGTTTATGACGTATTAGAACGTTGTTACAACTTGCTATATTGGTTGTTATAACTGATTAGGTGTTATAAACTTGTTCAAACGTTGTACCAACGTCGTAGTTTCGCTGTGTGTTTGGCGGGAATTAATACGCATAGCGTTTCGGGCAAACGTGTTTCAGTCGTGCTGGTACTCGAGTAGATTATGGTCCAGGACGGACCGAAACGTCATTTCTACATTTTCTGATGTGTGGCTTGGATATCATACCTGATAGCATAATAGACTAAAGATCGATGAATTGTTTCAAGTATATATTAGATATTTATATGTATGATTTAGACATTTATATGCATGGGGCTGTATTCACCTAGTTGTGCTTGTGAGGGGGTTGAGCTCTGCTCTTTCGGCCCGCCTCTTAACTGTCAATCAATGAACTGCTACTAACTAATACGTCATAAACACGTTAAGCCAAGTTGTAACAACTTTATTACAAGTTGTAACAAGCGGAAAATAGAGAGAGTTTCGGTTTGTGTTTCCAGGGAGCTACACACAGAAATCATAATAACGTGATGCATCAAATGAACAACCTAGGCTGGAATCTCCGTGGTGTAGTGGTAAGACACTCGCCTGGCGTTCCGCGAGCGCTATGTCATGGGTTCGTATCCTGGCCGGGGAGGATTTACTGGGCGCAATTTCTTAACTGTAGCCTCTGTTTAACGCAACAGTAAAATGTGTACTTGGATGAAAAAACGATTCTTCGCGGCAGGGGATCGTATTCCAGGGACCTGCCCGAAACGCTACGCGTACTAGTGGCTCTACAAGAATGTAACAACTCTTGTATATATCTCAAAAAAAAAAAAAAAAAAAAAAAAATCCACAAGGGCCGTGACGAGGATTGGCTCTTGGACGCAGGTTCGAATCCTCGTCACGGCCCTTGTGGATTTGTTCATACCAGTGTCCTGTTTACTTTATTCCGTACATTTTCGCATTAACTTTTTTGGCTCAAGATAATATGACTCGGATATTTCTTGCATTCAGATTTCGCAATGTTATCATCGTCCAGCTGATATCTGATAACTATTGTTATTACCAAGCGTGGGAACTCTGTTTTTGTCGACATAAACCTGCAACCGCCAATCTTCTGTTCATTTTGTTCATCTAGAATGTCTTGTAGTGATCTTGAGTCTTGAATTTATTTTCTATCCAATTGTTTTATGTCCACAAAATCATTCATATATTCTTAGGATTAAAGACAATTAAAGAAGAAATATAACACTATTCTTGTGTCAGAATGTTTGGTAATATGTTTATTGTTTGTGATGTGTGTCTATGTATGTATTAACACGATGTACTGAACGGGGTGAGAATAGCTTGAGCTACCTCATCCCTTTGTGTGTATTTTACCTCAATAAACTTATTTCAATTTCAACTATTCTTCTACTTCAATACTGATAGCTAGCAGGGGTACCCGGCGGTGCTCGGGTGCCGGAAGTCACATCTACACTACATGCAACTTTCATTACTGTAACCATCTACACTATACACGACCATCATCACTGTAATCATCTACACTACACACACAGTTAACTCCAATACTCCTATGAATATTCCCCAGCCACTATCAGTCACCCTGTAAAGTTTGGGGAGGCTAGCCGTCTCTAAACGTGTGCTTGTCGTCAAGGTTGAACCAGGGCGTCCAAGCTGACGGCTCACAATACAACTCGTCTGAACAAGGGGGTGATCCTCCCTTCATGGCGTCCGGTAGATGACTGTAGATGACTTTCCAAACCTCGGAATATGTAAACAATGGAACACTATCGGAATCACCCTAACATGTTATATAACTGCCTTGCAAGAGATAGCATTGTTTACAATTTTTCTTTTAATATATACAAAATACTGACATACGTCAATATATACAAGATAAAAATTACATGAACACATGCAACACTAAAGTAGTTCATCTTTATGTACACTACACATTGGTCCTCTTAAGTAGCGGCCGCCTCACACAGGGAGGGACCAAGGTTACCTTACAAGTGGCTTCACCCAAAATGTTAAGACAGGGAGCAATGTATATATTGAGGAGCAACTTGTCCTTTAAACAAATAAATAAAATGGGTTAAAAGCAGTTACGTTGGTGGAAGTATATAATCTGCACAATTACAAACATACACAAATTTTACTGCTACAACTGGGCACCGAAAGAAATATTTTAGATGGTAGACCAACCCGTCCTCTGATCAAGTTCATTCCATCCAGCTGTCAACCCGAAAGACGCATTCATAAATTTTAACATGCTGTTCATTCAAAATGGAAATTTTCTCAAATATAAATTAATATTATATATTAGCATACTATATATATTTAGGCATTGGTTAGGTTAAGTTAGGTGTTTAGGTTCTGTTGGCGATTATTTGAATTTGTAGTACGTGGGTGAAGCATTTACAACGTTGTGGTTCGAACAAAAGTCGTCAGCGAGGCACTTGTTACGGAAGTGCTCGGACGTCATCAGTTGTGAGTCGTGTGTAAACCGTTTTTCCTTCATTAGCAGGGGGTTTGGCGGGTGCATGGAATAGACTTTGGCCTTGTTCAACCCGTCCTCGCATACAAAGATCCAAGCTCGGTAATCCAGCCGCCAAACCCCTTGTTTATGAATGAAAAGCTGTTTACACACGACTCAACAACTGATGACGTCCGAACACTTCCGGAACAAGTGCTTCCCACACGTCCTCTGTTCGAACCACAATTCTTTAAATGCTTCACCCACGAACTTCAAATACAAATAATTACCAACAGAACCTAAACGCCTAACCTAACCTACGCCAAACTATACATACACTTTTTATGTATAAGAATATTAATTTATATATGAGAACAAACCAATTTTTAATGCACAGTATGTTAAAATTGATGAATGCGTCTGGGGAGGACGGCCGCTGCTTTAAACAGCCTGGTGTGAGGACGGGTTGTCTGGGGAGGCCGGCCGCTGCTTTAAACAGCCTGGTGTGAGTAAAATTTATTTTGATACATTGCCGTCTTCTTTATATACTTTTAGGCTCTGTAATCCTCTCCTTTATATATTTATTCCTTTACGCAACAATGATCACAAACACACTGATCAAGTATGCAGAATAACCACAATGTGAAAATTAGAGAATGCTAAACGCGTTTTCGGCTAATTCGCCTTCATCAGAGCAAAGTAGTAACTTCTTTTATATTAGGACAGTTATAAGAAATATAATTAAAAAGTTCTTTATTCACATCTGTTTTGGAAGGTGCTAAACAAATTTACATGTAATTAGCTCACGTTCGGGCAGACCAAGAACAAAATAGTGTTGTGTCTGGCTTGTAACAACTAATCTTAAAACTAAACTAGAGTTAGTATGGGTAAAATTATGTATTTATTGCCTAGTGTACTCACCTAGTTGTGCTTGCGGGGGTTGAGCTTTGACTCTTTGGTCCCGCCTCTCAACTGTCAATCAACTGGTGTACAGATTCCTGAGCCTACTGGGCTCTATCATATCTACGTTTTAAACTGTGTATGGCGTCTGCCTCCACCACATCACTGCCAAGGTTCACACACAAAGTGTGTGTGTGTGTGTGTGTGTGTGTGTGTGTGTGTGTGTGTGTGTGTGTGTGTGTGTGTGTGTGTGTGTGTGTGTGTGTTTGTGTGTATGTTTGTGCGCTTGAGTGCGAGCCGAGCGCACGGAAGCGCTCTTGCTTTTCTGCTTTTTTGGAGTGCATCTTCTTGTACGTTGAGGATGTTTCGAGTGCCTTATATCGAGTACTAAAGACATACAAAAAGAAAGAACTCCTAAATTATGACTAGAGTTCGTTACGATAAGTGTAATGTGCTCTTACATGTTGACCATTGGTATTACCGCTATTAAAAACGTGGAAGAAACACTACATGCGCACTCCCGGGATGATATTCATATTAAAAACACTTCCAGCTTTGTTCGTGATATTACAGCTACTTAGTGCAGAGCCGAGTTGTAAACAACGCGAGATGGTGAGTATGATGGCACTACATCGTTTAGGAGAAGCTGGCCCTGAGAGTTCCTAGGCACCAGAGGGAGAGATGCAAGAGCTGGCCCCTGAGAGTTCCTACGAACCAGAGGGAGATATAGAAGAGCTGGCCCCTGAGAGTTCCTACGAACCAGAGGGAGATATAGAAGAGCTGGCCCCTGAGAGTTCCTACGAACCAGAGGGAGAGATACAAGAGCTGGCCCCTGAGAGTTCCTACGAACCAGAGGGAGAGATACAAGAGCTGGCCCCTGAGAGCTCCTACACGAGCCACCAGAGGGCGAGATACAAGAGCTGGCTCCTGAGAGCTCCTACACGAGCCACCAGAGAGCGAGATACAAGAGCTGGCTCCTGAGAGCTCCTACACGAGCCACCAGAGAGCGAGATACAAGAGCTGGCTCCTGAGAGCTCCTACACGAGCCACCAGAGGGCGAGATACAAGAGCTGGCCCCTGAGAGCTCCTACACGAGGCACCAGAGGGCGAGATACAAGAGCTGGCTCCTGAGAGCTCCTACACGAGCCACCAGAGGGCGAGATACAAGAGCTGGCCCCTGAGAGCTCCTACACGAGCCACCAGAGAGCGAGATACAAGAGCTGGCCCCTGAGAGCTCCTACACGAGCCACCAGAGGGCGAGATACAAGAGCTGGCTCCTGAGAGCTCCTACACGAGCCACCAGAGGGCGAGATACAAGAGCTGGCCCCTGAGAGCTCCTACACGAGCCACCAGAGAGCGAGATACAAGAGCTGGCCCCTGAGAGCTCCTACACGAGCCACCAGAGAGCGAGATACAAGAGCTGGCCCCTGAGAGCTCCTACACGAGCCACCAGAGGGCGAGATACAAGAGCTGGCCCCTGAGAGCTCCTACACGAGCCACCAGAGGGCGAGATACAAGAGCTGGCTCCTGAGAGCTCCTACACGAGCCACCAGAGAGCGAGATACAAGAGCTGGCCCCTGAGAGCTCCTACACGAGCCACCAGAGAGCGAGATACAAGAGCTATGAACATCACGAAAGGTGACGCTCTTCACGAAACACATTGGTACATAAATAATAATACAAAAATAATAATAAGAGATTATTAAAAGCAAAAGATAAGAGTTATTTTCCCCCCTTATCATTACACAGGTTTGAAAAATTATAAAGCAGTTCACACCAATGTTGAATGAGAAGCCATACTCGAGATAATGTCTTTGTTTATAAGAACCCAAGTTCGGCTTCCTTTAAAGACGTGTGGCACATATACATGTCTCATACATCACTGACTACTTCTTCCAGCTTCTTGGAAAATATCTTCAGATGCTTCAAGTACTATTCATTACCGATATAAATATCAGCTGATACCACAAGTGCGCTATTAAAGTATAAATATTAACTGTGACTTTTGATGTAAATATTACAGAATTTGTTCACAAAAAACAGGTGTTTATGCGTTCTGACATTTAGCTTTTTTTATTATCACTGGAGCAACTTGCAAACACACTAGTCACGGCAGAACGTTGTGAAAGCTGCCGGGGCTGAGCAGCGCCTCTTGTCTTGGTGGGTTCAGGACTCCGGGCAACATTCATTGGTCTTGGTGGTCGTGGTTCACATCGGGTGGTCATGTAGACTATGGGTCACATCCGTTGGTTCTGGCCACTGCGGCCCATACCCGTTGGTGCGGGCCATACCCGTTGGTGCGGGCCATACCCGTTGGTGCGGGCCATACCCGTTGGTGCGGGCCATACCCGTTGGTGCGGGCCACTGTTCGTCACTGGTTCAGGGCACTATTGGTCACATCCGCTGGTTCCAACTGCTGGGGGTCAACATCCATTGGTTCTTCATGCCGTGGCTCTGATGCAGCTCTGCGGCTATCACAGTTGGGAACGTGGCAGAATCAACACAAATAAGGTAACATTCCTTCTCCTCTTCGAGGGTTGAACTTTAGCATCGCAATGCATTTTAGCCCGTGAACAGCAGTCAAGGTTCTGTTTCAGATTTTTTCAATTTCAAAAACTCATATTATTGCTATTTAGATCTTCTATGTTAGATGGTCAAAAGCTTTCCTGCCATAGCCTTTAGAGTTTTATTTTCTCGGTACCATTAGATACAGGTGTTATTATATATATATTGAACAAAATAATGATCTGTTTCTCAAGTGAACGGATAACGCTGCCGCTCTACTCAGCGACCCATATGACACAAGTCCCTTAAAGTTAATAGATATCCAACAGTCACTTGATCAACAATAGTGTCACTGTGTTTTGAACTGGTTGAGTGGCTCATAAGAGCTGTTGAACTATTACAAAAAGATAAATCACATTCTAGATCACATTCTAGATTATGAATAATCCCCATTTAGTCAATGTCAAGTTTCTTAAAGTTCCGCTGGATGGTGTTGATCGCCTTCTCGATCTTCTTGGTCTTGGGCTTCTTGTTGATGTTCATCTGGTCGAGCATCACCACGCGACTTCGTACCGCCAACAGCTCCTTCTTGTACATCTCTGAGGAGGAGAGCAAAGGATGACCTTCTTAAAACTTAGGTGTAAACAAATTATACAAATTACTATATATATACAAATACAACTATACAAATTAACTATACAAATTAAAAACTATACAAATTAAACTATACAAATTAAAACATTCATCAATATGAGCAAACTTAATTGCGTATAGAGCATTATATGAACATAAAGGCTAAAGTAGGAACAAAAATCATGTATGAAAAATATTAGCCCTTGTGGAGCCAAAGGGCCGGTGGGTTTACAATGTGTATACTAATGAGGCCATACTGTGTATGACCTCATTAGTATATACACATTGTAAACCGCAGGTTGTACACCTGTCCAAGTTATAAGTGGAAATGTGGTTTGTGGACTTGTAGCCTGAACAGGGACTCGTCCAGCACACACACATACCAGGCCTGTGTCTCTCTCACCCTCCTCCCACACACCACACCACTTGGCACCAGGATGACAAGGAACAGTGATGAGGCCCAGTGTGTAGTGATGGTTACAGTGATGACCTCCTGCAGTTGAGATGGTTACAGTGATGATGTGAGTAGTGTAAATGGTTACAGTGATGATGTGTGTAGTGTAAATGGTTACAGTGATGAAGATCACGTAAAATGGACCTGCTTTCAATAGGATCTAAAATGCTTGTCAACAAGCCATCTCTTTACGGCAGTAATTGCTAAATAATTCCAAGTATCCAGCTGGGAGCCTCCTCCATCCTGTGCTGACTACTAGTTTTACTCTGCCCTGTAGACCTGTAAAACCACTGTAAACATCACTCATTATATTTCCTCATAATCAACTTCACATTTCTGGCAGGAGTTCCAATGCCTTTTGAACATTTTCCCCCCCTTCGTAAGTTTGTTTACAAAGGTCAGCATTCCCCAGATCCATAATTCCCAACCATACAAGCTGAGACATTGACCTCAATAACGTTACCTTCGACCAGGTATTTAGATGACCTATTATAGATTCCCTAAAGTGACAGTTTCGACTTTCAGCTCTCTGACACCATCATAACAATTTACAAGCGAGATCTTTTATTCTTAAATAGATCTTAAGAGATCTTAAATTGAGAACAATTTACAAGATCTCAGAGAATAAAATATCCCAGATGCATTTCGAAATTCTTTACTGAAATCTCTGTTATTTGGACTGGATGGTAGAGCGACAGCCTCGCTTCTTGCAGGTCGGCGCTCAATTCCCGACCATTCAAGTGTGGTGAGTGGGAGGGGGGATGGGAAAGAGGGAGAGAGGGAAGGGGGTACCCCGGGCACAGCCAGGTATCCCGGGCACAGCCAGGTATCCCGGGCACAGCCAGGTATCCCGGGCACAGCCAGGTACCCCGGGCACAGCCAGGTACCCCGGGCACAGCCAGGTATCCCGGGCACAGCCAGGTACCCCGGGCACAGCCAGGTACCCCGGGCACAGCCAGGTATCCCGGACACAGCCAGGTATCCCGGACACAGCCAGGTACCCCGGGCACAGCCAGGTATCCCGGGCACAGCCAGGTACCCCGGGCACAGCCAGGTATCCCGGGCACAGCCAGGTATCCCGGGCACAGCCAGGTATCCCGGGCACAGCCAGGTACCCCGGGCACAGCCAGGTATCCCGGACACAGCCAGGTATCCCGGACACAGCCAGGTACCCCGGGCACAGCCAGGTACCCCGGGCACAGCCAGGTACCCCGGGCACAGCCAGGTATCCCGGGCACAGCCAGGTATCCCGGACACAGCCAGGTATCCCGGACACAGCCAGGTACCCCGGGCACAGCCAGGTATCCCATCTAATATTTCTATAATTTTGCTTTCCCAACGTCTGTGGTTGGAGCCCAACAGCACTAGGTCATCAGAATAACATACATCATTGTTCTTAATATAAAAACCCACACTTGTGTATGTGTGAAATTTATGTAAAGAATTTACACCAAGTCTTTCACACTCTCCTGAGTGCTGTGTCAAGGTCTGAGTGTGTGGTTAGGACGAGACTTACATCTCAACGTCTAATTATTGATGATTAGATGATGTAAAGGTGGAAGGGGGAAGGGGGGGCTTATGGTGCGGGTGGTAGTGTGGCGTGTGTGTGTGTACTCACCTAGTTGTGCTTGCGGGAGTTGAGCTTCTGCTCTCAACTGTCATCAACTGGTGTACAGATTCCTGAGCCTACTGGGCTCTATCATATCTACGTTTGAAACTGTGTATGGAGTCTGCTTCCATCGCATTACTGCCTAATGTATTCCATCTGTTCACAATTCTGCCACTGAAAAAGTTATCTCTAATGTCTCTGTGGTTTATTTGGATACTCAGTTTCTACCTGTGTCCCCTTGTGCGTGTACCTCCCGTGTTAAATAGTCAATCCTTGTCTACCCTGTCAATTCCCTTGAGAATTTTGAATGTGATCATGTCTCCCCGAGCTCTTCTGTCTTCGTATCGTGAGGTGCAGTTCACGCAGCCTTTCCTCGTAATTCATGCCTGTTAGTTTTGGGACTAGTCAGTGGCATACCTCTGAACTTTTTCCAGCTTGGTCTTGTGCTTGACAAGGTAAAGGTTCCATGCTGGGACCGCATACTCCAGGATTGGTCTTACATTTATGGGTAATAAGGTTCTGAAGGATTCCTCCACACAGGTTTCTGAAGTCATTTCTAATGTTAGCCAGCCTTGCATACGCCGCTGATAATATTCTTTTGATGTGGGCTTCAAGAGACAGGTTGTTTGGCGTGATGTCAACTCCTAGATCTTTCTATGTGTCCGTTTCTTGAAGGACTTCATCTCCCATTCGGTATCTTGTGTCTGGCCTCCTATTTCCACCGCCTAGTTTCATTACTTTACATTTACTTGGATTGAACATTAGTAGCCATTTGTTGGATTCAGTTCGTCTAGGTCATCTTGCTGTCTTCTTCTTTCTTAACCCTTCTCATAATCAGCAAACATTGAGAGGAACGAGTCTATTCCTTCTGGGGAGATCATTTACATATATCAGAAACAAAATAGGTCCAAAGTTTGAACCCTGCGGGACTCCACTGGTGACGCCTCGCCACTATGAGACCTCACCTCTTACAGTGACTCGTTATCTTCTGTTGCTTAGGTACTCCCTTATCCAATGGAGTACCTTTCTTTTCACTCTTGGCTGCATCTCCAGCTTGTTCACTAGTCTCTTATATGGTACTGTGTCAAAGGCTTTCTGGCAGTCGAAAATATACAGTCTGCCCACCCTTCTCTTTCTTGCCTGGTCACATAATTCAATTAATTCTGTGAGGCAGGATTTGCCATCCCTGAAATCATGCTGATGTGATACAAAATTCTTTCACTCCAGATCTTCCACTAGTTTTTCTCGCACAATCTTCTCCATCTTGCATGGTATGCAAGTTAGGGACACTGACCTGTAGTTCAGCGCCTTCTCTCACCCTTTTTGTATATCACGACTCCAATGGTGTCGCGATAGTGGTGGTGGTGGGTGTGTGTTTGGTGGTTGATGGGTGTGGTGGTTGGTGGTGGTGGTGGTGGTGGGTGTGGTGGTGGTGGCAGCAGCAGCAGAGGTACTCACGGATCATGTCAGCAATAGGGATGGTGCCGCCGTACTCCTTGGGCAGGATCCGGGTAGGAACACTCTGCCTCAGCCCGGCCTCGTCGCTGTGGACCTGACGTCACAACACACACACACGTAATATATATATATATATATATATATATATATATATATATATATATATATATATATATATATATATATATATATATATATATTATCACCAATCCCCCAAATAATTTAGATACATTCTCGCCTGCTAAGTTTATATGCATATCACTTAGTACACAACTATCATAATACTCTTGCTGATACGTGCTAATTAGTCACATTCAGGGTAATTTATTTGAAGAACTAGAAAACACGACTGAAGGAACGTATATCTGAAGCTATCTTTGTGAGTGTTATTTGTAATAATTGTAATATTGATCAATACTGCCTTATACAATTCTCAAGACTATGACAAGTTTCTCATCTGTTTCATTTGTTTTGGACAAGTTAAACAGAAAGTGTCGCAGGCTTACCTGGAACCTGTTCTTGATCTTATCGGAGAGGAACGTCTTGGTAATTTCGAAGACAGCGTGGAGGGCGGTGGGCAGGTTAAGGATGTGGATCTCCTTGTGACGCATCGGCACGGACTTCTGCGGGTGGGTCAAGGTGTGAGGCTCTTGTCTCAGTATACATACCCTTCACAGCTCTGGCACCTCACTATACACCCCTCACAGCTCTAGCACCTCACTATACATCCCTCACAGCTCTGGCACCTCACTCTACACCCCTCACAGCTCTGGCACCTCACTATACACCCCTCACAGCTCTAGCACCTCACTATACATCCCTCACAGCTCTGGCACCTCACTATACACCCCTCACAGCTCTGGCACCTCACCCCTCACAGCTCTAGCACCTCGCTATACACCCCTCACAGCACTACCACCACCACTCACAGTGACCCAGGCGTCACTTAGAGACGCCTGCTGACTGTTTACAACTGTGACTTAAACCTCACAGAGACGCCTGAATCACTGTTGATATTACAAAATATAAACTAAAGATGAGGATAATTATACAACCAGATTAATTCCCAAGCAAAGTAATGAAAAGATCTTTTACCAGACTAAAATCTCACACAATACATCGAAAGAACGAAATTATCCATTCTAAATTCCATAGCAGGTAACCTGATGGTCAAGTTATGGCTGAACCGCTTACCTCACAACACTGGAATGCCTTGGCGACGTCTGACGGGGTCCACAAGGCTACGAGGGCGAACCCAACGTCCTTCTCGTCGAAGATATAAGTGAAACCTCGCACTTGGTTCTCCTCGTCTTCTAAAAGGGATTCACAACCCATCTGCATGGTCCTCATCATCTGGGCGGAGTTGAAGCGAGTGGTGTCCAACCTGCCTGTGAAGGGGTCAGGTCTCAGGTCATGTACTCTCGGTAGTTCGCCTCGAACCTCACTTGTCTGTTGGTCTCCCTCTTACACACACTCATTCATTCTCACCTGCAATGTTGAGGAACACCCTGCGGCCGGAGTCGTCCCGTTCTGGCAGGGCGAAGAAATAGCCACAAGAGACGAGTTCGTCGATGTCGGGGTCACGGACGTCGAGGCCGGTGAACCACTGCGGATGCTCCCTCCGCATGTGGAGGTACTTCACCAGCAGGTCCTGCGACTCCTGCACACGAAACTTCTTCATCCGCAGGAACCGCAACAGAAAGTTCCCATCTGTCGAAAACGTAATAAAATAAAACTCAAGACACGTAGCTAGCTTTTTGACACACTGTCCTCTTCATATAGTCTAGGGTAGCTGCACAAATGCAGATGTACCTAATGTATTAATAAAAAAAACTTTCATAGCTGTGGGAAGTGTTAGTCCTTGTATATATGTCGTACCTAATATCCAAACCCGCACTACTTCGCCTAGTAAGCAAGGCCTGATTTGCCTTTCAGAGCGATTTTCGGTATTTTTCAAGTATTTCTTTCCAAATTAATTCTTTCCTAACACTTTTAATGTATTAGGAACTAGAATTACTGACATTAGAATTATTCAAATTTGTTAGTTTTGAGTCATATTAAAAAAATCTATTCATATATAACGTAATAGAAAGCTTCATCATATTATATATCCATATCATATAATATATATATATTATATATATATATATGACAGTGTCAGACCACGGAGGAAGAATTAAAACAGGAATTTCCTTAAGTACTTTCGTATTTAATAATACATCTTCAGAAGGAATACAATACGTATATTCCTTCTGAAGATGTATTATTAAATCGAAAGTACTTAAGGAAATTCCTGTTTCAATTCTTCCTCCGTGGTCTGACACTGTCACATATTAATATGCATACATGCATACATTCGCTCATGTTTGATATGAGTCATCATGTGATGATCTCACTACCTTCCCTTCCAAGTAGTTGGTAAGTACTACGTAATAAAAGGGAGACCACTAAACCATTATTTTATACCAGAAAGTGATTTAACTTCGTTTATTTCCGAGACAAAATACATGAGCATCTGTGGTATTCTAAACATTTCACAGTGTAAAAGTCCCCATGAGAAGAAAACTTGCTGACTCAAATACCGAATTTCGTAAGACAATGTGCGGACCTCCGGAGTGAGCAGATGAAAACTATTGTTTATAACACTTCCGCTAAGTGTTGCAAGTTATTTATGCTTGTATATTATGTGGTATATTTCGGTGTGGTAAAACTAATTGCCTTTCAACACTGCACCTCTCCCTTGAGTTGGCAGTGTTGGGGCGAGCGTGAGACAGGCAGCACAACAGTGGTTGCCACACGGAACATTACACTAACCGAGCCTGCACTTGGTGATGGCCGGGTTCCTCCTCACGAAGTTCCGCATCTGCTGGAGACCGGCAGCGCGGCTCGCATCGTCTTCGTTCAGGTCCCTGGAGGCAATTTTCTTGACCTCCGAGGGAAGGGTACAGACGTAGTGATCCTCCCCCAAGACGTCGCTCACCTCCGCCGCACCGTGCGGGCTGCCCATCACTCCTGCTGGCACAGAAAGAAATGATGTCGTTAGTTCAGAGAATGTTACAATAGCGTGGCTGGAAATTTATGAGGAGTCCAGGACGGACCCAAACGTCGTCTCTTTCATTTGTCCATATGTGTGTGTGTGTGTGTGTGTGTGTGTGTGTGTGTGTGTGTGTGTGTGTGTGTGTGTGTGTGTGTGTGTGTGTGTACTCACCTAGTTGTGTTTGCGGGGGTTGAGCTCTGGCTCTTTGGTCCCGCCTCTCAACTGTCAATCAACAGGTGTACAGATTCCTGAGCCTACTGGGATCTATCATATCTACACTTGAAACTGTGTATGGAGTCAGCCTCCACCACATCACTTACTAATGCATTCCATTTGTCAACCACTCTGACACTAAAAAAGTTCTTTCTAATATCTCTGTGGCTCATTTGGGCACAGTTTCCACCTGTGTCCCCTTGTGTTAAATAGCCTGTGTGTGTGTGTGTGTGTGTGTGTGTGTGTGTGTGTGTGTGTGTGTGTGTGTGTGTGTGTGTGTGTGTGTGTGTGTGTGTGTGTGTGATAATGATGGCGTTGCTACTACTACCAACATACATGATCATTTTCATTTCTTTACAGGAAACAAGAGAAGCGTTATAGCAAAACATTACAAAGTGCTCGAGAGAACACCTCCCGTATTGTACATAACCTCCCCACCCTATCGTGATGGAAAACATATAATTAAATTTAATGTTACACATAAACAGTTGTATGATTATTTAGGCTAAGAAGATTATAAACTTGACCCCTGCATATTGAACATGGCGTAGGGGAGAGAGGGGAGGTTCTATCAGGGAGCAGATGGGGTGGGTCTGCGCGGGAAATCGGAAATTAAGACCTGAACCAGTAGATAAGACTCCAGAACATGGAACGCGACAGTAACGGGAGGAATCTGGAATAAGTTGATGAACCCTAGCACAACATGAAAGGTTGAAGGATCTGTAGCGGCAGGACGTACAGAGATACCAAGAAAGTCCAGACAGACTGAACCTGTCTGGAAGCTGGAAGGGCAGGATAGGTTGAGGAAAGTGAGAAAGAGACTGATAAGCCTAGAAGGAGGAGTGGAGGAGACTAAGGAACATACAAATGGGAATAAACAGAGGAACCAGGAAGGACGGCCCAGACTTAGGAACCTGGAATGGGGGAAGGCAATGTGGAATTAATTTGCATACGCCTTTGAACAGAGTTCCATTAAATAACAAATACTGTAAAGGCTTAAATAACAAAAACAACAAGTGTGTGACAAAGGTTCAACGTGCTCGTATTTGAAGCTAACCTCTGACCCCTGAGGCAGCAACCTGAGAGTGTTGCCCTCCTGGTCGACTGTGACAACCCCCCCCCCCACCCCAGGATGAGGTAACGGTGACAGCTCCAAGGCCCCGTTACTGCGGTAACACAACACCAACATTACGCTCATTATAAAGTTATTGAGCTGCCTAAAATAACAATAACGCGTTCTATAAGCGATAAAATAAATTTATAAAATGACAGAATACAGTTTTTCGCAAAGTTGTTAGGTAATTTATATTAGAGATTTTACCGGACAAATGAATTGGAAGATGGAGGGGAGGGAGGGGGGGGGGGAAGGGCCAATCCCAAGGCCAACACGCTCACAGGATTGGTCTCCACCGGACTTTCTCATCACGACTTCGCTCCATAGATGATCTTCATACTAAAATAACTGATGTGATTAACAGGAGCTAACTGTAACCCGAATGCACAAGGTGTATGTAGAACATCAACATAGTCTGGCATCATGGTGTGACTTCGTAATGACTGTGGGCGTGTTGCGACTTAACAAGCCACAGGTCAAGTATACTTAAGCTGGAATAAATTTCCTCACTAAAATATTTCAAAGACTGTTTTTTATAGAACAAGTTATACAAAATGTAAACTGTACAAGGGCTTCATAATGACCAACTGGGACTCTAGAGTCGACCACGAAACCAATGGTGAAAACTGGTAATATTTGAGCGAGGGAGACGAGGGAAGTTTGAAACACGAGTCACACACATCTGCAATTTATGAGTTAAGTTTCAAAGGTAAATATAGTAAGTTAAATATATGTTAAGAGTCATTGTCTAAGCCAGTCGAATGCTGGAGGTTTGACGCTATAGCTCGACACTACAGGCGCAGCTAGGTTAGGACATCCAGGTGAGCGCATCCAGGTGAGAGAGTACACACTCATTTACGCAGGAGACGACGAGGGTGAATGTACCATCACTGAAGGGTCGGCAAAGGTCACGTCCTCCCCCCCCCTCCCTCACCACAGACCTTGTGACCTAGTAACCACCTACAACACACACAACATACACAAATGGTTCTACTTCACTACTGAACCTCTCACCTGACGCGATACTTGACACGCTCACGGGACCAACACGAGTGAAAGAGGCTTCAGGTTCCAGTCACGTTTCAAAGTCATCCACAAAGCTATTATACTATTAAATTACGTAACAATAATTATGTAGGTTAAAAGAAATTGCAATTGTCATTTGGTCTTGAGCCAATAATGTCATACAAGGTAGTACGAGGTTAGTGAGTGCGAGGCCCATCGTTCAGCCCGTTCTCCCGAGCGTTCCCACCGTCAAATACCTGTTGTACTAAAGTGCCCGAACCTAACCCACCCGAGGACCCACGAACACAAACCATGACAAAGTCAGTTTCGCGTACCGCTACTATTTTCAGTACATCAGCTTGTGGCCTTAGGGAAGTTATACGCCAAAATACTATGCAGTATTCCTGCAGGAGAACGGGTGGCGTGGTTGACCCGCCTTCACACTCCACACCGGCTCCAGGGCGGCCTTGTGGGGCGGCCTCCTGACGCGCCTCCAAACATTCTCTGCGGTGTTCCGACGGTGAGAGGGAAGAGCGGGCAGCTTGTTGGCGTAACTGGCACAGCCTTGGCTACCACACACACACACACACACACACACACACACACACACACACACACACACACACACACACACACACTGGTGATAGCATGAAATGGTTACACCACTCAGGCCGCTTGGTTACACCACAGTCTATTTTCATGTTGTTTGGTCTGCAACACAAACTCTTTTGTGTTGAAATATGATAAAGACTTGGCAATATTTCAGTAGTTCCGCGCCACGATATCCCTCACAACGTTAATTAGTCCTTAATATTGAAAAAAATACTTTGGTAAAGTCTAAGACATAAAAAATATCACTGGTACTTTGATCATGTGGGTGTTAGTACCCGTTACTTGTTAATACTGGTATGGAAACAGGGTTGTTGATCTATGGAATATACCACATATCAGATATGAGATCACTGCAGTGGTTCAAGCTTACATTAGACATATACGAATGAGTCTGGGTGGTTATAAGTAGCAGCTGCCGCCCAGTGGTTAATAGGCCTCTGCACTTCTAGTATTTTTATATTCTTATATAAGTTTTGTCGGGGACAGAAAGCCAGTGTATATATTCAGGTCATCACAAGGTCGAACTACTGACCCTCCCCAGGATACACTCCAATAACAGTTGCCTATTTCCAAGGTTCCTATTTACTGCTAAATCAACAGTGTTCAACGTGTGGAGCTTCTGATCACCTGGAGCCCCACACACTTCACCTAGAGCCCCACACACCTCACCTAGAGCCCCACACACTTCACCTGGAGCCCCACACACTTCACCTAGAGCCCCACACACTTCACCTAGAGCCCCACACACCTCACCTAGAGCCCCACACACTTCACCTAGAGCCCCACACACGCCGAGCTGTCAGATATTCTTGTAGCCAAGTCGTACTTGAGCTGTGACATCACCTCTCACTCTACTGACTTTCCCAATTCACGTGTTTTGTCTGACATATTTCATTGTGATGAACAATGGATCTGCCACTTGCTGTATGCACGCTTTTGTTGTCTTCATATCTACCGAGAGTTCTCGTCCAACGACACCCCCCCCATTTGCTTGCCCAAGATTAAGTTAAGCAGTTGATAAGCTCGCAGCAAATACTGCTGACGGGCTCACCATAGCCCGTTCTACTGGAACTTATTGTTCTGAGTAGCTGAATCTAAAATCATTATCAACTGCGTTAACAATGTGATGGTCTTGCAGGCCAGTGTGAGAGGGCCTCCACACCCCTTGGCTGTGACTCCCTGGGTAAGTCTGTAGACATAGCCATGCCTGGCTTCATAGACTAGGACGTATACAGCCTTGATTTTCAGTTATTTAATATCAGTAATGAGGAGAGGGAGAGAGATAAGGTGTCTATTGCAGTATTTTCAATCATTTTGAGCGCTTGACTCTGACATGTCCTTCAATTGTGCTGTCGGGTTGATGAACAATGGGGTACAATTCACCTCCCAGGGGTACAGTTTACCTCCCAGTGGGTACAGTTTACCTCCCAGGGGGTACAGTTTACCTCCCAGGGGTACAGTTTACCTCCCAGGGATACAGTTCACCTCCCAGGGATACAGTTCACCTCCCAGTGGGTACAGTTTACCTCCCAGGGGTACAGTATACCTCCCAGGGGGTACAGCTTACCTCCCAGGGATACAGTTCACCTCCCAGGGATACAGTTCACCTCCCAGGGGTACCAGCAGTTCCCGCCCGCCCTGTAGCTGAACCGAGTGATCTGTAAGTGCATATTGTTTGATAATTTCAGGTTGTAAATGGTGGTTAAAGAATATTTAATTTAGCAGCAAGCTGAGCATGAGGGATGTGTGTGACTAGAGTCTTGGTGGGGGTGTGGAGACGTGAGGACGTCAAAAGCTGTCATGAGCCAGGGAGGCCGGGATGCCCTGCTTGTTCGCCCTCATCCCTCGTGCGACCCAAGCGCCAAATTATGAGTGGTTGTTCGTTGAATCCCTCCACACTCGCTAGTTCCACTCCGTGTGTCTTGTAAAACTTCGTCTCATCCAATGTTATTGTCGTTTCCACGCGGAAGCTTTACAATTATCAACAAATTGATTTCCAATAATCAATCTTGAACGCTAGGTATATCTAAT